ACCATGGTAACAAAATAGTCATATTAAACTATAGTTGACATTCATCCAACTATAGTAATTTCTCACCATGGTGACAAATTAAACCACAGTTTGATATTCATCTAACTACAGTAATTTCTTACTACAGTAACAAATTAAACTATGGTTTGATAAATTCTTACTATATAAATTCCTAAGTCTAACCCTTTGGAAAAAGTAGAAAAACCCTCTATAATTTAAATTAGTTTTTATAATTAGTTAAATGTTTATATAATGTAATGCTTAATTTTTACTATATTTAAATTGATTTAATATAATAATTGTAGTAATTAGGGTTAGTTTTTAAATAATGATATTATAAATTAAACTAGGTTTTTTTTTTTTTAAGATTAATGTAATAATTGTAATAATTCTAAGCTTTCTTACTTTTCTAGAAATAAATACTAGTTTCTTTAGTAAAAAACATGTTATAAAGACTTATTTAAATATCTTTAGCTAATAAAATCATGTTACACCCTGCATGTTTACAAATTTCTAGATATGGATTAGACAAGGTAATGTAGAGTAACTCAATCCTACTCATTAAGCTGTCATGCTTCAAAATATAAACTTAACCTAACCTAGGAGGTTGCTAAGCAGAAGGGTTATAGGAGGTCTACCCAACCCTAACCCAACTCATTCCACAGCCTATTCTAGTATATTAGCTCAACAGCTATTAAAACAAAAGAGTACATTATGCTTCCTCAGGCTCTTCATTACTATATTAGCACAATATTAGCTTTGATTAAAAGATAAGTAGCATGAACAAAAAAGACTTTGCCTACAATTGCCATCTCAAAGTTGCTGCCTGGGCATAATGAACCAGTTTCATATCACGCTTTTCATCATCTGTCAACTGCATCATTGACTCCATGGCTGCTATAAGTGGCTTCTCGTAGAGCTCATCGTAGGGACTCATGTACGGAAGCGCCGCAAGTTCGTAGAATCGTGGATAAAACCCAGCATGGGCCCAATCAAGAAGATAGATGGATCTTAGGTCTTCTCCAAGTATCATGTTGCGGCGAACCAGGTCCATATGACAGAGAACGAGTGGATATGGACTTAGATCAATAGAGTCATTTCTCAACGACAGACGCCTGTTGAGATAACGATTCAAATTTGCAACAGACACGAAGGCCTTGTCCACGCCGTCGTCACCCCAGAGATACCCCTGCGGACCCTTTTCACCGATTGGACCTGGCCTTTGTCCATGTTTTATTTGCCCGAGGTAAGCAATGATATTGGTAATGCGGGGTATGATATCTGCGTGAACTGTGAGGTCCAAATCCAATAGCTTCTGGCCGGGGACGTAGTCCATAAATAGAAATCCTCTTTCTAATTCATCCTGGACAAAGCGATAAACGCGAGGTACTCGAACGATGTCGTGGTTGATGTTCTTGTAAGCAAATTCCTGCATTGCTGCTTCAGTGGCAGTTACACTGTATCCCCATTTGACGACGATGGTAGGGGTGACTTTGACCACTATTGCACCTATAATGTCGGCAAACACGGCACCTTCCTCTCCTCTCTGAATACAGAAATGGATCAACTCCTCATTACTCGCTGTTGTAACATGTAAATCCATCATGCACACATCCACTGGACAAGAGTTGAGGTTTGTAAAAAATGTTGAAACAGGAGTCTTACTCTGTCTGAAATAAGGCAGGGCGCCTAGCTTTGCTCTTAGTTAGCAAATCAGTCTTCAAACACATTGTAGCAACCATGAAGGATTGGTTCTCATGTATTCTTTTAGGCACCTTCAATCTTTGTCACTATAATAATTCTACATCTCTTGTTACTACGTGAAATAATAGCAATATTTACATATCTGTAGGCTGTCAAAGAACTTCTTTCCTCGTCTCATCCTCGATATTTAAGCAACGTCAGTGCCCTCCCGTCATGGCTATACAAACAACCATCAATCCAACTTTGGGAGAAATTGCTCTTAAGCCTGATCTGCGCATTCTCCATCAATTTTTCTCGTGTACATCTGCCCAAACATATCATACCTTTGTGAAACTCCCAAAATGCCGACTGCTACCCCTGCTCAACTTGCTCAAAATGTACTCCTAATCCGAATTACAATGCACAACATGGGGAGGTTCTTTGAAGATGATACTCGAAGTGGAAATCACACAAGCATATTCCTCATCACCAGCAATCGAGCCTCTATACGCCTCAACATGACTAAAGCTGGAGCGACTGATACCATGGGAACATACACAATAAGCTTTTGTGGCTATACAGATTCAAATAGCTCTGTCACGAACATTGATATCACGCCTGTCCAAGGCCTGACAGCCGCTCACTTCACACAACTCATCACCCAAAATCATCGTGAGAGATATCAGCTGGCTCGTAGTGGTGTGGATTGTCGCTTCTGGGTGTAAGAATTGCCATGATGGATGATAATGAGAAAGTTAACTAATTCGAAAAATTGACAGTTCGACCGTGATCAACGATATGGCCTTGGCTGGTTACATTTCTGGTTCCAGTGCCATCAGCGCTTCCAGAGCAAGAGAGATGTTACGGTACAACTATTCTAAGGGGAAGCAGCCACAATTTGAATAAATTGTTCCGGGAAGATTTGTTTAAAGTTCTGCATTTATTCTTTCTTTTTTTTTTCACAGTACTTTTTCTGACCCTTTTCCGCTCTTATTTTTTGTTTTCCTGTTCCATTTGTTCTGAATTCAAAGTTGGCTTGAGAGGTGACTTCACGGGGTAAGCAATTTCCAGGCGATGAGATGGATGGGACGAGAGGGAGTAGCGGCGCTTAGGGTGTCCGCCAGTGCGAACCGGTGGTCTTTGGGTTGCCCCAGCAGATACCATAGGTTTAGCTTAGTATTTATGTATTAGTCCCCTTAGCATAGCTCTCCAAATACCCCGATATAGCATCATCTAAATTCATTACTTTTCATCGACATAGTAGGTTTTACTTTTTGTACTTACATTTATGAACTGCGTGTCTTAGATTCAAATCCATATACTCTGGTCGATGCTATGATCAAAAGTATTAGAATTTTCTTTTTGATAAATAGGCCACTGTAATAATCTTCAGTTGGAAGATAGAAAAGAAATGGTGTCGTACCTTTGAATCCGCACCTCGGGCAATCCAACTTTGGATAACCTTTGCATCTTCGATTATCTGCTCCCAAGTCCCAGTCAGTATACTGATGGCCGTCTGGAACTGAGTCAACGAGTTGCTTCCGAAGTCTTCAAGCTCTGCACGTGTTTGCCGGATATTTTCCAGTTCGGCTTGCAACTCTTCTTTTTCTCTGGTCTTGGTGTGAATTCTGAAGTTGGTTCCTATACCGAGTTATTTACCACTATCGGGAATAAGTAAAGCCAAAGACTACTACTCACTGGATATACCAGCTGCAAGTCCAGCAATGGTGGCATAAGAAGCTACAGCCGTGATTACGCCACCCAGCTGCTCATGGAATCAGATTTAATCATAAATTCGCCTTCGAGTAGACAGTTTGAACGGGAAACGTACGATTATAAAAGGCGCGAACTTTGGTAACAATTTTGCAAGTGACCCTGCGATGGGGATGGAAGCCTTAAAAAGGATTTCAAAGGCAAGGAGGGCGGATTCCAAGCGATAAAGCTTCTTGTGGAGATCCTGTAACTCCTGCTCTATAGTTTTAATCTGCTCGGTGATCTCTCCTTCTCGGTCCTTGGCCCAATTCGAGAATTCTGCGACGAAGGAGCCAAAATCATTTGTCAGGCCGTGAAATCTATTGATGATTCCGTGAGCATTGCTTTCGAAAGAAGAATTAGTCTAAGATGTATTAGTAAATTTTGAGGAAAGAAGAAAGAGGTGTTTTGGTACCGCTATGTATGACTCGATGAGGCCTCGGCGACTTTCGACAGGGATGGTGTCATCTGCACAGAACTTGACAATCAATCCATCAAAATCTGGATTCGTATATGTTAGATGAGTGTAGCGACAAGAGCTAATTACGCTAGAGGAAACTAACTCGTCGCTTGAACGCTGATTTTGGCAGCAAGATCTCGACTTTCTGTCAAAATTCCCCGGTACGACTGAAAACACGTTGCTTAGCAAAGTAAGACTTGAGGGAACAAAAGGAAATATAACAAACAAGCAATAGCCTAATAATCCCTGGCTCAAACTCTGAATGATGAATGCGGTCAATTTGGGCAATCTTGAGATGTAACTGGGCAAATATATTCTCAATTTCCACAGTCGCCTGTGTTGTTTCATTGCCCGCACTCTCCAGTTGAGCTTTACCCTCAGGCGACGATAAGGTTTGGCCAGATCCTATGGCAAAATCTTCCTTCTGCTTGTCTGTCTCCAGCGGCCAGTGATCATCGGCGCCATCAATGAGGATATTGGTTTCTTCGTCTGATAGCTGCGCCGCAGCATTCAGAACTGAGTCCGGAGTGACATCATCTCCGACGAGAGTCTCAAGCTTCTTGACCACTTCATCATATGAGGGGGGAGAGGCCCCGGCAGTATAAGCAGGAGGTGCGGGAGTCATATCTTCTAAGTGAATACAGTATGCAAAGGAGTTCGAATAGAGGTCGGATTGATCTTATATAAGGTATATAGATGCCTAGGTAACAGTACAAATCAAATTACTGTAGTTATGCCGAGAATGTTCCATCTAGACACCCCGCTGTGTTTCGGCGGTGGCGTAGCTGAAAATACTACTAGTGTATGCAGAAACCAAGCAAGGGTGCTTTAGGCTCAAAGTTCCAGTATCTTCAGGTCCACATCGCACGGCGATCTCTCCATAATCTTAGTCAAGAAATTTTGAGAAGATAAAACCCCACATTTCCAGATCGATAGCATCAACTTCTCTAACCCTATTGTTCTCCTTTCCTCCCTAGCAGCTCGGTCATCTAGATATCCATCAATATGTCCGAATCAAATGTTAGATCCACTATCCAAAAGTCGGGAAATGATGATATTGAGCCTCTTGCTCTCGATCTTTGCAGCGTCTTAGACAGCCTCGGCCTAGGATACACACTCCAACGCGGCAAAGAGAGGCAACATCTCGAGATTTGCGCAGGGGAGAGAGAGGCCCGGAAATACAACAATTTTGTTTCCGAAGCCAATTCAGCCGGCTTAAGCAACGAGATTATCTTGACCGCAATTATTGGCCAGGTCCACACCTCCGATTGGAACAATGTTGCTGTTCATGAACAGAGAATGCGTCTTGTCCGAGAGGTTCGCCTCACTAAAAGAACAGGGTTTCCGTTTATTGTTTGTGCAATCTAACTAGGGTTTCCAACATCAAGGATCATAGGATAATGCTGCGTCACAATACCCCGCTCGCCAATGAAATGTGTGCCAGATTTGAAGGTATAGTAGTGACACAAACCATCCTTCCATGCATCGCTCTGGTTTCTCAAGAATGCTCACACCTACTTGCATTAGTACTCAGGAATGATCTTGCACAATTCTCAACGGATCTATCTCTCTCCACTAGTCAGAAAATATCTCGAATTCAAGGGTTCATCGGGGTATGTTGCCATTGACTAAGAGAATGCTAAGAGGTCTCCTGACACTTGTTTGCAATAGCGTGTTCAAAACCTTTCCAGTCTTGCTCAATTGACCATACTACGCTTGTATCAAATAGCCATTGAATTGTTCAATACCTGGTCCAATTTCCCCATCCATTTCAGAGTTTTTGGTATAGAGACGGACATGTCCAGGGAAGGAACGGGCCGAAACCATGCCCTTGTCGAGAACTGCATCGAGGAGATTAAAAGGCTGTGTAACATGTCATTTTCTCGAGATTCGGTAGTAAGTATTTTCCTTCTCCCATTATACTCATGGCTCTGTCACGTATCTAAATATTGCAAACAAGGACATCCAATTTGTCAAAATTGCCGATGCTGAAAATTTAAAATACATCCCAGGCCAAAATCGACGACCTACTGATCCAGTTAACCTAAGCAGATTCCACCAGAATATATCTATATTGGCCCGCGTTTGGACTTGGGTCATGGTAGATGCACAGCAGATTATAGGTTGGTTTGAGGCGGCGCAGAATGTTGTGGTAAGAAGTTATTACAATCCACCATGTGTGCAGTAGTACTGACCGTGAGCAGGAGTATGATTCTTGGATGCAGATTTGCCTCGAACACGGTGTAGAAATCTGTACGTGACGTGACTCTGTAAACTTTCCCTGTATCAGAGTCAAAAGCTAACATGTACCATTCTAGATGCAGAGATGGTGGTCTACCTAAAGCAACATGCGGATGGAATGGAGCATTGGCTCAACTGGCCTTGAGCAAGGCTCGTTTATGATGCATGACTAGTCTATAAACCTTCAGCTGAATTCCAGCATGTGAGAATAACAGACGGTTGAGCAAATTGAAGAGAATCAAACCCTGTACCCTCTCATGAGTAAAGCGGGGTCGCCTCCGCCTCGATCATATGAGCGAATAAGAATTACATAACTGAGCTATTCAATGATTTCATAGATGCATTAGTTCATGTTACAGGGATTTACAAATCCGCCTGTGCATAGGTGGCTGGAGATCTTTCCTCAACTTTTTTCTTTTAAGTTTTGGGTGGTGAAAGACGAATTTTTCTTCATAAGGATGGAGGGGGAGGGGGAAGGGCGGGGTAACGTTCTCCTCAATCGTTTCGATCATCGAACACAGCATGTCTGAGCTGTTCAATATATGCATGCATGCATGGGTACATTCTTATGCAGGGCAGGGATCTGTTTACCTGCCTGCCCATGTAGGTAGCTAGCAGTCTCTTCCCTTCCCCCTCCGCCCCACCCCTTTGTCGCTTCAATTGGCAAAATGACCATGTGATAACAACTAGAGTATTGAAGATTATCGCGTCTTCTCTATTCGAATTGTTACACTGACCTTGACTAAACATTGATTTTCAGCCAGCCATTATCGCCAACAAGTGGTACTTGATACAGGGTTCGTACATGGGTTCAGAATCTTCAGACTTTGTTCAAATTTGCTTGCTTGGCTGGTGTATGTCGTTGTTTGAATTGCGCGTACTGCAGCTGGCAAATATAAAAGGAGGTCTCCGAAAATGATTAAAATTTCGCCAGACTAAAGCTCAATCCGAAAGCCAAATCAAAATGTCCACGACACTCACTCCTACCACACCGCCTCCCTACGAGCCACATAGCTCTCCTCCATCCTATGATGATGTCGTTGCCAAAGTCAGCCAAATGGTCGGCACTGATGCCACTCCCCAGAAATATATCGATGCTGCAGCAACGCTAAATGAGAATGAAATTGACATCTTGGTCAGCGGTGGGGATTTCAGCGACCCCATCAAAACAGAGGAGGACAACAAAAAATTTTGTGAAGGCGCTGCCAAGGCCCTTACATCACATGAATCCACCGAGCACCTCAGAGAGTCGTCTAATGCAGCAGTCGATGCGTCCAACGAGATCAACCGAGTGTTCGTCAGCTTACATCTGAAGATTGCACAGATTGATAGGATTCATCGTTCTGATTTTGAGCCTGCCTTGATTAAAAATCAACTGGTGATCGTTTCTTTTATGTCTTCTACTTTTCTTGCTAATACTGACACTATTAAGAAATATCTAGGAATTCTCACGGAGAGTAGAGTGCTTGCAACAGAGGTAGCAATACATGGAAATCGTAAGTATCATTATTGGTAATTGTCAATTCCATCACCTATGCTTACTCCTGAAGGATTCGATGATCTGATCATTCCATTTTGCACCGATGAGAATATTCCAACAGAGACTCGGCGAACAATCCTCAACGGGTTTATTTCGGTAAGCTTCCAATTCCCCTTCTCCTATGCTACAATTTGTTATTGATGTTTTACTTTGATCATATAGGATATGGAGAAAGCGCGGGAAAGAGCCCGAGAAACGGAAAATAATTTTACCAATCTTCAAATCAGCTTCACCTCCTTCATTGCTGATTTCTCCACTTGGGCAGTGGAGAGAGAGGGCCAACTAACGGAGGAACTGGAGCATATAATGAAAGAGTTAAGTGAGCTGCAAGAAAAACTCACCTCATTGAACATTTCTCTCTTGGCGCTGGGGAGTGGAGCGCTTGGATTGCCGTTTGTCGCGGGGCTTCTTGCGGGAGGTGCAGCCGTCAGTGGCTTTTTAGCTCCTTTTCTAGCTGTAAGCAGACCAATTTCCTCAGTATTCTATTTTCTAATCCCAATTACCTCGCCAGATCGCTGGACTCATCGCCTTGGGGGTGAGTGTTGCTGCGGTTGTCTCGATGGCGGCTCTTGGAATTGTTAAAGCAGGTAAGTGTCCTATTGTCTTCGATTGGAGACCAAGAGGTTAACCTGTATTGAACCAGTAACCGAAACTCAAATCCGTGAGAAAGAACGACAAAGAGCATCACTATCAGCACGAATCGAAGAAATCCGCCAGGCTCGTGAGGAGCTTGTAGCCCTTGGGGAGGAGAAGCTGGAAATATTCCGCGTAAACGTAAACGTACTTCAATCAGTGTGGAACAGTGTTGCTATTGATGCGCAAATCATCATGGGTCACCTCGACGGAGCATTGTCACTTGTGGTAAGACTTTCCTTTTCTTTTCTCACACGAGGGTGAGATGCTGATTGATTTTTTTTTTTTTTTAGGATTTTCCTCAACATATTATAAACTCACTTGAGAGGGCAAATTCAATTTGTAGGTTGCCGTCTTCTACTTCAGTTGAACACAAAACTAATATTTCGACCAAGACACGGTAATGGCGGAGTATTTAACCAATTACGCAAAGGGGATCACCAGCTGATTCCCTTTGGTGACGAGTTATCCCGGCCTTTCTTGACCGAACTTATATTAATCGCAATATTTTTTGCCCGGCAACAAGGTTTTTCGAGTTCCCACGCCTGCGTGGCCTTTCTATAGGCTCAGTGAGTTCACGATGTTTGTTTTCTTGAATTTGCTGTCTCTGATCACGGTTTCGACAACATGTCAAGCTATATTTTTCAGGAGTATTACCTAGGTTTCTACATTTGAAGCCCGAGAAAAGAATCATTCCATTTAGGCTGTTTAATCTGTCCATATAAACTTAAATACTAGACTTTGCTCGTGTTCTCTTCGACTTTTGCTTCGACTTCCTTGGGAGACGTTTTAGGGCCTTTTTTCCCTTTGATACTCTTCCGGTCCACAGCCAGAGATCCTATAATCATACAGGAGCTCATGACTGCAGCCATGATGAAGACACGAGTGAGTGCGTAGTTGCATGCGTCTATGACAGTGCTGCGCTTGTTCGCCAGCACAACACTGCGCAGATTGGTCGCACCGGTGTTGACAATACTTTCACCGTCGAGGCCCGCAATTCCAGAGAGGCAGTCCACAAGTTTGCTCGCTGATAGAGAGGAAGATCGAGCCACCAAGCTGCTCCATAAAGAAATTCATGGACATGCCAAGAGGGCGGCTTAGACAGAGGCACTTTTAGATGCATTGGCTACTCGGGAGCAGTGAACAAATGTGCATGGTATAGTGACTTGGTACATAGTAATTTGTATGCTTTACTGAACTAAGAAAAGTACTCTCGTTTAACGCTTGCATTAAAATAGTGTTCTGTCCGCAACAGAGCCCATAGCTTATATAGCATAACAATGACAAAAGAAAGACAATAACAACAAGCTAAAGTAGTAAAGAAACAAACATAAGGTAGCTAAGTAGGAAATGATCGACTCCTTGTCAATTACCATCACTGATATCTGTAGCTGTATAATCGGCTCGGCGGTGAACGTGGTCTGTATCGCACACTCTCTATAGTTCTTGGCTCTGGATTGTAGTATCTGCGGCTTGATGGCAAAGGTGGTGGAGGTGGTGGAGTTGGTACGCGCCGTACACTTTCATGTACACGAACAAATCCAATCGGATCTCCAACTGGATGTGTAACAAGACCTTGTATGTTCTTGTCCTTATCTGTAATGATCCTATGTGGGCCAGGGGTTCTATGATGGTCATGTCCAAATTTGTCTTGATGTTCATAATCGAACTCTTGTGCTGGATAAGCCCATAGCCGTGGGGGGCCTTGATCTTTGTATCTATTTGGAACGTGGACTCCAGGAAAAATTCCCAATTGGGCTCGTTCGTTCGCAAAAAGCAACTCCGAGTCATAGTGTGCATGTGGCCGTTTGCCATTGGTTCTGTTGTGCGTCGGTAGAGGCGCATCCCTCAGAAGCTCCTCGCAGCGGTACTTTGGGATAATCTGTTGTCCATATGTAGAGTGCTCGGGTTTCGAAAAATGGGTTCGAGGGATGGCGTAAAACTGGCTATTTCAGCTATCGTTACATGCCAGATCCTGTCATTGTAGTTACTTACTTTGTATCCGTCCTCGTCAACTATCCTTACGGGACGGTCTCGTGAGCTTGAAGCCATTCGAATCGTGGAGCGATAAATCGATATCAATCACTTAAACAAGAGACAAACAGTCTGAAGTATATATTTTCCCGTTGGACGCGAAGGATGAGGACCCCTAAGGGGCATGTAAACAGTAAAAAGTCGACGCTGCAAAGACAATGACTATCGAATTGACCCAGAAACAATCGTGAGCGACCTCGCGCAGACTTTTTATACATGATGCTCTTCTAATATTAAGCGCTCAATATCTGCGGCCGCTCCGTGCTCTCCAAATAGTGATCGCACGTTCATCGTGGCTTTGCCAACGGTTTGATGCAGAACGATGCTCGGCCAATTGATGCGCGAAGAGACTCGATCGAAAGTCTTAGATGCCATATTTGGTCCTCTTTTTGCAAATAGGAGCCCTTCTCATCATCAACAGGCGCCAGAGAATGTCAGGCACTCTACCAGGCATCGGCGGCTATTGCAGTTGTATCCATCATGCTTTACAGAAGGGTTTCGCTTCAGAAATATCCAAAAAGACCCATTTCGGCCCAGGACATCTACCGCGGACTGTCACCAAGGGCGTTTATAGCCGCTGCTGGATGGTCGTATTTACCCGTGGTTGTGGACATGGGGATCTGTAGATAGATTACCTGCTGGGCTATGTGTTAACCCTTCCGATAGGTCATCACCAATACAGCTGCTAAAATTTGGAGAAAAGGTTTCAGCCTTTAGCCACCGACCAGGTATTGTTTCAGTTTCCAGAAGCATAGACTTGATAAGCAACGCCGCTGCACTTTTGGAACTGTCGAGGCCATGAGAATCGCAGGCCATTGCTCGGTCTTCGGGTTAATTCACGAGAAATATCGTCCATTTGGTCAAGATAGCCAATAGCCCGGCTGCGATATATACACGTGCAGTTTTAGGTATTCTATTGTGACTCTATTGTCGCCTTGGAGTTAGACATGTTTAGAAACGCAGAGATCGCTGTTTGCCCCTTTAGCATACAAATTACTCATATCAATACATTTGTAGACTTAGCGGCTTTGTGATGAAAAATATTCCTGGCATTATTCCATTAAAATCTGCCATTGCTTGCACATGGTTGGGTCAACAGGATCACGGCGCTTAATAGTTCTCTAATTAGATAGCTCGTGTGTACTCACTGCTAAGAAAAGACTCGCGAGGTACATTGAGAGTGCTGCCTAGTCGCTCACCCCGCAATTCTGTAGATAAGCCACAAGTAGCCAACCAATGACACAGGGCGGCTGTTAGCGACCGGCAATGCTGGGGGCGCCTATATCTCCACCTTGGGAGGCATAGTACAATAACCAGAAACTGCGGAATGTCTTTAAATAATGGAACTTATCGCTCTATACACCTGAAGGACACCACATTCTTCTGCACTTATTTTGGCATACAGAGTTTATTCACAGCGTAATGAACATTTTCTCCTCACTTTTTCCTGGTCTGTTCCCTAAAATGTCTTCTCTCAACCTCCGCCTTGACGACGACGGACTTTGTGACGAAGGAGACTTTTCATACCGAAAAGCCTTCAATATTCTTCGCAAATATCTTGAACCAGACAGTGAGGTTTCTATCGACAAGACTGCCATTCAGATTACCGACATGCTTCCAAGTTCGGGAGGAAAAGAGTATGGCAAGGGCGACAGTTCCTTTGCGTACTTAGTCATTGAAATAGCTGAGCAGATTCCTTATCACCACCTATCTCAGGTCAAGCTGGTGTGGCTTGTTCAGCGCTTGGTGTTGTCTGCAAAATTGAATGCCATAGTATCACGCGAGGTATTATATTACTGGGTGACAGAATATTCAAATAGTGATATTAATTTTGCATTCACAGGGTTATTCCCTCAATGGCTCTCTTTCTACTTTGCATGGAGCATTGTACGAATATCAGCACAGTAAGACAGAACCCATGGTGCTTTTACTTTATTCTGATGCTATGTTACTTGAATAAAAGGCTGACGTCTTATACTAGTGGTTTTGGACGATGACACAGATTTTCAAGACCAGGTGTCCAAATGCATCAACATGCAGGCTTTCATAGCCCGACTCGTGGAATGTCACTTCATAGATAATCCACTATGGGGAATATGGACACTACGACAGGCTCTCGAAAGTGAATGGATTGGTGATGAGGCTGACAGCTGCTTTTTCAGTGGAGCCGCGATGTGGATATTACTCGCTGGACAGACTTTATTCGTGCAAACGGTTCAAGCTCCAAAAGAGATTGAACCAGATTTTAAAAATTCGTATAATGGTGGCCCGCTCTACACGGGCCCTGCACTCGGATTAGAGCGGTGGAGATTCTGGCAGAAGGCATTTGATGCTGTTTCAGACAGGGAAGGGATAACGGATGAATGTAAGAAGCTGGCGGGTAAAGCAGCGGAACTCATGGCAACTCTTGAAAGAACCATGTCTTGGTAGCTTGATAAATTCTCAGATAATCTGTTTTGTGGTGTGCAACTTTTGCCAATGTACCCGTTAGTAAGACTTTTGCCTGTCGCGCTGTTATCGAATGCATTAGAATAGAAGGGTACTTTTTCCCCTATGAATTATAGCTCACTGCTGTATTTAGTCTGTCGCAAATGAATATAATTGTAGTGAGTACACTTTAGAATCCAGTCCATCCTCTGTAGCCACCATGCTAGTGGATGTTTTCCGAATGATATGTAGAATTCTTCCCGGTATATATGTCTTGGGTGGTTTGGTAATGCATTTCTGACAGGTATGATGCAATGTCGGCTTTCTTCTTGACGGCCCCAGATTCGGCGGTGCATCGCTATGCAACTTAGCGGCGGCATAGCGTCCGCTTGCCAAGGGCCCCACTGCTCGAGCCACACTTAGAACGACATGCTAGGCAGCTATCCCTACCGGCGTACAGTGTGTGTACACAAAAAGGAACAGCTCACCCGCTTTTGACACAGCTAGGTATCTCCTGACAATTACTGACACAGAGCGTCATTGACGATTTTAAAAGGCTTAGAGTCCTGTCAACTAAACATATCCATACTCGAACTTTACACACAACGGCCTGACCATGACTACCGCCCACAATGCCGAGACACTACTTTCGATCCTGACAGGCGAGATGGAGTGGTTTTGGGACACAGAGTGCAATTGGATTACGTTCAAGAAGGATGGCACGGGCCATGTAAGTCTAGGTGTCTTTCGTGCTTAAATTGGTCTTGTATCTCTAATGACGGCAACATGAATTAGTTACGATGTGGTGCAGGGCTGTGTATATTCATTTCAGCAGATTTTGAGTGGAAACTTGTCAATCCAGACTTTCTCGATCAAGTTCACGACACCACTGTGACTACAAGCAACAGAAGAAAAGAACATTCACAGTTGATAAGCCAGTTCGATGTGGAAATCACTCTCTTCAAACGTCGCCCTGAGTTGTTCTGCGACCCAAGATGGATTTCAATACCGATCAACGACTACAATCTAGGAGATGAGGCCTTCCGGCCTAAGCGCTATACGATAAGATTAGAAAAAGGTAATTTCTTTTCCCCGGGATGTGTTCAACAAGGAACAGAGTGGGATCCATGGTATGCGCTTCGTCTCACCTTTGATAAGTCGCCATACCCTCCAAAACAGGAGTGGAAGCGACCAGATGGACCACAAATACATAATCCTTTTTGGGAATTGGTAGAGTTTTGTGGTCGAAGTCTGCCGATGGTGAAAAAGCAGGGATGGAGCAGCTGCATAGCATCATGATTAATTGTGACAGCTAGTGCTGTCCGGTCAGTGGTGGTCTCACATTCTCATGGCTCTGATACGAGGCTCTATATCGATAAAAGATAAAATTATTTACATCGTCTATAAGGCTGGACTAGATATATACATTCCGCAGACCAGCCAGCTGCAAGGCTAAATCTCAAAATCTTATGGACATCTCAAGTCGTAGATGCATGATACAGTGGTAAAAGCGATTACTTCCAAGCGTATTAATTGCCAAAACCTGCAGGGTTTGTTCTTAACACCCAGGTATGAGCCGTTGATGAACTTGGCTTAAATGGCAAAACCGCCGGAGCTGACCTGTCTTGGCTCTCCCGCGGCCTCAAAAGTGCCATTAGAAAGTCTGCGAATACCCTGAGCGGCACTCTGGCCGGGAGCGACCCAAGTCACGTTATGGCCGCGCGACTTCATAAAGGACACAGTTTCATTGTTGTACGAGTACTCGAAAGTGACTTGGTTGGGCATGAGCTGGTCGTGGAGACGAGGCTGCGCAAGAGCTTCCGGCACAGTCATGTTTTGGTCGAGCACGTGCCAGAGATTCTGGATGGTAGAGGTAATAATGCGGGAGCCGCCAGCGGCTCCGATTACATAGTACAGTGTGCCATCGGGCTTTTCGGCGATGACAGGGGAAATGGACGACAAAGGACGTTTGCCGGGGCGAATATAGTTGGCCTCGGAGGGGATGTAGCCAAAGGCGTTGGACGTGCCAGGGATAGAAAAGTCTAGAAATCGATCAGAAGAGCTCCAGAGGGCCAAAGAGGGAGTATGCTGAGTTAAGATACGGACCATTCATCTCGTTGTTCATGATAATACCTGTCTCCGGGACCAGGACTTGCGAGCCGAAGAGCAGGTTGATGGTAGTGGTCAGGGTAATGGCCATGCCAGATCCGTCGGCAGTGACAATGTGAGAGGTTCCTGGACTAAATAATCGTTAGGTCACTTTAGGCATCCGTGATCACAAGAGTAAAGAAATGACCTACGTTTCTAAGCTTTCCAAACCCAAGGGGTTGTAGGCGGAGACATTGAGCGTGTGGAAATCGGAAATCTTGTCACGGATCTCGGCAGCGGTTGAAGCGTTGAGCATCTGGTCTTCGTACTCTTGCATGCCGGGAACAAAATAGGGATCTCCAAGATTTGCTCTCTGCGGAAATTCGTCAGAATTATCGCAAAATTGCTTCAAGAATGTACAAACCTCGCCATAAGCAAAGCGAATTGCCTCGTCCAAACGATGGGTGCTCAGATTGAGCATGGAGGCCTCACCCATTCCGTCGTATCCTTCAATAATCTTGAGCGCGGACAATGCCACAGTACCACCCGATGGCGCGCTGCAGCCGGTGAGCTTGTAGCCGTGATAGTCAATATGGGCGGGCTTCCGAAGAGCTACGGTGTAGTTGCGCAAATCCTCGAGCGTCATAGTGCCGTTCGCGGCCTGGACTGCCCGAATCATAGACTCCGCGATGGGACCGTGGTAGAAGGCATCGACGCCCTCCTCGGCGATAGCTTCAAGGGTATTGGCATAGCGTTTTCGCGTCAGAGTATCTCCAATCCCCAGGAGCTTTCCGTTGGGCGCAAAGTCAATCGCCCAGTTAGGGTCGTTGACCAAGAAATTGTCTTGTCCAGCAACAGCAGACTTCATCTGTTTCACCAAGTCTGCGGTGACTGGGAAGCCTTGGCGGGCGACATTGACAGAAGGCTTGACAACCATCGGCCACGGTAATAAGCCATACTTGTCGTGGAGGTGAGCGAGACCGCGCAGTTCGCCAGGAACGCCACTACAGGTGAAAATGGGATATTAGCTAAAATATACTTCCAATTGCGCGGGGAGGAACTTATTGCAAGGGACACCCTTTGCAGATGTTGAGAGAATGCAATATAACAGCAAGCGACATACCTTGCTAATCCGCCATAAATTGAAGCATCCGTATTATTCTTATACATGTTCTCGAATGCCGCAGCCGGGGCCGTTTCTCGGAAATCAATAAACTCGTAGTCGCCGTGCGGCGATCGCACAAGCATGAAACCACCGCCTCCAATGCCACTGTGGTACATGCCAATGACGCCGACGCAAAGAACGGTTCCGACGAGCTACAGAAAGTAATCCCTAGTTCAGCTTGCTGCATATCCGAAAGCCACAACTGCGCCAGAACCGATCGGCAGTGGGCAGTAGTACAAAGAGTCGCAAGGGTATTGTATAAAAGGTACACATACCGCATCGGCCGCGTTTCCACCAGCCTTTAGCAGCTCAATACCAATGTTGCTGCATATTGTGCTCTCCGAAGCAACTGCGCCAAGTTTGTCATCGCCGACTTGTTGGAGATTCGAGCTGATAGGGCTTGCTACAGCACTGGCTGCCAATGCCAATGAAAGCCAGGGAGCGCGCATCTTTGTTCTCTTCGAGCGACGACAGCGAAACGAGCTCCGTGTTTACCTCCCCTCAAAATGACTCCTTCACGATGGGCAGGAAGGCGCAATTAATAGACATCGCAAAGAAGATGGATGCGACAAAGGCACGAGATCAACCTTGTGGCACTGCGCGATAAGACAACAGACCACCTGCCGACCTGGCAGTCAGTCGGACCCGTCACCGACAGAGGAAGCCACTTTTGCGAAAAACGTTTATCGCTTAGATAGCGCTACTCTCGCCGGTTGCGCCGCCAAACGGGCCCAACATGTTGGCGCAAGGGGTCGGGCCCTTGGCCACCGGTTCCTGTCGTCAACGTTCAGTCATTATTGTTCCCGGTGTCTTCTCTGGTTGGCGTCTAGAAATCTTTATCAGGTTTGGCCAACACGGAATTCAGAAGCATTCAAGGGTATCCCAGTAAGCACAATGACGCTGTCGACATGTTCCTATCCGTGTGACTCGTTGGACTCCACATGATGCCCGAGAATATGCTCCGACACCGCTTCGAGAAGGCTTCGGGGTGAATCGTTGCCCTGGGATGGAAATAATAATGATGATAGGTTCCCCCTGGTCCTTTTGCTCCGTACATATGTGACCAATTTTCTGCTCCATTTGGTAATTCAATTTCCGACAGCGTCCGACGTTTAAGAGCAACGCAGATCCAGGATATTCGCTTGTCGACGCGTTACATGATCCTATTGGTAACGAAGGAATGCTCAGAGTCGTTGATCATGAAGCAGAATTGATCTCAGTTGTTGTGCTGTCAAACGGATTTTTCTTTGGGAACGAGTGTCTAATTTGTGTTAATCCACGAACAGTAGATACGCAAACAGAAATAAAATCTGCGATGAAGTGACGTAGAATATACACAGTGAGATACAAATGTTTGTACCATAATTCATCTTACCTAAGGTATCTAGGGTAGGTAACTATTCATCATTGGTGAAAGGGCGCGGAGGTGTTCTGGAAAACTCACCGAATCTGGATCGGTAGCTCCCTTCTTCCCGATCCCACCTTCCCCACAGCTAAACGATAGCCCTCCGTCCTTATCATTATTGCATAAAAACAATGTCTAAAAGAAAAAGGCTGCTTTATCACAGGATGATAAAGATATCTCGACACAGATTTGCTTATCATGAATTGATACGATATATCAGAAAGAATAGCGCTTCAATTTTCCCTCATCGAGCCGGGGATATTAAGTGAGACACTGGTTTATTAGCTTTAGCCATCGTTAGCTGACATGGCGTGAATTCCACTTCCGAACATGCTCAGCTTCTTTATAATCTATCCCGACGCTATTTACATCTCCCGGAAAGGATTCCGGACAGCATCTATACTAGAAAAATGTTCCGTCTATAATCATGAATCATCGCATCATTATGGTCATCACCTCGTGAACCACGTCATTGAGGTGTAATCCTTTTGTGGCCCTTTAACATAGTACTTGATCCCAAACCGACTGAGCCCGACACCGTCAAAATTGAACGTGTACTCTGGCGTATAGTCATCCTTTTCGCAGAGATGATGGCTGCGAGCCTTCCAGGCTTTGAGTTCTCCTAGTGCGCCAGTGTCCGACGATACAGGCACTTCGAAATTGATGGCATGGAAAAGGTAATCTACAGTTTTCGGATCGTCTGGCTTGACAAACCAGGCAGTAATCTTGTCATCGCGCTCGCTGTAGCGGTAGACATAGCTCCGATTAGCGCGTAGCGTCCAGCCTTGATTCGTGACGAGCTCGCCTTCTTCGTGATAGAGCATTTCCATGTCATAGGCAGGATCAGTCGGAAAGCGCGCATGAAACTTCGCCGTCCCCGTAAAGTTTCCAGATGGGTGAGTGGGAAGTGCACTGTTGAGTTCTCGAGACATGTGCCATTTGCCGTGCATCGCCCGAAACACAGCTCTGCTGAGGAACCCAGCTTGACTTGCTGAGGACAAGAGGGTGCGCTGCAGCGACTGTATAGTTTTGTTAGCCTCCTGCCGGTCCGCCGTATCGTCAATGTATCTCGCGCCAATGACCGGTCCACCTCGCGGTTCATATCCATCGAGCTCAAGGCGCGGAATGTCCATTTCGCGCGCAAAGCTTTCCATGAGGCCTACGTAGTCTCCCATCCAGAACTGGGGAACCATTGGAGACCCTTTGATGGCAATGCGAAGGTCCTCCATTGGTTTTAGATCTTCTACACTATCAGCAACGGCGTCGGCATTACTACCCCATTTCCTGCACAGGAACCGCGCCTGCATCTCCATGCCGCCCCAGTACGGCCCTTCATAGTATCCAACAAATCCGAGGTTTGGGAAATCAGGATGAGAAGTGGAGCGGTGCTGCAGAAGTAGTGGCATGCGCTCGCAATGACTATCGTGCTGAAGAGCGGCAAGAACCTCAGGAGACAACCATGAGATGGCTGTCTGAGGAGTGAATCCGGTAGCCAGAATAATCCCCTCCACCCTGTCAAGTATGGACTCCTTGCCTTTGTACTCCACCTTTACCGTCCCTGTACCACCAGCGGCATCCTCTCCAACCTGTATAGCTTTTCCCGCAACAGGGGAAATATATCCGGCCCGGACAAGTCCTGCATACCATTCGCTAATAGCGACGTAAGCAGGCTCGTCCTCTTTTGCGGATGAGAAGATTCTGGAGCGAGTTCCAAAGCCATACTGATCCCCTCCAATCACGTTTCGCAGGAACTCATGCGTCATCTTGGCCTTTTCCGCGGTTAGAGTACCAGTTGCGTATGTGATATCCCCCGAGGGCCGCCGGGAGAGGTTGTACATGCACATATCCAGTGGTGTAAACGAAGGTTGCATGGCTCGTCCTGGGTCTCGGGGCAAAATAGGCGGGAGTGCGTAAAATGGACGCGAAATGACATGATGGATCTGGTAGTCCCTGGAGACCTCGGAAGATCCGGGGGAATGCTTCCGTGAAGAAATATGCAGAGCCAGCGATGCGGCAGCTTCAACGCCCGACATGCCACCCCCAATAACTACTAGCTTTGGGATTGTCTGATCCTGAGACGGGTCAGAAGAGGCCGGTTTCTCAAATATTTCGGACGATTGCGCTTTGGGGGGGACTAGGTCGTCAAAGGTTCTGTATTGACTACTGTGGATGACATTCTGCGGGAATTTTCCTAGGCCCGCAATGTTTGAGCGCCTCGGAGACGAAAAGAATCCAGTGGCGACTACAAGGTAGTCAAAGGTATCCCGATGGACGGAGCCGTTATGGGTAGTCCATTCCAGGTTCCACAAGCCATTGTCCTTTCTGCGTTCTGCCTTGGTCACAGTGCTGTTTAGACGTACGACTCCGTTTGGCAAATATCGATGGGCATACGCTTGGAGATACTTTTCCACCTGCCGAGCCTTGGGAAACATGGGCATGAAACTGCTCTCTTCCAGGGGCTTCGCGGCTGAATCGGTCTGAGATTTGCACTTGCCGGTTTCGAGGTCGGCCGACTCCCAGGCAAAATCCGAAAAGCAGACAGAGTAGCGACTCAGGTTGGCGGGCATCTCAGGGCTAACTAGGCCATCTGGGCCTGCCGTGGAGACGGACCAAAGTCCGCCTACTGACAAGGACTTTTCGAGTACGGTTACGTCAAATGCTGGAACTGAATGGGAATGGAGTAACGTCTTGGCGGCCACGAGTCCGGAGGGACCGGCACCTTCAGGTTTTCAAGTAAGCATAAAACATGTCTCAAAAACTGAAAAGGGTCCACTCACCGACAATGGCGACTCTTTTTGGGACATGCATGACCAGGCACAGTCGTGCGTAGGAGAACCAGAACGGACTGGTTGCGAGTTGAGACGATGCGAGACATGAGCTGCCCGTGTCGGAGAGACCATGGTTAGCGTCGGGTCGCTTGTCCTAGAACTGGCCCCGGTCCTCATTGCCGCCAGGCCGCCCAGCACGTAAATTATAGGCTCTGCAATTCCGAATAGGCTGGAGAGGGAAATTGTTATATTCTTTTACACTGTAGTCCTAATTAGGTAGCTATACATTTATTATCATGTTGTTCTTTCCTTGAATTGATCTTTGCTCTTTCTACTCTCTTATAGTGTATAGAACAGTATACGAAAGGAGCTATATATAAATAAATAAATTATAATAAAAAGAAAGACTAGAGCATCTAGGTAAAATGAAAATAGGTAGTTGTTTTATAACAATAGATAGCCTGTTAGCTGCAACATATACTTAATACTATGTCATGTTCCTATATAAATAATGGTACTAGATGCAGAAGTCATTGTTATTCTAAAGGTTTGTTAAAGAAAGTCTCTAAAGTAGTAGTCTGCATGATCAGAGTACAATCTCTATTGTTTCTTTTCATCTAGAGGCTTTTACTTATTACTTTAATTTTTTATAGTCTTGTTCCTTTCTATGAAAAGGATGCGTCCATTCTCTCGCTTGAACGTGGCATATCTTTTAAGAAAGGACACCTGTATATAAATACTTTTTTCGGTTGGTCATTTTATGGAAAGAAGGGAATAAAGTATATAATAAGGAATGATCCTTCGATGGCAACTAACATATTAAAATATTTTATCTCGAGCATATCAGTCACATACCTAGCTTGCAAAACCATGCACAAAGTGCAGGTGCCCTCCTGCTTCCTCCGGCGACATATACTATCTCCACGAGTCTCCAGCTCACTGGCTTTAAATATAGTCTCACCTCGATTTCAGCTACCTTATCATTTTATCTCTGCCGTACCTCTGTCGCGCCGCCTTTTCTCCGGTCACCGAATATTTCCAAATGCGGGATTTCAGTTGATAGATCCTTCTATACTAGTCGAAGAAGAGACGACCCCAAATTACAAAGCTTGGAAATACTATCCGGCTTCTATAGGGGAAGTACTATGCAAGAGATATCAAATTGTGGGTAAACTAGGCTATGGCTCAAACTCTACAGTCTGGCTATGCCGTGATATGAGGTGAGTCCCAAAAGCTTGTAATATTTCTTCCGCTCATACATTTGCAGAGTAAATCAATACATCGCTTTGAAAATATATGTTGTTAATGACTCGATGGTGCATCGAGAGCTCCCGATTTACCACCACATCAATCAGGTCAGGTCGGATCATCCTGGCAGGGAATGCATTCGGAAGTTAATCGATTCGTTTGAAATTATTGGACCACATGGTCGACATCGTTGTCTTGTTCACCAGCCACTTGGAATGAGCCTCGAAGAATTGAAGATGTATACACGCGACAAAGTATTTAGCAAGGATTTATTGAAGATTGCGCTTCGGGAACTGTTGATTGCGCTCGACTTTCTCCATAGCGAAGCCCAGGTGATACATACTGGTAGCTATACGACGTTCCCCTGCTTTGATACACGGTAGATACTTACTTGAATAGACTTGCAGCCTGATAATATGCTTATCGGAATCGACGACGAGTCTATATTCTCTCAGTATGAAAAATTATGAAGTAGAGCACCCGGTACCCCGCAAGATTGCTGAGGATCGGTCTCTTTATGCTTCGCGCCCATTTCTGCTCACATCTGGGATGCCAGTTCTCTGCGACCTTAGTGAAGCGCGGTTCGGGGCGGAGGAAAACCAAGGGTATATTATGCCAGAGCTCTTTAGGGCGCCAGAAGTTATCTTAGGTATGAAATGGACTTATAGTGTTGATATTTGGAATGTTGGTCTGATGGTAGGTTGTCTTTTCTCCGCTGCATCAAACGTTCCATCCATGTAGCACAGGCTCACTTGTACTAGGTTTGGGATCTGTTCGAGAAGAGTCACCTATTTCCAGGCATAAAACCGGATCAAACGTATGATGAAGTGCACCGTCTTGCAGAAATGGTAGCAATATTGGGGCCTCCTCCACTTAAATTCCTCGAGCGGAGCGACATTAGCCTTCGCTTTTGGGATGAGAATGGTCTGCGAGCCCATTTGCTTTTCTAATATTTTCTTCAGTTCAAAACTAATTTCTCTAATAGGTAATTGGAGAGGGCTTATGCCAATCCCTGATATGAACCTTGAGGATCTTGAACTTCGACTATCGGGTGAAGATAAGAGAGGCTTTCTCCAATTTCTACGAAAAATGCTCTGTTGGCTGCCAGAGGAACGAATGACAGCAGTTGACCTTGTTTATGACCCGTGGCTAATGGAAGGGCTTTTTGACCCCTAATCAACTTTAAATCAGGAGCCTAGATTACAGGGCTGGGCATTTTTGCATCGTGGTCTAGATCAAGAAGTTATATTAATAATTACCAGTTATCCATTACTGCGTGACTTCTTTCATCGCATACCTACCTACCTTAAGTAACTACCATACCTAAGATTGGTATAACTAAGTTGACTTGAATCAGACTTTGTCCAGGCTTGTAGTATTCGTACATGTCCAGGTAATATACGTTTATTGCAGTACGTGCCATACTGGCTCTCCTCAATGGGCACTACCTGTCCTACCATGGTGTACGCGATCTGTTGCACTGTTGCACGAATTCCTTCGTCTCCGGGCCAGCAGTCTAAGTAATTTTGTAGCTTCTTTCCGCATCTGGATGTGCCAACAGATGACCGACCCTCAACCATTTTTTTCCTACTCTGCCGCTTCGTCAACAGTCAGTCGACTTTTGAACCGCTGTCGAATTGTCAATTGCCTGTCACACTTGTCGCTGCGTTACTATTATTATATTGCCTCCTATGACAATTTAACCAGTCGCTCCCCTTCCAATTGTCTCAAGAATCTCCACTTTCCTTTTACCCACTTTTCGACCCCAGACCCCACAGACCCTGAAAACCCCAGGTCACCCTAGATACAGCTCGCCCCGACTTTTTACCTACGATACCCTTGTCGACCTTCATGTAACTACTCCGCAAAAAGAGAAAAACATACGAAACTCGACAGATAAATACCGCTACGATGGCATCCATTTCACTCTCGAAGCGAGATGGCTCAGTTCATAAACCCTGGTTCGTATTTCTCTCTCCGGTTTCGCTTTACTTTACTTTCTTCAGCCCATGTCTCGGTCTCGCAATGTGTTTCCGTTGCCCCACGACCAATGCACTTCCGTCCTTGTCGTAGCAAGCTTCTTTTTAATTTCGCACAGCAATTTGACTTTTTTTATCTTTTTGTGCTAAACAGGATATCCTCCCATTGGCGCTGGATTCTCATGGTTATTGTAATAATCCTCGGACTCGGTCTGCTCGCCGTTCTGCTATCATACTTTCACAGACGCTACAAGCGGCGACAACAAAAAGCTCGTGCTCCTCAACAAGTATCGCTATGGTATCCACCGATAGGCGGGGTTGTTAATGGTCGTGTACTTGTTGGAGACATGTTCTATATTGGCACCGCAACTCGCACATACCCAGAAGATGAGCGCAAAAAACAAAAGAAGGAGAAGAAAAACAAGAAGACGAAGAACCAGGTCCTTGTTGCTGAGAACGAAGTCGGCGTTAGTGGGCCCAGTAGTGCTGCTTCTGCTGGCCCCGCTGGGTGGGATGGCGCCGACAGTGAGAAGAAGCTCATGGATGAAATCCCAATCAAGGACGAGAATATGATCTAGATGGAATCCTTGCCCGTCTGCGTTTTAACTTGTCTTGCTTGTCGTTATTGTCCGGTGGGCTACCGGTCACGACTCCCACCTGTCCTATGTTTCTTTTGCGTTTTTACCTATCCTTCTTTGGTGAGGCTCACTTCCTAGAGGGTTGGCTTAATATGAAATATGAGATTTCTTTTATTTTTATTTTTTCTTGTTTTCATCATTCTTGGTGCAATTTACGTATTCCACACTTCTGACAAGGGCATTTCAATGCTATGATCCATTTCCGGTCCAAGTATCGGCTCATCATCATCGCCATCACCGTTACTTGCATGGTGCATGGACCGGCTCCCGTCCATGTAGGTCATGGATCCTAGTAATAGAGTAATACGCGCTACTTTGTATTGGACCTATATATAGAGACTGTGAGATCATCGCCAATGCCAAAGATTCATGGCATGGCAAGATAGAGCAGGAAGAACAACAGGTATAGATTAGAAGCAAAGAAGTACTTATAAACAGGCGAATCAGTGCATTAATAGATTTTGACATGGAAACCAGTTGTCGCATCGCGGCTTCATCCAATACGAGAGGGATGGAATTGTGAAAGAGGAGGAGAACCCAAGTAAAAAAGAAGGGCAAAAAAAACAAGAGATACAAGGCAACCGAGAACGCTCTTTCCAGGTCCACATCAGTCGTTCTGACTCAATAAAGAACCACGATTTTACAGTTCATGAATAGCAAAAGTAGTGCTGGTGTAGACAGGTCGAACCATCGCCAGCAGCACCATTAAGCCCGTTTCTATCCAGATTCAACACATTATCTTGAAGCAGCAGCACCTCGACTTGATGATGCTCCAATGACAATGAAAGCAGCAAACTAGACCTCACTGGTGCGGGCCTGGCGACGTGCTCTCGCTGCGAGAACCTTCCGATACACCACGAGACCGATGACTCCAGCTCCAACAATGAAAACGATGCAAAACACGAGCACAACACCAGGGTGGTGCGCAGCCCAATTCTTTCGCTTGAAGAGTTGATGGAACTGATCGCGCACCACGAGAGAGTGATCGAGAGCAGGCATTGCGATAATAAATGATGCGCCAGAAACACCCTACTAGTCGGGAAAAACGTTAGTTCTGAGGCAAAAAGTATGGGTTTGAAGTGCGATCGATACCTTAAGTGCGAAAATTGGGCTTTTGAGCTGGTCTTGGCAGGGTGACAGGATATCGTATCACCGTCTCGAGGTTTGACCCGGGTTGATGGCGAAGCGAAGCTGTAGATATTAGCATTTCGGTCGGAGCAAAACAGTCCATCAAAGTTAGTTCGGTAGCGACGCAATGATGAATCACTGGAGTGCCGCATCAAAGACGAAACAATTGCTTATAGAGATTGACAAGTAATCAATGCGATACGAAATAAGCTCGAGATGATTGTGGGGAAATAGTGTAATAACGCCAATCCCCCGGATAAATCGATTCGGTAAGCATTAGTTCGTCGAGTGGGGCCGAGACGGGCCATGGCGCGATGGTTGGTGGAGCTCAGACAAACGATCATGACAAACGGAAGCTTACCAATTGTGAATGCAATGAAGCTCGAAAATCTCAACAAATACCTCTGAGGAGAAGTACTGACAGAAGAAAGGCCGAAGGCGCAGGATGACGATGATTTGGCGTGCGAGAGAGAGGTGAGGTGGTGGTGGTGGTGGTGGTGGTGATGGGAAGCGGAGAGAAACAGCAAAAGAATATGGGCGGGAAGGGGGAGCGAGAGAAAGTAGCTTAGTTCGGTAGGTAAAGTAACTTACCTTAGGTAGGCAATGAGATCGGTACACAAAGACGGAGAGAAGATTATTGATTTCTCAGAGCCAAAGAGAAAAGGTTTAGATGGCTTTGCACCTTGCTTGAGTTGTCGATGGTGTCCCATTGAAGCTTCTCGGGACTAGACCTATTTCACTTAGCCGTTGATCGATCCGGCAAATGGCCTTTCTGTGGAAAACAAATGAGATGTTTTGTCATTCTTGTATCAGAAGGTATTCTCCCTCACATTTATCCTTTGGGGATACCTTGAGACGAAAATGGTCTTCGGCACCTCCTCTTTTTTTCCTTTGCGAGAAGGTGACCATCGTTGTGTTTACCCTGGTCGCCATGATCCAAACAATGAGGGACTTTTAAGTTCTTATCAGGGTGAAGATGAAGGACGATATTGATGAGGTGAAATGCAAAGCCATTTTGATCGTTGCTGAATTCGCATTGTGGTCATGTCGTGTACGGTGCTGTACTTGACACCGAGTATAGTACAGACACATTATTGACATGGCAACGGAAGCATTCCACAGATGTACATTCATGTATATGGTTGCCCTGCTGTACAATGGGAAGTACACACAAACCGAATATGCCCACTCTTCAAATGCTCTGTCCATTCACGTGCCAATAGCTGCACCTGCTCGGCCCCAGTGCGTCACGACTTCAGAGATGGAGCCTAGCGGAATTGATCTCTCTTTTCCCACTTGCGATGAGCGTTGAGTGCAACTGGCCATTTGACTCAATGAGCTGACCAGTTGTCGATTCGTAATTTGTTTTGGGCGTAAATTGAGGGTAGCAAAGATGACAAGCACGCCGACAATGTCAAAAACGCTCTGAGAGTCTAGTAAATATTCTTTGTATTCTAGGCCTAGAATTGTAATAGATGAGAGGTTCTACACCGCCCGTGCGCTTATTAGTTCCTTGCGGAAGATGTCTAATATATCCCTTCGCCTCCGATAAAAATAAAAATAAAAAATATTGTCCCTTCAATATCAAGAATAATATGCTAGTGCATGGGATGGCCCCGCGGATATTATGATTAAGCCCTGGACTCCCAAGCCATCGTGATGACGAAGCTGAACGGTGCTTCAACTTCCGACGTACGTTGGATCGGCAAGGCGGGCATTGAAATGGCAATGCGCTGATAAATGTATGATGACGAGCCGAGGTGCCAAGAGTCTATTCTCTAATAGAGAACCGCATGTCAGACCTGCATCCTCGACTGGAAATCATAAGCGGTGAAGAAAGCTTACTTTAAAGTTCAAACGCAATGCTCAATCCATTATGCCTTGAGCGAGCAAGGCCGACAAGCCTTGACCTTGCAGTATTGACATTCATAGATGAACCAATGCGGTCCCGACTGGCACATGCTGCAATTCCACACCAACAGAGTGGTATCGCTCTTGATCATGTTGAAGCTATGGCCGGGGCAGCTGGTAGGATTGGCCATTATCTGCGCGCAAAAGTTAGCCTCCAATTCCTCAGCATTTGTGTGGCCGCCGCCGCCGCGGCCGCTGCTGCTGGTGGTGGGGCAGCAGACAAACAAGTATAGATACGGTAAACATACGTCGATATGTCTTTCCAGGACGAGTTTGAATAAGAGGAGAATAGAACTTGGTGGAGGAGATGTAGACGGAATATGAAGACGTCGAAAGGAATGTCGGTCACTTGGATGACAAGGCAGAGCTGAGTATTTATGGTTGTCCCTCGTACTTCGCACTCCGATTGGCAAGGATGCGCAACAATTAAATGACGACGATGAGAAGAAGAAGATGAGAAGAATGATGCAGCAGCTCCAAACCACGGGAACCCTGGGGGTTCTTATCTGCCGGCAGGGTAGGACTATCTTCCGTTGTGCACAGGCCTTCTTCAGCGCCCCGACACCATCAAAGACATGGCGTCTGTACTCGAATGCGAAGAATCTGGATGTCGTCGGTCTGGTCTCTGCAGGTGGTTGAACGGATCACAAGGCGAGGTACCCTAGACGACGATGGTCCCAAATCGAGTCAGACCGGGGGGTGTGTTTCTGAAGAAGGCGGACCGGTAACGCCGTGGACGAGGGGTCCAGAGGAGATGACGATCTCAGACGAATGTCGAAGAGTCGAATTAGAGCATCAGAGTCGAGCAGGGATGAGCAGTGCAACAAGGGAAGATAGAACGGAAGAAAAAAGCTTCGGCCCGCTCAGACTCGCAGATGGCTGAACATGCTTCTCGACCCCAAAAAAAAAATCAGGAACAGACCCACGGGGATGCGGGCCCCCCTCCATGAAGAACGCCGGCCCGCCGGCTTGTTATCCATTTTCCTCCGGTGCATCAGGGTTCAAAACCACGGCCCTAAAGTGTCCGTTCTGCCATCGTAACCCTGCAGGACATGGCGTTCGGCCACGACGCCCTGCCGATGCGTCCCAAGTGAGTCGTGTCTCGTGTACCTCGTCTGATGTTTGAACTGGGGGATGCTTGTTCAGGAGCAAAATTCTCAGTCTTCACCCCTTCTCATTCAAACCAAGATTTCTTCACCTGCTCTCGAATTGGGACAGCACTGCGGGCCGCGCGGGAGAAGATGGGGCGGAATCAGCAGACGGCTCGGTCGGAGGCTGAGGCGCTGGTGTTTCATCCCCTCGCTCTGAAATTCGCACCATTTTGCCGGGGTGGCCGTCGGCCAAGCAAAGCGCAATCAAGCGTCGACCAAGAAAAGAGAAATCATAAGTGCGAAGAGGGCAGGCCAGATCGGTGGCTTTTTCGGGGTTCCAAGTACGAGGTACCTGAATCTGCATGTTTCTTCAGTTCCTCAGAGGCACCAACGCAACCATCTCGCGCCGTACCGACTACCCCTGGAGGGGCGATAGAAAGGGACAATAGGCAGGGTGTGTCAGATCGAAGCGTAAAAAAAGAGGGACGAGTGTGTGGGTGTGAACCTGAGAAAAGACCGAGGGGGAGAGAAGAAGAGATGATGAAATCACTACTTTTTCGAACTTGCAAGGTACCTATAGCTATTGGCAGCTGCAATCGCTCGGATGGGTAAGAGTGGCCCCAGGCTCCACTTATCGCTGCGTCAATTCAGCGCAGCAGACAACCATAACTAGAAAGGCGGTGGGTTGGACCGGGGTGTCGTGCTAAGGCAGCATTCCAAATCCGGGCCCCCGGGGCGACCCATCCGGCCACTTGCAGCTTCCCCCAGTAAGCCCTGTCCCAGCTGAGTGGCTCGGTGTCGGTGATCACTTGGCTGCATTTTCCAAGGGTTATAACTAAAATAACTAAACTATCAGTAGGTTCAGACACAAGACGAATCACCAAGGGCCGAAGCGCCATCGAAATAAAATAAAATAATATAATAAAAATAAAAAAATAAAAAATAAAAAATAAAAAATAAAAAATAAAAAATAAAAAATAAAATAAAATGCAACGAAAATGATCTAGCGTAATGTGTTTTCTTCATGCTAGTTGCCCCAGGGTGATGAAATCGAACAAAACAATTCTTCCATTATGTACTGTCAAGAATGCATCATAAACAAAAGTGGTATGCCAACCTTGTCCAAGTCTCTTTCCTCTCTGCACACGTATGCAGCGGTGGATGCGCTGCCAGCTGTATCCCTTTGGATGCGCACTAAACCCAGACCTTTCCAAGCCGCGTCTGTAGAGGACGGCTTGAAGCGCCTATCCCTCCTAATCCGGGTACATGCCGAAGAGCCAACTCTGCCTTAAATGGGTCCATCTCACATCTCACATGGTCCTGGGTCATCGCTGTCAATCCACTCATGGAGTTGACAACAATTAGTCCGTCCAAGCCGAAGCACTCGTTTCTTCAATTTGGTCGATCGCATCAGGCCCTGCTGAGTTGGTCGGAGCCCCCGCTAATATGCATTTCCCTTTGCATATACAAATCCTCAGCTCCCATTGCCTCCTCCGTGCTTTCTCCAATTGTCCTCTTCGAATTGTGTTGCTGCTAATGCTCCGAACGGCGGTCTAATAATAGATTGGTGCTGAGATATTTCACTTTGATCGCCATATCGAACTGTCTTTCCGCATAAGCAAGATCTTGCATATCATGACCCTTTTCGTCATTCGGAGTTTCCAGATATTTCCAAAAAGAAATTGTATCTTCGGCGTAAAAGTTGCCCTCGACCACCCACCCGGGGAATGCACCATCCAAAGGGGTTGACTTTCGATGCAGTCTACAATCCAATACCGTGGAACAAATCTCTTCAACAACCCAAACCCTGACCGAACAAGGCCGTGCGCTGGGCTTTGGCTTACCGGGAAGGTCACAGACCCTCGCAGCTCAGAAGCAGGCACTGGCCATATTCTCCCACAGAGCGGCGCTGCATTGTACACTAGACAAGGTCTTTTGCTGAAGGGTTGTTCCCTGATCATTTCAGCGGCTAATCCGGCTCCGTATCTTCCCCCTAATTTGCACGTGTTCGAGCAGCCCGAATCTTTCTTTTCTTTTCCCAGCTTGGATGCTTGCATGGTAGACGGAGAGGTTACTCCCGCGCTTGTCCGGAAATCTCGTATGAATGAAGCGAGGGAGACCTGGCCCGAAGGCTAAATGGATTCCCGCAGGCGCCATATTCCAGAGAGCAAGTGAATACACGGCCTCAATTTCTTCAGCACGTCCGATGGCACCTTTTCGATCAATGCAGCAAAACCTGTAAAAACATATCATTCACTAGGAATGAATTCAGGTGAACACCGCGTGTGAGAAGGCTCCTTTTGCACACCGCTTCTTTGCTCGTCTGAATTGCTGGCAAACAAGGGAAAAGATAAGATGTAAATCTGCATGTGTCTAACTCGATGTAGAGACATTGCAATAGGTTTAAACTTTGTGCGAGTCTGAGTCTGGTAGCCCCGTCTGCTGGATCTGTCGATATGAGACATGGTGTTGTACTCGAATAGGATATGATCCTTGGCTTCCTCCTCTAAAAACGGCAAGTCCCCGCTGCATCCACCGCTTCCCACGCAGCGTACAGGCTCCCCGCTTCTGCAGCGCACGTTCCATCGACCATATATGAGACCTAGTAATAAGACGGATCGATCGATCGATCGACAAACGTGCAGCTAGATCCTGCAACTGATACATTGTCTCCACACCCTGATGCAGGTACAGTGTTATGCCGAATTAATTCTTGCAGGACAACTCAAACAACAACAATAACACCAACAGGGATTGAAAAGCATCCGTCTTATATCACATTGACTCGGTCCATCTCGCCGCGTAATGATGCAACATCTGTTTCCCAGTCACCCTAAAGAAAACGGCGAGACACCTCATCTAAAAATGAGCAACATATTCGCTGCCCAATTATAGGTGAAAATGACAAAAGACAAATACCACCTTTACGTGGCCTTTAATCAGAAATTTGCGTCGGGTGCAGACCCGAGAGACCTGTTCAGAGTATCAACCGTGTTCTATTCGCCTGACTGAGTGAACCTCTGCACCGATTTTTGGCTTTCCATTAAAAAGTGCAAAGGAGGAAAACATCGCATTGATTTCACCAGATCGGCTTCAAATTACCTAGATCATTAGGCGATTATTGTTCCCCAATCACGCCCCAAAAAACATGACAGTGCGGCAAAGCAGTCGTCATAATGCCTCATGTGCGTACAACTGGTTAAACTTACGCCTTCTCAATAGAGCATTTCAACGATGTCGACTTCTCAACCAGATCTCATTCCACCTGCCCGCATCCTCGAATTTCCCCGACACGGGTCTAAGTCGGCATTTGAGTTTATGAAATTGCCATTTCCTCACGGAGACTGCATATCACTCGTATTCAAGAGATCAAATAGGCAGGGCAGTGGACCTTGCACCAGGGCCGGTGAGACGATGACTGGGCCGAAAATAAGCCATAGGCACAGACCTCGAGACAATAATAATGAACGTCCGGCTCCTGTAGAGATGGGATCGTCACTCATCGAACATTGCCCGTAGTCAAGGCGGCCGAAATTGTTCCGCTGCTGGAATCACACGGGCTTGCTTGGATGTTCAAGCATCAGAGAGGATATTGTGCGGAAAGTGCAGAGTCAGGCGGTTTGCACTCCTTGTGAGAGCTGTTAATCGAGAAGAGTAGAAGGCCAGAGAAGGGACAATGAGTTTCGAGATCAAATTTTCCACAGATATGCCAAAAGATGGGGCGTTGTGCTACCTGTGCTTTTTTCCACATATTTGTGCCCAACGTCCCGAACATCACATATTATCCGCTGAAAGAAATTGAGATTTCATCTTTTTTAAATGGTGGCAAAGATAATCGCTTGAGCCTACCTGTTGTCCGGCGGCTTGTCGGGTAATGTGACGAAGTGCGCTTTCTCCTGGTCAACTTCACAAGTCTCGATGCCTTGCCCTGAGCAAAGCTAAGCTTGCATCGCGCTCGAAGCGCTACATACGTATCGTCACAGGTTCAATTGGGATTGCAACACGCAGAGGCTGTGAGCTCATCCGAGTATGAGAACTAGCATTTCGAGCTGGGTTCAGCCGGAACTGGAGATCAAGTGAGTCCTCATTCTTAATTCACAGAGATCGAGAATACAATGCTAGGCAAAGCATATTGTGTTTAACCAGCAAAATATCCTGGTCCTGAGGACAAAAACAAAAGGGCGAAACTGTGCTTCACATCATTGGTCGCGATCGACAATTATCCGAGAACATCAGCAACTCTTATTGTGGTATAGGCTAAGTTATAAATTGCAGCGGTACAACCTATGATATGGACAGGATCCCTTTGCGCGTCCTGCTACGCTATAACTACAAGAATAAAAATATGAGACCAGGAGACGAAGCAATTTCAAGCGTCAAAACACCAACTAAGAGACCATCATTGTCAAGGCTTACTCTTTACGAAAACGACAAGCTCTTCTTAATCTCTGCGATAGCCAAACCAGGGTTGAGACCCTTGGGGCACGTTCTAGTGCAGTTCAAAATGGTGTGGCATCGGTACAGACTCATAGAGTTATTGAGCGCGTCCTTGCGCTGCTCGGTCTGCTCGTCACGGGCGTCGGCAATCCAGCGGTAGGACTGCAGCAGAATAGCGGGGCCAAGGTATTCTTCGGAGTTCCACCAGTATGAGGGGCAAGAAGTCGAGCAGCAGGCGCAGAGGATACATTCGTACAGACCGTCGAGCTTTTTGCGGTCCTCTCTAGACATGCGGTATTCCCGACCCTACACTGTGTCAGCTGTGCAACGAGGAGAAAGGATTACTGTAGGGGCACAAACATCTGGCGCCGGAGTACTGCGCTGGAGGTAGGGCTTGATCGACTTGTATTGTTTATAGAAGAGTGTGAGGTCAGGCACGAGATCCTTGACTACGTAGGTGTGAGGCAAGGGATAGATGCGAGACTCCTGCTTGGTATCGGTGGGGATACGGCCTAAATTGTTAGTCTGGAATAACGAAACTACGGCAGTAGTGGCAAACATACACAGGCACGCGAGGGTGTTGACACCGTCAATGTTCATCGCGCAGCTTCCGCAAATTCCCTCTCGGCAACTTCGACGGAAAGTCAGGGTAGGGTCGACCTCGTTCTTGATCCGGATCAAAGCATCAAGCATCATGGGTCCAGTCTTGTTTAAATCGAGGGTGTACGACTCCATCCGCGGCTTTGAGGTCGGCTCGTCAGGGTTCCATCGATAGACGTGGAAAGTCTTGATTCTGGCATCAGGGCTGGCGCTGGGCTCCTGGACAGTAGATGTCTTGGATTCATTGACAGGAGGACGGCTAGCTGAAGTAGCCTCCTTGACGGACTCGATAGGATTGACAGAGGCAAAAGACCGAACAGGCACTGTCGTCCTGAAAAGAGAACGCGAAGCCAAGAGGCGAGTAGAAGATCGAAGCGCGGCCATTGTCCAAAAAAGCGAGAAAAAGTTGCTGAAATGACCTAAGGATCGATTGAAACTGGGGATTAGATTACGAATGACGGAAGGACACAATTGTAAGATCCAAATTACTTACAATAGGACCGTAACACCTCTGATAGTGGAGATGGAGAAGAGTGGCGGAAGAATGCTCGATGGGCAACGGGATTCAACCTCGGGTGCTCGGAAATGGCAGGGCAAAGCAAACCCAATTGGTGCATGAGGAACTGCTGACCTCATGTAAAGCGAGCTTCTCAACCAATCATAATCAACTGGAATCAAAGCAAACGAGCCACAAGCGAGCCGATTCTCTGCCACAATTATTCTACGCCACAATCAAGGTACGTCCTCTAACTGTCCGACAAGCCACAGCGGGATTAATAGGAACGAGATATTTTGACGCATTAAGATGTGGTTTTCATCTTCACTTTTCAAAGTAGGACTGACAGCAAAATAGTTGTAGTATCAGAAGCTTTTCTGGTCATAATCTGCAAAACAGTCTTGCTACACAGTGTCATCGTACCCCGTTGATCCATAAAGCAGCGTTCAGCTTGAGCTTCACCGTAAGACAAAATAATTGCTCATCCACCATATTATTGAGATAGCTTTCATATAAGAGCAATTGGCAAGCGTCATCCAGTTCCAGCCTTCGGACGCGACGACCTAATTTGGCACGAAATCAGATGGCGAAATACGGATAACAAAATCTTAGCCCAAACAATGTGACGGAGAATCCAAGCAAGATAAGAAGAAGCAATCTCAGAAACCTTAAAAAAGTCCACCAGCAGGTAGTGCGACAAAAAGGGCCGTAAGTGGCAAGGTTACTATCAATGCCCATAAGTTGCTCTGTAGAACAATTTTCTCCTGGAGCAAGCGCAAGGCATCGTCTTGCATCCACACAGTTCGGTCAAACACCTTGCGGAAGAGTGACTTATGTTTATATTTGGACACCCAACTGTCGTCGGAAAATGTATTCGTGGTTCCGAATGAATCCATCGATCGCGCTCGGCGAGATTTCATTGTTTCTGGACGCTCGAGGTCCGAAATACTGAGCGCTTGGTCGTGCGGATAAGTCGAGTCCTCTTCATCCTGTTCCCAAGGCTTCAGATTGCGCACTCGGGCCTTGTGCATGATCACACAGAGGCCCTTGTAAGCGGCAATAAGAATGCTAAAGCCCACGAACCAGGCCAGGGAAGCACACAAGCGATACCAGCGTGAAAGACGTGACAGTGAGAGTGATCCAGCAATGAGAAATCCCAGCAGTACATTGGATATTCCAACGGTACGAACAAAGATGACGCGAGGTTTATTGCCATTACAAATGGACCAGCGGATGAAGTTCGGGTGAGATTGACCGCGCAATGTCAGCTCGACAATGTTTGCGACAATCGTAAACGCCGACGGATGCGTAGTATGTTGAAGGGCATGAAGTATTGCATTGCGGTCTCGGTGGGAAAGATTCAATTCCCTAGGAGAACCTGGAGCAAGGTAATGAGAGATGACCTTGCCTATCTCAGCTCGAAAAGGCTGCACGGTGACTGCAAATATTAGAACTACACTCAAGGCGCGGGCGGACAATAAGCATACAAGGCTCCCACTTCAACCCAGTTTGAGAGTGAGCTCCTAAAGCCTGCTCCGAGTGACTTTTGACTGTAAATATGGTGGAAGAAACAATTGATTGATGATCTGCTATTGACACCTTCGATGTACGGGGAATATCTGTCAGTTCAAGGAAAGCCGAGTGGTCAGGGCGCATGGCTCCTGCATCGCTGGTATTGCTCGGCGGAAGCGGGAGCTCATTTGACTTCCATTCTGGAGACAGGACTTTTTCGGCTACCTTTGTTGCGTTGAATCTTCTGGTATAATCCTGAAGCCAGAGGTAGAATTGAAGGTTTTCGGCGTCGTGCTCGATGTAAATGAGATAATCCATGAAGTCTTCGAGCGAGCATGGCTTCTCCTATGATTAATTGTGAACATGCAACGACATCAGACTACTTACTGGCATTGCTTTATTGGAGATGATGCGCTCAAAGCAAAGCTCCGGGGGAATTGCGTTCTTATTATTCCTGGTTCGTTCGACATACTTTTGACAATCCGCCTGATTCAACGGCCCTGTCGGTCTTGCCACATAATTTGGTCGGCGATAGAAGAGAATGGACATTTTGCATATCCGTTAAATGGAAGATGTCAAATGCGTTGCTTGAGCGGTCAGCGACGGGGTTGTTCTCTTGTTGCTTGATGGACAATATGATGATTTTCAGCGCGGGCGAATCCTCTACATGAGACTTGAACGCGTTGTCTTGTGCGAGCGGGCCTGCTAGGAAAGGTTATAGTTGTGATGGGTCATTAACGGGCTCCGTCTGGCTTTTATGGTCAATCCAAGGCAGTATTTGGCGGCTGGGGGCTTCATAGAGGTGTGATACGAGCGGAATGCAGCCATCCTTGACTTTGGTTACGGTATATTATTTCCTTGCTGCAGTGCCATGGTCTTATTTTTCTCCATCACGCATTGAGCATTAATCGCACATGCTTCCATCCTACTCCAAATTGCTACCCAGAGAACATGGCAAAGAAGATGCGCAAACGGTAACATTTAAGCATGTGCCGATAGGCCTGCTCAGTAGAATGTCGGCCTGGATTACTCTTCAGCCCCGCCAAGAGCGCAATGTGCCTGGTTTGCTGTGGGAGAGTATCGATCGTTGTACAACCCCAACTGTGACACACAGAATAATTTCTTTTCAATATTAAATATGGTGTCGCCCCAACATTGGTGCTCTGAGGAAGCTCGTTACACGCCATGTCTTGTCTGGCTTGTCAGAATGGGACGTGGACGATATAATCTCCATGACAGGCCGTTGGAAAAATTGATAAGGAAGCTCACCCCACTTTGATCGTAGGCGAAAGCCACTTTACGGCATGCAGAATCCCGAAATGTGTAGTACAATTCTTTTACACTTTTCCTGGATTTGTGGCTCAAAGAACATTCATGGCCTGATGATCATGATGCTATCGACTCTACGGAAGTTGTTGGCGGTAAGGGTAGCAAAAGGAGCTAGGCTAAAGTTGCCGTCAGAAGCCGGGGGGCTGACATCGCTAAGCCCAACCACAGCTTAATTATAAAGTAGGTAAGTACCTAAGGTAAATTATGCCTTCCTACCTTACCTACCTCCGTACTTTGTACTTTCTCCCACTACATTGCTTGCAGACTTGTAAAGACAATTTTGGTTGCAAAGCAGCCGACTTGCTGGTGCTCGAATGATGAACTTATATACTCTGAAACTATTTCGCTACCTCTAGATTGCTTTCCTCTGTTACTAGAATTGGTGACTACGGTAGAGTCGCGTACAAGACCAAAGGGAAATAAGTGTACTCCCCCCTCTAGACATCAATTACAGGGTTCAAAGCCTCAAACTGCTTTCTCGCTCGTCGTGGATGTTGCTACACTGGTTAGGTGCTCACACAAGAACAATGATAGCAATTCCACTTGGTGAAACTTTGGCTTGGTGCGTAGAGCGACTACTCCGGGTTTTTGAGACAATTTTTGCCAGAGGTATTACCTATCTGAAGAAATAATATCTTGATTATAATATATTGTCATATTATTCCTGGCACGAAATAAAATTCAGTAGTCATATGAGCAGGCACCTTCTTCCCTGCTAATTTTATAGAAATCTCTGCATTTAAAATAACCTAATTTAGTGTGATCAGTTTAAAATCAACTTTTGAGATATTGTGTTCGGCGATACCAGACGAATAGATGAAGAATCGACATCAAGAGGGGAAGAGAATTAAAGACGCGAGAAAAATAAATCCATGTTTCCATCATAGCATGATCATCGGGTCGAGCATGATCAAAAGCTGCAGTGAAAATACTCGATATAATTTTAATACTTTTATTGTTGTTATATAATGATTATATTCTCTTAGTCGCCTTTCCTTTCAGTGGCTCGCATAGAGTACTGCATAATTGGCACGATAATGTCCTCCAGAAGCTTCAGAATGTACGATTATTGGCGCGGTCTTTGGATCGACTGGTGGCAATATTTGGTATGAGACACTTGATGCCCCAAACCCTAATTGCCGTCACCAAGGAAGGAAAAAAAAGATTACCTACGCCTGCCCCCCGTAAATCATCCTAGGCGATATTACCGGGCGACGTTAGAGAAGAGGGCCCCGATCATTCCGTGATAATCGGGTCCAGGTGAATATAAGATAGGACGGAATAAGTGGTTACCACGGGAGCGTGCGAGAGACACGAGCTGCGCGAGGCGCATCAGGGCGGACCAGCGGTATGTGAGGAGGGAAAATCGATGCTGGCACGAGTTGTCGTAAAAGAGTTTGCCAATACTTAGTCTTCAGGCGTTTCGCCATCTCTATATCGAGCCTGCATTCACGTGCCTGGGGTTGGACAACGAACAGTTTTGGTCCTTGCGAGGTGAGAGAAAAAATAGACAGGTTGCTTGAGCAAAATATTACAAGTCGGATGATAAGCCCTTCACATGGGAGACACTATATTCTCAAAGCATTCCGCTGAGCAGCTCGTGTCATCCCATGTCTCAGTCGGAGGAATTGGTTTCCAGAGGAGCATCCCCACTTTCCAGAGCCTCCGAGAAGGCTCGGGTTCAGCATTCGTCAAATAACTTGGGAGATCGTAGGGGTCGTGCATGTTGTTGCTGGGTAAAATCGAATCCATGTAATGCCCTAAACCCAGTTAGGTCCTTACCTGGCAGGGGTCAGGGGCTTAGTGGGTTTCTTGGCTGGAAGAGCCGAGGTTGGTTCGTGCCTACCGGCGTAGTCCAACCCTTCTCAACCGCAACCGCAGCCGAGAAGGTTGGCCCCGGCTTAGTCTAGCCCGCCATGTTCTCTATCTCCACCACAGCTTCCTGTCACAATGAGCACATGCATACAAGGCAACTTCAAACCCCGTTGCGTTGCCATGAGAGAAGGCTCCCGGACGAAGAGTCAGAACTTGGCGTCCCTTTTGTATAGATCCCTTCGCCGCCTGGCTGAGATCGAGATGATGGGGTTTGTAAGGGAGCGGACCCCCTGCCCAGCTGGTGCAGGTGTCCAACGATGTCTCCTCCTTACTTCGGAGCATGCCTTCTCGGCGACTGATGAATGTAACATGAGAGGGGGCGGCCTAGGCCAAGATCATATTGAGGCTCTGTCAGCACCATACACAATGGCGAAGATGTGCTTACCATCATGAACGTGGATACTAGGACACAGCGCCTTTGTTTTGCGTTGGAATGTCGGTCGCCGAACCTTGCTGCCCTTGCAGCAAAGACTTGCTTAGACTCCTATTTCACCTACATGAAGAGGTCAATCTAGAGCGAAGAAGATGCCTGTACCCGGCCATCGATATGTGCTTATTATATGTTTCAGGCTCTATGCTCTAAAATATCGTCGGTCACCGAATGCTCCCTTCTTGAATATCTCGAGTCTGCAGCCTCGTCAACATCCACCTGATCATCTCGTATTGCTGATTCTGGAGGACGCACTTTTCTTGGGTTAGAATGAGATCAAGACTAAGCTGACTGCTTTCAAATCGTTACTAATTTTTCCGAGCCGGTACATGGAACTGCACATTGTTCATACAAATAGTCTTGTCCTGGGATTTTGGAGTTTTCCGGTTTAGTACTTCACCATTCCGCATCGAAGACGAGATTATGGATCTTCTCGTTTTTGGGGACCAAGAGGTCGATATTCACGCGTTTCTGCAGAAGATATGGCTGGCTGGGAAGCAGAATACCTTGCTAGGAACATTTCTTGAGAGGACGGGATTAGCTCTTCGAGAGGAGATTGCGCGTTTGCCCGGTCTAGAAAGGCAAAAGATTCCAAATTTCACTAATATCCATGAGCTGGCAAAACGATACCATGAAGCTGGACAACGACATGCGTCGGTGGAAACTGCCCTTTCCTGCGTTGCTCAATTAGCACAATTCATTGGGTCAGTGGACTGTTCTCATGACCTGAATATCGTCTTTTTACTCCCGCTAATCGCGATTCTAGGTATGCGGAACATGAAGCCGGAGATGCACTTTCTGCTAAGGGGAAATCTGCCCTGGGTAGCGGCACTGGCCTCCTTTCCGCCGCCGTGATCTCTTCCTCGGCTTCCTTGACCGGACTTATTCCACTAGCAGTGGAGGTGGTCATTCTGGCTCTGAGGATCGGTCTGCAAGTAGAAACATTTGCAGACAGACTATGTCCGACCTCCAGTGGAGAGCCTTGGTCATACAAAGTGTCTGGTATCAGCCTTTCACAAGCGGAGAAGATTTTGGATGAATTTCATAATGATAACGTAGGGTCCCTTATTTGTCGCAAATGTTGCAATAACTGACCACAGATAAATTTGTAGGGCGTTCCTGCATCAAACTATGCCTACATTAGCACAGTAAACCTTAGAGACTTTGTAATTAGTGGACCGCCAACGACTCTTCGCCGGCTTTTCGACCGCCTATCTTCTATTCAAGAGATGGAGAAGCACCAACTTCCCGTCTACGGGCCCTTTCACGCGCCCCACCTTCACCAGCACGTGGACAAGGAGAATCTACTCGAAGGCTATGGTCGGAACTTTTCCCATTTGCTCGACACTTATCACCCAAGAATTCCAATCATATCGTCCTGCACGGGAAGTTACATGAAGGGAAGCACCTTGAGGGACGTGCTGTTGGAGATCGTCGACGAGCTACTCGAGGAAAAGCTACGACTTGACAAGGTCGCGCAGGCGTGTGTAGAAACGATCAATGACACGAGAAGCGCGGAATGCCGGGTTTTGCAATTTGGTGATCCACATACTGCAGAGGAGATTGTGGGTGCGCTTCGAAAGGATGCGAAAGCCCGTATCTCGTCCGATGATGGCAAAGCATGGATGAATACAGAGGGTCATCCGAAAAAGTCGAATGATGGGATTTCTGGCAAGATCGCAATCGTTGGTATGGCCGGGAGGTTCCCCGGTGGAGCAGACCACGAGGAATTTTGGAAGTCGCTCGAGAAAGGACTCGACTTGCACCGGGAAGTAAGTATTCCTGAGCTCGACTTGAGCTGAGAGCAGGACTGACGTATCAAAAGGTCCCCAAAGACAGGTTCGACGCGCAAACTCATTGCGATCCTAATGGCAAAGTTAAAAACACGAGCCACACTCCTTTTGGCTGTTTTATCGAGGACCCTGGGCTCTTTGACCCTCGTTTCTTCAATATGTCTCCTCGAGAAGCTTTCCAGACCGATCCCATGCAGAGACTGGCGCTAGTCACTGCATACGAGGCCTTGGAAATGGCAGGCTACGTTCCCAACCGCACTCCTTCTACAAAACTCGATCGTATCGGAACTTTCTACGGACAGACTAGCGATGACTGGCGAGAGATCCAGGCCGCCCAGGACATTGACACTTATTTCATCACCGGGGGCGTAAGAGCCTTTGGACCAGTAAGGCTATCAATTTGTTTTGTATTCTCATGATTGTATTGACATTTAATAGGGTCGGATCCACTACCACTTCAAATTTAGTGGACCGAGTTTCAATGTCGACACTGCTTGTTCGTCAAGTATGGCTGCCATCCAGCTTGCCTGCACCTCTCTTTGTGCTCAAGAGTGTGATACAGCTGTGGCAGGAGGTGTCAATGTCCTGACCAACCCGGACATTTTCGCCGGCTTGAGCAGAGGCCAGTTTTTGTCGAAAACAGGTCCCTGCCAGACATTTGACAATGACGCGGACGGCTATTGTCGAGCTGACGGAGTTGGTACAGTGATCCTGAAGCGATTGGAGGATGCAGAGGCGGACAAGGACAACATTTTGGCTGTTATCGTCGGGACAGCTACCAACCACTCTGCCAATGCCATCTCAATCACCCATCCCCACGCTGAGACACAGGAAATACTGTACCGGCACATAATGGATCAGGCTGGCGTCAGCCCATTGGATGTCGATTATGTAGAAATGCATGGCACCGGAACTCAAGCTGGCGATGGAACAGAGATGCGTTCTGTGACGAATGTGTTTGCTCCGTCGTCTCCCCGACGGAACCATTCGCAACCGTTGTACCTTGGTGCTGTAAAAGCTAATGCAGGCCATGGAGAAGCCGCATCTGGAGTCACAGCACTCATTAAATGTCTGATGATGATGCAGAAGAATTCGATCCCGCCACATGTTGGAGTAAAGAAGAGCATGAATACCACGTTCCCGAAGGATCTGAAGGAAAGAAATGTTCGTATCGCCTTCGAGAAGACCCCTCTGGTTCCAAAGCATGGCAGCAAGCGCCGGATTTTTGTAAACAACTTCAGTGCCGCGGGAGGCAATACCGCTGTTCTGCTAGAAGACGGGCCATCGCACGCACCTCCGTCTCATGATCCACGTTCAACCCACGTAATTGCGGTTTCTGCCAAGTCAAAGTCATCTTTGCGCAGCAACATGCAGCGACTAATCTCTTATTTGGACAACCATCCCAACGCCTCTCTTCCGGACCTGTCATATACCACAACCGCTCGCCGGATCCAGCACAATTACCGAGTTGCTTTCGCCATCAATGACCTCGAAGCTGCAAAAGCCGTTCTCAAGGCTGGTGTTGATGAAACTGTCAACCCCGTTTCTTCGAAACCTCCTAAAGTGGGATTCGTGTTTACAGGACAAGGTTCCCACTATCAAGGTCTAGGGAAGGAGCTCTACGAAACCTCCACGCAGTTCCGCGCCGATTTGACGAATTTCGACAGCATTGCTACCCTCCAAGGCTACCCCTCCTTTATTCCACTGGTGGATGGCAGCGTCGCTGATGTTAAGGATATATCGCCCATCTCTGTTCAGATTGGCATGGTCTGTGTGGAGATGGCCCTGACTCGGCTTTGGGCCTCTTGGGGGATCCGCCCGGATGTCGTTCTTGGCCACAGTCTTGGTGAATACGCGGCTTTGAATGCAGCTGGTGTGCTCTCTGACAGCGACACAATCTTCCTTGTTGGGGAGCGGGCTCGACTTCTGACGGAAATGTGCACATCAGGAACGCACGCCATGCTGGCCATTAAGGGTTCTGCGGCAATGGTGTCTGAAAGCTTTTCCATCGCAGGAAGCATCGAAATTGCCTGCATGAACGGGCCTGACGAGACTGTTCTTAGTGGCCCGACGAATGAAATCAACGCTATGGCAGAAAGAATTTCTGCAAGAGGGATGAAATGTACAAAGCTGAACGTCCCTTTTGCATTCCACTCAAGCCAAGTTGACCCTATCTTGGATCCCTTTGAAGCCGCATCGAAATTTGCTTCTTTTGGTGAGGCTACAGTTCCTGTCATCTCGCCTTTATTAGGAAAGCCTGTGACCAAAAACGATGTGTTCGGACCGAAGTATCTTCGAAAGCATGCTCGGGAATGTGTAAATTTCCTCGATGCTCTACGCTCCGGTCAGACGGCCGAGATTTTTGACGAGAAGACCGTCTGGGTGGAGGTCGGCCCGCATCCAGTATGCTCAAACATGGTCCGGTCGTCCCTTGGTCAAGCCACAAAGACAGTACCCAGCTTCCGGAGGGGTGACAGCAACTGGAAAACTGTGGCCAGCAGTCTGTGTACTCTGCACACTTCCGGCCTGAAGATTGATTGGAGCGAATATCACCGTGACTTCGAACATTCTTTGCGGCTATTAGACCTGCCGGCTTATGCCTTTGATAACAAGAATTACTGGATCGACTACAGAAATGATTGGTGTCTAACAAAGGGTGATGCAGCCATAGCTGCCCCGCCAACCTCCAAACAGCCCTCTGGTCTTTCCACTACGTCTGTTCATAGCGTTGTTTCCGAAACGTTCAGTAATGGCAAGGGCTCTGTTACAATTGAGTCAGACATTACTCGGCCTGACCTCAATGCCGTTGTCATGGGTCACGTTATCAATGGTGTGGCTCTTTGCCCTTCAGTAAGCAGCACCTTAGCAACACCCTTTCATCCTGTCAACCGCTAACAAGTTTATAGTCTCTTTATGGTGATATGGCTTTAACGGTGGCAAACTATCTGTATACCAAGTTGAAGCCTGGAGTAGAGCGAGCCGATATGAATGTCGGTAGGATGGAGGTTTTTAAACCTCTTCTTGGAAAGCCGGTTGGAAGCACTCCCCAAATACTCCGTGTCGAGGCCACAACCGATCTCTCGACCGGACGGGCAGATTTGCATTTTAGCAGCGGTACGGGTAAGGACAAAATTGATCACGCAAAATGCATAGTCGAATATGGGGATGCTTCTGCTTGGCTCGCTGAATGGAATCGGAATGCATATATGGTCCGCTCTCGCATCCAGGCTTTGGAGAAATCCTCGCGTGAGGGTGGAGCCCATAAAATTCTTCGAGGCATGGCTTACAAGCTTTTTGCCGCTCTTGTCGACTACGCGACTCCTTATCGAGGCATGGAAGAAGTAATCTTCGACAGCGCGGAGCTTGAGACTACCGCAAAGATTTCATTCCAAACTACCGAAGAAAATGGCAAATTCTTCTGTAGTCCGTTTTGGATTGACAGCTTGGCTCATCTCTCGGGATTCACAGTCAATGCAAATGAGACCCTCGACAATAAAAATGAGATTTATATATCTCATGGATGGGAGTCGATGCGATTTACCGGCGAGCTGTCTGCCCAGAAGAAGTACCGATCCTATGTCAAGATGCAGCCCGCTGGCGGTAAAATGATGGCTGGAGACGTGTACATTTTCGAAGGCGACACCATTATTGGTTTTGTTGGTGGTCTGAAGTTCCAGTGCATTCCAACGAGGCTGCTCAATTCGGTTCTGCCAAATCCCAATGCTCAGAAATTGCCATCAAAGAATCTCGTCAACGTGCCGCCCCGTGCTGCGGCTGTTGCTATTGCACCTGCCCCGGCACCTGTCAAAGTGCAACAAACCAAGGTAACGACTACGGTGGCTTCAAAGTCGGGCCAGATTACTGTCATGGCACTCGACATCATTGCTGCTGAGCTTGGCGTGAATGTTAATGAGCTTGCTGATGCCATTGAGTTTGCCGATATTGGTGTCGATTCTCTAATGTCGCTTTCAATTATTGCCAGAATGCGCGAGGCTCTTGAGCTAACACTGAGTGGCTCTCTTTTCCTTGATTTCCCAACCGTGGAAAAGATGAAGGGCTACTTCAAACAGTTTGAATCGTCCACCTCTGTTGATTTCGAGCCTGAACTAGCGTCTGGATCATCTAGTTCTGGCACAGATTCCGGTATCGAGACGCCTGTCGACGATATTAAGGCGACTATGTCAATGGATGTCGAAGCAAGCATCTCTGCGACCAACATATCTGCTGTTCTCCGAGCTACAATTGCGGAGGAGATGGGCGTTGAGGTTGAGGAGATCCTTGCTGCCCCGGATCTCGCATCCCTTGGAATGGATTCACTCATGACTCTCTCGATCCTTAGTAGCCTTCGCGAAAAAACCGGTCTGTCCATCCCGTCCACACTGCTCCTGGACAACCTTTCAATCCATGCCATTGAAAAGAGTCTTCAAGTTGGTCCGGCGAAGGAAAATGCACCTCATGTGCAGACTGTGTCTACTCATACAGAGACTACTGTCGTTCAGACTAAGAAATTTCGACCCGAGCGGGCTGCCACGTCATTTTTGCTCCAGGGTAATCCTCGTGCCTGTTCCAAAACCCTCTTCCTCCTCCCTGATGGCGGTGGAGCAGCTGCTTCGTATGCAGGAATTCCCGACATCGATCCGGACCTGTGCGTCTTCGGTCTAAACTCTCCGTTCATGAAGACCCCAGAAGAGTTTGATTGCGGCGTTTCCGGAATTTCGGAGTATTTTGTCAGAGAAATCCAACGTCGGCAACCGCATGGTCCTTATATTCTTGGTGGCTGGTCTGCCGGAGGAGTTGTCGCTTACGAATCTGCTCGGCAGCTTATGGCAGCTGGTGAGGTGGTTGACCGCCTCATCCTCATCGACTCTCCGTGCCCTCTGACCATTGAACCTTTGCCCGATGGACTTCACAAGTGGTTCAATTCCCTTGGTCTTCTTGGGGATGGAAATCCTGACAAAATCCCTCCCTGGCTCCTCCCCCACTTTCAGTCGTCTATCACTGCACTATCCACGTATGATGCTCCGCGCATGAACCCGGCCAAGGCACCTCGAACTCTTGCCATCTGGTGCCGCGACGGTGTTTGCAAATATCCGACGGACCCGCGGCCGAACCCATACCCAACCGGCCACGCCCTATTCCTGCTCGAGAACAAGACTGATTTTGGCCCCATGAGATGGGATGAACTTGTCGGCGCGAAGAATATTGTGACCGAGCCGATGCCGGGCAATCACTTTACCATGATGCTTCCCCCTAATGTAAGTCATTTCTTCTTTTGCAACAACCAAATCCCTTTGTGCTAATAATCTCTCTACGACTTAGGTTAAACTGCTTTCCGATTGGATGAGAAGGTCTGTGCAGTAGACCAGACGATAGGCATGCATGTTTGGAAGGACTAGATTGTGATCAGCGTTTCAGGACCTCTCCTTCCCCCCATCTTTTTTTGTGTGCCTTCTTTTTCTTTTTTCTTTTTTGGCCCGTTCGCATCCGCATATGGTAATTTATTTTTCTCTTATATTTTTTTGTTATTTCTTGCATTATTTTGACTGAGTCAAACCCCAGCAACAGGACTAATAGAACTTTGGATAAATTAAACAACGTATGTATTTGATATTCTTTTAAATATGATGTCGGTTACGTATTTAGCACCTCGTTCCAAATTGTGAGTGTATTGACCCCCACTGTCATGTCCTGTGTTTTGCTTCTGTAGAGGAAACTCGCCAAAGAATGGATTGATGTGCATCGGAAAGCATCCCCATCACCGACGACCAAGGAATAATTCCATCACGATGAGGTAACCAGAGAAATGGCTTACCATGAGAAATAACCCTGACTCAAATTGATTGGGCTTCATTACCCGTTGTTATTATTTATTCGTCGAGGAAGGTTTGTGTTACTAACAGAATCGACATGTGCGGCCTCTCCGAATTCTTATATATCCAATCCTTTGACGCACGTGCATTGGGTTGGAACCCAATCAGACAAAGTACGAGGAACACGTTCGAACTTTCCAACTTCAATATGGCGGACTTTAGACCCTGTCGACAACTCGAGCACCTTTCTCTTCTCGCTCTTCTCCGCGCCGACAAAGCGAAGTGGCTGGACAGCCGGTGCACGGACGACGGTGGCCGCCATTGAAGCCATTGCGGGCCTCCGACCGCTCCTTCGCCAAATGGTCAAGGATGCACAGCGACGATACTGGAAAGCGTATAGCATCTTTCCTGCGCCCCTGACAAGGCAACGCCCGTTTTCCCTTGAGCTTCCCCTACTGGATAAGCCCATGGTACTAAACAGTGACTGATAACAATGGAACCATGATCATAACTCGGTGATGTAGCTAGATCCAGTTATCATCGGAGCTCTCCTATCATATCACTGTACCCCAAGCCTATGCTTTGCAGCTCGAAGCTTTGCCTTGCTGCAAGGCGATGGATAAAGTACATAAGCTTCATGATGCCGCGCAAATGCAATCAAGGCGATCTGTTTTAGATCAGTCATTCCATTGGGAGAGTTGGCTGTGTCACAATGCGGACTGTCATTCTCATTGCCTTTGCGGCATTGGCTGATGCTGCGGCGGTTCGCCGAAACGAAGAAACGCCCGCAGCAAGCTCTACAATCAACCCTTATTTCCAGACCACGCCTGAACTCTTTGCAGGTATGTATTTGATCGGATGAGTGACCCTCACACTTGAAAGCCCGCTCCACCGAAGAATGTATTCTGAACAATTTCAGGACCGACGGCGACGGGGGAGGCACCATTTTTGGCTCAGACCAATAGTCTACCACCGACAGGCGTGTCGTACATCCCGCCGTACCCGCTGGAAACCCAGATTCCCATCGCCGACAATCCGCAAGATGAGAACATTTTTCAGAGTATGGGCCTGCTGAGCCCTTATTACTCTACTCCTGAGGGTCATGGCGTGGACGAATATCCGCTCCCGCCCGGCTCGAATATTTCCCAGCTGCACATGCTTCACCGCCATGGGGCTCGTTATCCGGGAGCATCCAGTGGTGTTACCAAGTTTGGCCAAAAGATGATGAAACTCAAGGGTACTTTCAAGGCTACTGGAGCGTTGTCTTTCTTGAACGACTGGACGTATAAGCTCGGAAAGGAAATTCTCGTCCCAGTCGGCCGTCAGCAGTAAGTAATGTATCGCTATATATACCATGGCAGAACGTCTCACGCATACAGACTCTTCGACTCCGGCATCGCCCATTACTATCAATACGGCCATTTGTACAACACCAGTACCAACATTGTTGTGCGATCCACGACCCAAGACCGCATGCGCAATTCCGCTGAGTATTTCCTTGCCGGCTTTTTTGGTCAGGACTGGACCAGAAATGCTAGTCTTGAGCTGCTCGTCGAGGCCAATGGTTTTAATAACACCATGACGGGATGGGACAATTGCCCCATGTCCGATCTCGGTCCCTCGCTTGGCGGCTTCAATGCCTCTGATGCGTGGGAGGCCGTCTACTTGCAAAATGCGACGGCACGTTTGGCCGCCTTGATTGAAGGCTATAATTGGACGCTGTCCGACACGTACAATGCACAGAGTCTTTGTCCTTATGAGACGGTCGGTCTGGGATACTCCAAGTTTTGCGATCTGTTCACTCTTGAGGAGTGGCAAGCCTTTGAGTACAACGACGCCCTCAACCTTGCTGGAAACTATGGTTTCCAGTCTCCCACTGGTCGTGCGACCGCAGTTGGCTATGTCGGCGAGCTTCTTGGCCGACTTGATCACCACTTGCTTACGGAGACGTATGGTCAAGCAAATATCACGCTGGATAACAATACTGCCACGTTCCCACTGAATCAAAGCCTTTACCTGGACTTTTCGCACGATACAAACATGTTCTCTATTCTGGTAGCCATGGGTTTCAAGCAGTTTGCGCCTTTCTTGCCAGAGGATAGACTTGTTTTGAAGCGCGACTTTATCGTTTCGCACCTTGTGCCATTTGCGGGCAGATTCGATATCGAGATCATCAAGACCCCGCAGCCTGTCCCGGAGGATCGTTCTACGGACTACATTGGAGGACCACCCACTACTTATATTCATTTTATCGTCAACCAACGGACGCTGTCGCTCGGTCGCAGCTTCCCTGAGTGCGGTCTCCGCGCAGATGGATGGTGCGAGCTTGGCACATTTATTGATATCCAGAAGGGCAGTTTGAAGGAAGCAGACTTTGACTTTGCTTGCTTTGGAAACTATCCTTCTTTGCCCTATGGCAGCATCAAGAACGGAGCGCCCCTTCGATCTTAAGTCAAGTGACTGCTAATGATACACGAGCTACGAGCTGTTCGGATAACAAATAAAGGAATAGAAACTCATCTTTAATTATTCTCTCTAGCTCTCAGCCGAGATTCTAAACTTGACTGATTTCACGAGTGACTTTCCTAGTTGTCCCTAATGTCACTATTATTTCCGAGTTTAACCATCCACTCAACTAGATCTTAGCCATTTCATAGCCGGCTGTTATATACTAAAATCGTTCTCAAGTTACAGCTGATACTTTGAATATCTACAAAAGCTTGTAAAGTTGGTACGGGAGTCCATGAAGTACGACTGTACGGAGCATATTGAACTTGGATTTGGGAATAGATCAGGTTTGAACATTACTAGTGTAGCTTTTGCATCCTAAAACGGATATGCCAGGCAGAGATATACAACGCTTAACTCTTCAAACGTTAAACCAACAATTCAAGAGGATCAAAGTCGAAACATTTCATGCTCGTACTGCAACAACAAATAGACGTGGATATCGCAGAACCACCTTGCCATCATACGAAATAGGATATATCTGCTTCAGTCGCTCCAGGTAGGCCTCGAGGAACCCCCCTCTCTCGCCTGAGGAAAGCGGGTCGATAAAGGGTCTCAATCCGGTTCCCTTGACCCATTCTACAATCGCCTCATGATTTTCAAGCACATGATGATAGTGCGTATGCCACATGTTGATGGTGGAACAGAGAGGCTTTAGATGATTGTATAATTCCTGCACTGACTGAAATGGGTCCAGTGCCGGCTGGAAGTGATCTAGTGTCGCTGCCCAGCGTCCCTTGGTCGCGGTGTCTCTCATTGCGCTATGCGAAGGCTCCAGAAAGTTATCCGGCACTTGCAAGGCAAAGACACCACCAGATGGCTGCGTCTGGATAAGTCGGGCTATGACATTGATGCGGTCCGCATATGGCAGCCATTGGAAAACAGCGTTTGAGAAGAAGAGATCCACAGGCTGATTCGGTACGTAGGAATTCAGATCTTCTATGCTGAAAGGAATGTTCGGTAACACTTCTCTTGCTTTTTTGATCATGTCAGGAGAAGAATCTATTCCCTCGAGATGGGCATGTGGATAGCGGGCTGCGAGAACGGCGGTTGAGTTTCCCGGCCCGCAGCCTAGATCGACAATGTGTTTCGGAGATTGAAGTGGGATTTGGGCTAGGAGGTCCCGAACGGGTCTTGTACGCTCATCTTCAAATTTCAAGTACTGCACAGCGCTCCAATCAGATGCTTTCTGCTGTTTTGGTGAGCATGTAAAGGACCGGGAATGCCTGGCTCTGAGCAAGATCGGTATCACGGAATGTGGACGTGAAAGTCGCCCGATACCTTGGCTGATAGATTGAGAGGGCATTGTCGAGGAAGCAGAGATAATTAAATCCTTATAGTCTGAGTTATGCCAAGCCCATGCTAGATAAATAATGTTATGTGTTATTTGCTTCTTTTCCCCTTAGAGGGATTTCTCGCTGTCTCTGCCCGATCTGTCAGAGTTGTGAAGATCCCCGAGTATAGATCGACCGCCTCGCTTAACTATTTACTCGGTACGTCCTGCTTACTCCGTAACTATAATCACCTTGACAGACTATAACAACCATGATTCATTCAGCAGTGAAGAACAAAAGCCACGTAGCTGTCTTCGAGCCAATTTATCTAGGTACGCTATATATTCTCTGTAATTTCCACTGTGTCTTCGTGATAGAACTGTACATTACCTTGAACCCTGTTTCTGAAACTCGGAACGTAACCGATCGGCAGAACTATGAATGTATAATGATATTTTTTAGAATTACAATTATAATACTAGCAAGATAATTATTTATATGGTTTTTTTAACAATTCTTTCGTCAGAACCGACCTCATTTTTGGTCACCAAATATTTAGAGAATTCTTGATCCAATTCGGAAGGAGCGGCCGGGAAAATCCCCAGTTGCCGAAAGAGATCGGGAGCACACTAGAACCTCCCTCTGCAGTGTTGACACTGCTTCCTCAAAATTGGGCGGGACATCAACACGTCTAATCATCATAACGGCATCATTCTTCAGAATCCTCAATTCAACAGAGCACAAGTTTACAAAAGTCACTGCGAACAAAGAGCTGCTGCTAGCCATAAGTTTCTACAATGGCGAGGGGAAGCAAATGTGAACCAGGCACGTCCACGAAAATGGAAAGTACAAGCATTTGCCAAACCGGGAGGTGAACTCTTTGAGTATATTGCTGAAAGAGGATACCGATACCAATGCAAAGTTAATTATCGACCTTGGTATTGGAAATCTATTAGCCGACTTCGTAACGAAATACATGAAGTCCAAAAATGCGCGCTTCTCTCAAATAAGTGGCGCAGATTCTACACGATGGATCAATGCAGCATTGACCATCAAGAAGTCTGATCTCAGCGAGATCAACATCGATGCAACTCTGGAAAATGACTTGCACAAGGCGAGCGAGGTAATTTGAAACCAATATGGATTGTCCTGATACCAAGCTGTTGTATAAATTTTTACTTACTTGATATGTTAGTACAAGAACAAACGCAACGCCGCCGCTCATGTCTCGAGTGGTGCCTTTGGTCGAGCACTATGCTCGAACTTTGGCAGAAAGCACGCTTTGCCAAAATGGCGAACCATGTTCCGCTACACTTATGAAGATACTCCAGAGAAATTGGCGGAGAAGGAGCTGTAAGTATTCGAGATTGTTCCAGATACTAGAGAATGATAATAGCTGACACAACAGATTAGCCAAAAGCTCGCACGGGGAGAGTAGATAGAATGACAAAATATGCTATACAAGAACATGTTCCCCTCTAGACGGGCATCTGGGTAGCGGGCGGCGAGAACGGCAGCGGAAATTTCTACAATGGTAAGGGGAAGCGAATGAGCAAGATTTGTTGCTAGAATGATGCTTACGGTTCTTTGAGACATGGCAGATCGGTCAAAGCCGTCCACTGGGCTGTCATCTTCAGTTCCGGTGTTTTTGTTTGTCAATTTTGTCCTTCTTTATCGGTCGCTTAGTTGCCACGCGACAAATGACAGGGACTCCCGTTCTTAGCTTTCCACAAGATTTTCTTGGACGCCTTTCCTGTTGTCGCTTTAGCATCATTGTCCCTTCGCCTTCATTGGCTCTTCGGGTGATTCATCATTTGTCCCGACTTCAGACCGAGAAGCTATACGGAAGCTTGATGATTTTCCTGCAAAATGTCCACTCAAAAATCCCATACGCTAGGAAACACCAGTCGGCGGATCCTTGTCGGCCATGCGCTGAGTGGGACCGTACCACTCCTCTGTGGGCTAACTAATGAACATGTCCTTGCTATCGGAAGATGCTAACCATGCCCACACCGATTTCTCTGGGGACTGAAACCATGCGTCCGGTCCGAGTCCATCGCACCTCAGTGGACAGAGGGCAATCCGTCCAGTCCACCCTGGATGCTGATGGTCAAGGCGTTGCAAATTCGTCGCGCCCCTCTGCTGTCCGCCCATTCAAGACATATGCCTCTGTCGTCCTCGATCTGAACAAAAATCAATCCATGTGTGATTAGAAGAGCCGACAATTGGTCTCTATTCCATCGCCACAATTGAGGTGGAAGCGAAAGAAGACAGAAGAACCCAGGTTTGTGCGATGGAATAATTGCAATCTTCGTGGTTGGGACTGACTCAGAGTATGGTTTAGTCATGACCGACTCCATGAATGCACCACCGGGGAATGTGGGCGAGAACGAAGCGACTCCAAAAGCCCAAATGCACGATGAGAACAAAGCGGATTCACAGTCACGGAACCAAGACCAGCGGTGGGCTGAGCCTCACTTGGACCAAGCTTATCATGATCAAGTGAATGAGAAGAATAATACCAATGTGTCCGATCTGGAAAAGGGCCCAGTTCATAGCTCCGCGACGAGCAACACTCTTGATATTTCTGGGGAAGGGGATAATGGTGGAGACCCAAACATTGTCTTTTGGGATGGGTCAAATGACCCGGCCAATCCATACAATTGGAGCAAAGGGGTAAAATTGGGGCATATCGCTCTTGTCAGTTTGATCACATTGATCACGTAAGTCTATCGCCTGTCTCTGTTGAAAGATGGATACTGACTTCTTAGTCCCCTTGCCTCGTCCATGTTCGCCCCAGGCGTGTCGAAAGTAATGGTTGAGTTCAAGTCCACAAACGAGGAGCTGGCCTCCTTTGTCGTCTCCGTTTTCATTTTAGGGTTTGCTTTTGGACCTCTTCTCATAGCTCCGCTCTCGGAGCTTTATGGTCGTCTCCCGCTCTACCACGGCTGTAACATCATCTTCATCATCTTCAGCATTGCATGTGCTGTCAGTACGGACCTGAACATGTTGATTGTGTTCCGTTTCTTTACAGGTTGCGCTGGCGCAGCCCCATTGACGCTAGGTGGAGGAACTATTGCCGATCTCATGGTCCAGGAGCAACGTGGTGGCGCCATGGCCATGTGGGCGCTTGGTCCGATGATGGGTCCCGTAATTGGTCCCATTGCTGGTGGATATCTCACTCAAGCTGTTGGCTGGAGATGGGTTTTCTGGGTATTAGTGATTGCTGTATGTCTTGTGTCCCCTGATCTAGCCATTCCCCTTCCCTAAGTGGCTTCCTCCCTTTTTCTTTCTATCCCAATGACCTTGTGGTTACTAATGACGGGTTGCAGATGGGAGTGGTCGGCGTCGCATCCATCTTCTTCATGCGTGAGACCTATGCGCCTGTTTTGCTCGAGCGCAAAGCCGAACATCTACGAAAGGAGACAGGAAACACTGCCCTCTGCTCAAAACTCTCCTTGAACGTCTCCCCTCGAACGCTGCTCCTCCGATCAATCGTCCGGCCCACCAAGCTCCTCCTGTTCTCTCCTATTGTGCTCCTGCTCTCCATCTTCATGGCCGTCACATACGGATACTTGTACCTGCTCTTCACTACCTTCCCCATGGTGTTTCAGCAAACGTACGGTTTCAGCGTCGGTAGTTCTGGCCTGTCATACCTTGGTGTCGGCATCGGCAACATGATTGGCATTTGCATCACCGGCTTGGGCTCCGATAGAATTATCAAGGCCAAGTCCGCAAAGGGCGGGATGAAACCCGAATACCGCCTGATTCCGCTCGTCTTTGGGTGCCCCTTGATTCCCATCGGCCTGTTCTTTTACGGCTGGACAGCGCAGTACCGAACGCATTGGATCCTACCGATTATCGGAACGGGCATTTTTGGCGTTGGCATGATTTTGGCATTTGTAAGTTACCATCTAGCACTTGAGCCGTGCAGTTTTCTTCATCTTTTCCTTTTACTGTACAAGGCGTTTGCTGACAGGAAAAATACAGATGCCCATATCTACATACCTCGTAGACGCATTCACACTGCACGCGGCCTCTGCGCTCGCCGCGAATATGATTCTCCGTTCCATTCTTGGCGCCACACTCCCGCTTGCCGGAAGAGAAATGTACCAGACTCTTCATCTCGGCTGGGGAAACAGCCTGCTCGGATTCATCGCCCTAGGGCTGATTCCCATCCCGTTACTCTTTTACAGATATGGTGAGAAGATAAGACGCTGGAAGTCTATTGAACTTTGAGTTCTCTTCTTTTGCTTTCCTTCTCTTCATATCATGGACGTTCGGATTATGTCGGTTAAGCTAGATGTCGATGCTCGTGGAGGAGATGGTATTACACACTTTTATAATATAGACTGTTCATGCATATGAGATATACGGAAGAGGGAAAGATGTATAGACATGATAGACGGTGGATTGTTGCATAAAATACCCATTTCTTTCAGCTAAGCATCGACTGTCGCTTTATAGAAATAATAATCATCACTTTTGTCAAGTCAATTACACGCAACCGAGTGCAAAAAAAAAGAGGATTTATATTTTGACTCCTGTTCTTTGTGCATCGAATTATTTGGTTTCATCTGCACTGCTTTATCTAGTCTTTTTGTTCTCCCTTTTTGCCCAGTATTTGAACTTGGGCGGGATTGGAATACCAATGGGGAAATAATCCCAACCAAATAACCCTATCCCGATGCATTACCTGTATCATTTATGCTGTACCACATAGCCATTGTGCCAAACCGCCCAGGAAACCAAAAGAGAAAAAGAAATGGGACAAAACTCCTATCTCAAGCGCCTATCACGCGCAAGAGACCTGTATTGCATATGCATATATACCCAGGGCTCGATATCATTCCAGTCCAAGAATGATATTTCAACATAATATTCCGTACCTTATCCGGTCCGAGAAAGTTTAACAAGGGGAAAAAAAAAATGTATGTAAGAGGAAACGAAAAGAACGCAAAGAAATCAGTCTTGGTATCGAGCATTCTGTCGAACTCGCTCGCGATCTCCTTCGGCGTCGAGCTCCACGGGCTGATTGCCAGTGTAGTGATCGTACTGAGTGACCGAACCGTCGGTCGACGAGTCTGAAGATTCTCGCGAGCGCGTACGCGTTGCTAGACGCGTGGCGGAACCCATTGCTGACGGCGGTGCAGTGGAAGCAGCCGTCGAGGTAGTTGCCGACGTCGAGTTCGACGATGTGCCGTGCATGTTGAACGAAAAGTCGATTTCTCCAACGAGTAATCTAACTTCACTGTATTGTTTGGTTCAGTCAGTAGCAGCTCAAAACAGACATGTGATTGTTCATGGATATGGGAATTGAGGATAAATAAAAGACAAGGGCAGGTACGCACCGCAATAGTTCCTCCAACTTCATATTCATCAGACTAGTCGCGACTTGCATGACGACGAAAGCAGAGTATCCTGGTTGACCAATATGCTCCACACCAAGAATGCTATGGTCTGCTTCCATGATTTCACTTGCAAGCCTGTAGGGCGTCGGACGCTGAAGGTACGGAGGTAGGGGCTGCCCGTTGGTAACAGCGCTAGAGAGAAGAAATAACATGGACGTAATCTCGTGAGATGTAACGTTGACGTCTCGCATAATTTGGCCAAACGCTTGAATCCATTCTCGATCTTGGGAATGATGAGCGCGGGAAAACGTTCCACTCGAGTACGAGATTAAGGCCATGTAGTGCAACAGGCTGTGACAACGTAAGTTTCATGCTTTTCCGCTCGGGGGGCTTCCGATGCAAAATCGAAAATTACCCAATTCGTCGGGTAAGGAGAGAAACGGAAAAGAGACATACCTCTGCGCAGCATTGACCAGATTATTGTACCGTTCCTTGGGAAACTTTCCGCCTACACTCAGCTCGTACCGGACAAAGGAGAAATGCTCGCGCAAGCCGCCTATCAGTAACATTTGCTTTGAAAAGACCTTCTGTCTAACTTTCGAAAGTCGGTGCGCTGGGCTCTTGCGGTTGTTGCAGTCACCGTCCACGCCAGCAAGACGGAGACGAACGGTTTCATGGACGCATGAATAATAGTTGGCAAGCAGGTACAAAGAGGCACCGAGTCCTTTTCGTAACTGCGACCGGTCCGTCATTGGGAAGGGGAAGATCGTCCAGAAGAAAGCTACGCCCATGCCTCCTAGAACGACAGCAAGACCTGCAACGGTGAGTCTAGGCTCGCGCACTTGGAGAGAAGAATGAGCTTTAGGACTTACGGTATGGCGACAGAAGATAAACAGGGTAGTACTTCTGTTGATTTGTCTGCGCAAGCTGTTCACCGATCTTACGGACTTGAAGTTCATAGCTAAAATGGTCAGCAATTGCAATACTGAGAGCATATTTGGGGGATTTTACCCGACGATCAGGATTTGGGTAACGACTCCAATAATCAATATCATGACAAAGCGAGGATACTTGATCCAGAAATAATATTCTAATTGAAAGTTAGCGGTGAAAAAGATGACATCAAGGCCTTTTTTGTGGAGGTGTACAGACCAATGGCGGTGAAGAAACCAAGCATGGTAATGATGCCCCTGCAAAGCAAATCAGCACACATGTAAATCACCAATGCGTTTGAGGCTACTAACCCAGTCTTCCCAGCGACGATATACCAGATAACGTAACTCATGATGGCCGCTACCAGGGTTCCGCTAACTCTGGTGAAGAATCCAAACAGACTGGCTCCAGAAGTTGGAGTCATTGCAATGGCGATCATGATCATGGCCCAAAAGATTCTCTGTTCAATATAGAAATGTTGCGATTGGTGCAAAGCGCCAATGACCCCAACAGTAATACAAGCGCAAGCAGTCCGCAATCCGAATGCTGCTTCTTGGGATCGGAGTACGCGCGGAATCCATCTGATGGCCTCGCCAACCTTTTCGCGGAAATTGGTTGGCGGCAAATGCTCGGGATCTTTTCTCCTTTTCATGGCATCACCAACATAGATATCCTGTGCGGCTACCTCTAGAGGATCAATATCTGGCTGGTCGACACTGTTATCTTCGTTGCTCAGCGCCGTGAGCACCCATTTTTTCAGCCGCTTTAATGTGGGAAGAAGGATGCGTCGTTTGCTCATTGTACCGTCGGCCACTTTACCGTCGGCAAAGCGCACAAGGCCAAGGACTGCCTCGTTCTTTGCATGTATGAGATATTCGATCTGAACACCAAGGGTTAGCAACGTGACCAAACGCTACGACAAATAGATTTGTAAAAAGGGGTGAACTTGCATAGAGAATCACAAATAATTGACGTTGATGTCGACTTTGCCGAGCAAGTTCGTCCAGGTCTGCCGTCTTTGGAAGTCCTTGAAAAGGATCCTTGAAAAACGTGGAAGACACTTGGACATGATTCTCGGCGCACCATTTCTTCAGTCGCCGTTCCCTTTCAATAAAGTACTCATCTGCTTGTCTCTGTAGGAAGCCGTAGTAATTTCTATCTCCGGGTTCAAGTACTCCTCCTTTGGCCTCGACGTCCTCGTTCGCTTGGCCATTGCCATGGGCCTTTTTGGGCTTTGGCAGCAGCTCCAAAGTGATCATTGCATGCTCTAGACCGCCGTCCATGGCTTGGGTCATGGTCTGGAAAGGCTCACGAAACGACTTCATAAATTGGTGCCATTCGTTCCGAGAATTATTCTTCGTGTCCAAATGTCCTTCTATCTGGGCAGAAAACCCTCCGCTAGGGTCCTGAACCGATGTCGATTTCCAGCCTCTTCCCTCCGCGACCTTGTCAAAAATATCAATAACTGAAGTAAAGCCAATGGAAGGTATCAAGATGGCACGGAGGTGCTGGAGAATGTCCTGGAAATCCTTGGCATCGAGCTTGCCAAACGCAGCCTCGCGCTTGGCAAATTCAAGATCGGCACTCATTTTACCAAAGAGACCAGCCAACCCAGTCACCAAACCTCTAAGCGCCTGCGCCTCGGGGCGTTGTTTGGGGTCAACTTCGCTCTCGTGCTCAATGTGTTTATGTTCGGCATCCGATTCCGGCGACTCGTCACGCGGAGCACCTTTGCCGTACATATCTTTGGATCCGAGGCTGTGAATGTACTTGCCTTCGGCTTTGAGCAATCCGCGAGAAAGACCCAAAAATCCAGTAGCCTGCTTCAGCCATATCGTTCTGACAGAGATTGGAAAGACGAAAAGAGACACTCCAGTCGCAATGGCAAAACCGGTCATAAAACCCTCCAACAACTTCCGGTTATAAGTTCTAGCGGCAGCCATATTTTCGAATTGTGTCGCGTATGTCATAGACACAGACGTGTAGAGAGAAAACGCCATGGACGCAAAGCGGAGCTGGTCAAAGCGTGCCTTTAGAGCATTGATCAGGAAAAGCAGGAAAAAGAGCCATAGAGTAGCCACAGCGGACGCTGAAGCATTGTAGCCCACTTGGGGTTCCGTATGTTGTCGTGCTTTCACTGCACAGTATGCTCCCAAAAGATTTGCCGAGCAAGCCACACAGATGCAGAGAACGGCCATGATCATAGCCTGGATAAATTTTGCTCGAGGCAAGAGGGCCATACCAATCATGGAGGCAATGGAAATCAAGTATCCGACTGTCGTATAAATAGGCGGCACCGATGAAGACTGATATCTGTTTTGATGAAGTCAATAAAATTACTTTTTTTTTTAACTTTTCTTTCAGAGAGTTTGTGGTCATTACATTGCCAGGGAAATTGTCGGTGGTAAAGCACCCCTGTAAAGTGGTTAGCAAAACTCGACTCTGCGACACCAAAAAAATAAAATAAAATAAAAATTTCCCAAAGAGATGGGTTTTACATACTTGATCATCATTTGAAAGGTGAGCCAGTCCAGCCCAATTTTCGCCCAGTAAGTACGCATTTTCGCTTTCCAAACGCCCTTTTTTGCTGGTGTTTGTGCCGGAGGAGCATTGTCGGTTGCGGGGCCCCGCGAAGAGGAACCAGCAGGGGCCGAGCTGGCCATGATGGGACAGCAGAAAGACGACCTCTGTCGAAACCCAAGTCGAAAGTTCAACCAAAGTAGATCACTCTCCAAGAAGTCAAAAAGGCCAGGAGCCAGACAATAAATGGCCCCTGAGATTGAAGTCACATCTTCGCAGTAATCGGGCTAATCGGATGCACCGGAAGTTGGAAGCTGAGAAGGTTGATCTTGGGGGACGAGCATCACCAGTCTAACCCTTTACGGAAACCAGCTGCCAGTCTCACGCGTACGCCGCTCAACCCAAATATACGCAAGAAAAGAAGAACAACCGGCAGGCAGACGAACAAATGTCATCAAGGGGAAACCTGAGAGTCTCGGCCCGTGGAGTTAAGGCAAGAGCGCTGTTTATTGACGGCTGGTGGGGCCCAGGGACGTTGGGCGTCCCGAGACGGCTATTAGTTATGATATAAGACTCCGTCCATTATTAAGGCTAAATGCCTTCCGAGGCCGAATCCACCATGAGGTCAGCCACGCTTTCGAAAAGACCGACCTCCGATTTTTCCCGGAAAAAAGAAAATATACGACTCGTACTCCGTAAGGTTGATAATGCAATTTTCTCACTCGCGCTATTGTCAGAGTGCGATAATGAAAAGTAGATATTTTAAAGGCTCAAAGTTTAGTCGAAAAAGACTAGATGAAGACTAGCTATAATATGCTTGAAACTATATTTAATGGTGTTCTGTCGCAAGAAAAGTGTCATGTCGAATCAAAATGCATACGCAATAATACCCAATAATGATCTCTGAAGGAGATGCATGTTACGCTAATCTCCTCGATTCGCTTGCATATACTTTGTAGAACACTATCAAAACAAAGGGAAGAAGAAGATGAAGATGAAGAATCACATGAAAGAGAAATAAATCAACCTTTGTTGCACCTTAACAATAACCCCCAACCAACGCCATACGGAGTATACTAAACTTGAAAGCGGAGCACTAGCCCAAACCGCCAAGCATCTAGGAAACACGCGGACGTTTGGAAGAAGAACTTTGTCTCTCTTCTTCCTCGTCTTCCTCTTCTTCCTCTTCCAGTTCAGATCTTGAACGCTTCCCCGTAGAAACATCTCCATGACTTCCCGAATTTGTATGCGCTCCTGGAGGAGTCTTTCCTTCAGACGGAGCTCGATCATGCGGGCGAACAAACTCAGCGCCACTGTCATGATACCAACCTTGAAACCATGGAAACGTAGCCAGTTCTTCTAGCATCGGCCGCTGCTCTGGATCTTGATGCAGCATAGCATTGAGAACCTCGGCGCACTCCGGAGAGAGGCGCTCATGGATTGGCAACTCTTCATTGATGATGCGTGTTCGGCGTGCATCAATAATGGGCAGATGGTCGCTATACTCCTGACGACTCCACCCACTGTGAACCGGGAAAGACTCAAGAGACGGGTCTTCCACATCCCATGGAGCGTATCCGTGCAAGAGTGTATACGCAATACATGCGAATCGCCAGAGCAAAACGGTACGATGGTCGGTTGCGATAGGGGGGTATACCGTGTCCCGGGTCCGCATTCGTTTTGATGGAGATTCTGCATTGTATTGGTGCTTGACGATACCTATAACAATTTCGGGACTTATCATGTCTTCGATCCAAGGGTTGTTGGGAGGAAGCACCCCGGCGTACTCGACGTCATACAATTTTACATCGGCATACCCGAAATCAATCAATTTTGCCTATATTAATAAAGAATATCAGCAACAGGTAAAGGTGCGGTCGAAAGTGCAACGTGTGCAAGCAAAGGAAATTGCAATCGTTTGGGATTTATATGTACTTACATCCAGCTGCTCGTTGACCAAGAAGTTTCTCACGCTGAGATCTTCATGTGCGATGCGTCTGTCATTGAGATAAAGTAGCGCTTCAAGGAGTTGCGACATAATCTTGCATACCTGTACCTCAGACAAAAGCGGCTTCTTCTCACGGGTCAGACTGACTCCGGTAAAACTGTCAAACCTCGGCGCCCCCCTCAGAGAAGTGATCTTTTCCGCAGTTTCCTGCTCCGGTTTTGAATCGAGGCCGAACGGCTCCATGACAAGGACGGCGACAGCACCATGGATCATGCTGTCATAGTAGTCTGGAATACGTTCGCAGCCGCCTACTTTGGACAGTAAATACAGCTTGACAATCTCCTCACTCGTATATTGCTGCCTCCGTCTATCATAATGCACGTCTTCCTCGAGATGGTAAATTTTGACAGCAACCTGCAAAGCTTTGCCCTCATCGTTTGCCTCGCGAGTGCGTCCCGCAAACACAGTTCCCCACGCTAGAAGAAATAAAAGTCAGCGTCTTTTCCAGTCCGGAAGATTCTTTGTTCTCAGGCGATAGAGATAGAAAATACAATAAAAAAATATAAACAAAAACAAAACGTTGAAGCCTCAACAGCGTACCAAAGATCTGACTTACTACCACTCCCAATAACTCCGTAATTGATGAATTTCTCATCAAAAATTGCACAAGGTGCCTTGCAAAAGTCTTCAGTAAAGTTTTGGTCCAATTTCCATTTGTCTAAAGGATAATCCGCTGGATAGTCCTCGCCCTGACACTTGAAGAACTCCCCGCCAATCGAAACGTTGAAAAATTTAAAGAGTGGGTGCAGCGGCCCTTGGCGTTTAATAAATTCGACGGCTTTTAAAAATCTTGAACGACGAGTTGTTGATATGTCGGACATGATAAAGGGCGTTGCAATATTGTTCCTAAATTCTAACAAAATTAATGGTAATTCTGCTTCGACCCGTTTTTGTTTTCGAAATTGGACTTGTAAAATGTTCTGTGAGAAGCTGAGAGCGTTTAATTTCCAGTAATGTTTCAAATTATGCTGTCTGCTTGATTGATGCTCTTATTCAACGTTGAGAATCAGAAGACTTTGAGAGCAAAATGCAAAGCAGCTCGTATAGCCAGACGAGATAATTCTATAGGCTCGGAATTTCAGCGATGTAATTCTAGAAATTCTAAGGTAAGTTGGAGAAGATCTGAACAACTGGTGTTTTCAATGTGAATTCTAACGAGATGTGGTCCGAATAAATACCCATGGTCCTTTATCAAGTAATAGCTGTCAAAACATTTAATTTCTGCTTAAAAGGCTTTGTTTCTTTATTCCGATATCCGCATAAACTCAGGGCACTGCAATTTGAATGACTTTGTGATTGATCAGACAAAGAGCCCCATTCAGACAAGATACTTTGTTTGCTTTGTCTTCGAACAAGTGAAAACAATGACGAGAAGCTCCTAAGATTCCCTCGTTCAGTTTATCCAATACAATGAACTCCAGAATAGAAACAATGAAAAATGTCGGGGAAATAATGACGAATAAATAAGCGAAAGAAAAAGGGGCAATTCAAAGAGACCAGGAACAATGCCAAGCTTGACAATCATCTCATTCATTGTTTCATGAATCTTGTTGGCATTCAAACCTGAAACAAATCGAGATCAATGAGAACACGGTAGTGAATGACTAAATATGGTGTGATATGCAAAATTTGGAATCATTGTAGCTATGTTCAAGAAGTATATGCCCAGAATCAAAAAAATAAACTCCATGAATGCGGGAAACGCTGGCTGGAAGATCATCAACATGAAATGCTCCGAGGCGGATGAGAAAATGCAATAATGCAATCTTGACCAACTCTAATGTAAGAGATGTGTCTGGTATACGCCGTGCCTCCAAAGGGATGATGAATGCAAAGAAAACGAGAAAAGATATCATAACTGCAATATAGGCTCGCGCGCTCAAGGGCGCTTCTAAACTGTTCCGTAGCCGTCTCTACCGTCGTAAAGCAGCTGCTGCGCATCGGCACCAGCGGTCCTGGTCAATGACATGCTCGGCATCCAGCCACGCATCCAGCCACTGACACGCCGCCACCGGCCTTCCGATTTGTCGCGAATGACGACGTTCTCGCCATGCTCGCCAAAAAGTATGAATTGAATGCCCATTGTCGCATCCAGGACGAGGACGCCGGCAGCACCCAGCCAGAAGGGAGCCGCCAGACTGACCCATTCTAATCTATCATTGCCCTCTTCACCAACCCAACCGCCGCCTCCATAGCTAGGAAAGTCATTCCAAGCGCAAGGGTTGGTGAGAAGTGATGAGGAATAAAAGAGATTTCCGAAAAACGCAGCAAGAAAAAGGAAGGGGCTGAGACCTGCAGTAGAACGGCGAACGTGATTCTTGTACAATTGCGGGAGGCGGGATCCAAGGTATAATAGGGTCGAAAGCCAGGAAAGGATACGGCCAGCTGCCTCTGCAGGATTGCTCTCGCTCATTTCCAAGTTCGAGATCTCGGTCTTTGCAGCCACGGACGGGCGCGCGCTCAGTAAGGCGCAAAGAAGCGAGATATAGAGCATGGTCCGGGGAGACAGCGAAACGATCGGAGAGGTACCGGGTTGTACACGATTGATGTAGTGAGGCTGAGGGGGACTGGTGCCAGTTTCATCCTTTGAGGGAGGCGACGATGAGAAGTTTGGTGCGCGAAATAGTTGTCGCGCAGCTCTCGTAGTGTTCGATGGGAAAGGCCGCCCCTGCTTCTGGTCAGGCTCGCGGTCAGAGCTGTTGGAGTCATCCGGTCGGACGCCCTCCAGAATGCCACCACCCGGCCCAGTTCCATCGTCAAAGTTTCCATCTATGTAAACATTGTCCCGACTCCATCGGGCCAAAATGTGTTCGTACCAGAACCACTGTCCCACCAGGATCGCATCGACACAGACGTAGTAGCCAGCTACTACAACCTGCCATGTAGCTTGGCGGGTGAGTAATGCACCCAGCAAGTTTGATGCATCACCCAGGCACCATTCGATTAAAAAGTAGATGGAAAGCCCTGCTGTAGATCTGATCTTGTAATTTTTGTATATTTGAGGGAGCTGAGCGAACAGCCATGACACGATACTCAACGTGCCCAATAGTATGGAGATGAAGGCGAGATTTGTTGGGATGCATGTATGAAAGGATGAAGACAGTTTGTACAAGAACTCATTGGCTGGCTCACAGTGGTCCGGCAATGACGGAGGGATAACCCCCACATTCGACCATGGAGGCATATTCGCAAGAAGAGTTAGGGAGCGAAACAGCGCATCAAATTCGTCTCAATCTGGACACAATCGAAGTGTTTCGACAGCAAGAGAGACCGTCGCGGCGGATTATTGCTTTCGATAGAGAATGAGGAGGAACGGTAAGATGAGATTGTTGGGTCAATATGGAATGCGTCGCCTCAGGAGGCCCGAGTTGTCTCAGCTTAGGTAGGCAGACACCGGACAAGGGGGCTGATCACAGATAAGCCACAGGTGCAAAGGATCGATCTAGCAGGAAATCCGCAGCAGAAGTAATAATAGTAATAAGGAATATGAGTGTGTTCCGGTGGCATGCAAGATCAGCTGAAATGGGTCACTTTCAGGCACCTAAATCCCTGTCAGTTATGCTGTCCGCTGTAGAGAGTCATAGAAGGATTGAGCTGCCGATAAGGCAGTCTCTTATCGGGGAATGACGCACACAAAGCCAGAGAGAAGGAGGATGAGAGAGTGTGTGTTGCAGTACTGAGAAGGGGAGCAAAACAGTATTCGGAGTATGCAGACTCTCTTATAAGAAACAGAAAAGCAGTATCAGAAATAAAGGATATCCAGGAGGGTTTGGTGAAAGATTGTTGTTCAACCTCATTACGTGAAAGATGACAGAGTTCCCGAAGGTGTAGATCCCCATGATGTGGATCGCCGGCCGCAGTACGGAGTACTCCATATCCACATGCACGATAATAATGAAGCCATCCGAAACAGGCTCAGATCATTTGCCCATAGCGCAGAGGCCGGGCTACCCGTATCTATCGTACTCTAGGACTCTACTCTAGTAGGCTGAATCTGCGCTTAGAGCGGATGAAGTATCCTGGGCGCCAATCCGAGATCCATCATTCTTTCGCAGAAGGAATGAATCGGCACAGACTGATAAGCAGACACTCTGTTCAAAGGGGCTCAGAACCAATAGACCAATAAACTTATCGGGGTAAAGTCTCTTGTGTGAACTCTTTGTAGTCAGATGGGGTCGTCGAATGGCCACTGGGCCCCTTGAGTCCCCGAATGCGGCGAGAAGGTGTGGGGGAAGCCCGCGACTAATTAGGTAATGCGCCCGACACGGGGATTCTCTACTGATAAGCCCCCTCCACTCCAACCCCCACCCAATCACATGCCCCTCTTGAGCCTTCCCTTTTCGTTCTCGTGATGCAGCTTCCCTGGAGATAAATATTCGTTCGTAGTCATGTACGATCCTGCGTGAAAGCCTATCTCAGTTGACACTGCAGATGACACATACATAATACGAAGATATACGTCGAGCACTGCAAAGCGATGGGTAAGGCACCCGAGGTGTTTTGGGACTGAGAACCTGACTTCACGTCAGAAAGCGGAGGATTTGGTTGAACTTTTTCCAGGAACCACCACTATCTCAGTTCAATTATGAGTGAATGCAGTATCGCTGCTGTCAAAGTCTTCTCGAGCTGTCCGCCTTATAAAATACTGCGCTCACAGACTGGGCGTGGCCATTGGAAGAGACTCTTAATCGCGAGCACATGGAAACTTGGCGAATGTATCAGCAATCTTTTGCTCTTGCAAGTATGACGCTGGCTGGGGACGAGTATTCTTTTTCAATCGAATCTATAGCCGTAAGTAATAAAATAAAACGGGAAATTCTTCTTCAATTCTTCAATTCTTTAAAAACAAAGAACCAATTCTTTTGAATTTTGTAAAACAATAATAAAAAAATAATAAAACACCTAGTTTTCCTGGATTTTTCTCAAAAAAAAAAAATAAAAAATAAATAAAAATAAAAATAAATAAATAAATAAATTTTGCTAAAACGTATTGAACTCGGCGCGATGTTCGCGCAACTTGGAATGACCGATGATGTCGAGGACCTTGAATGTTCCGCGCAGCAGATATACCACGAAAAGATCTCAAAATTTTATGGTGATCGTCAACAATCTGTGTCAGGACTCAAGCAATAGATACATAATAGTTCAGCAGAAGCTTCTTTCCAGAGAAGCCGAGACAAATAGGCAGCCACTTCTCACAATGACACCTCAATCCTGAGGAAAATCTCGTAGAGGGAAGGCGAGATCAAATAACTGTAATTTCGATTCCTAAAAAGTCAATACAGGACATATACTCCGTACTGACGTTTCCTTGACGTGTAACGGAACACCACCGCGGCATGAGATAACAACGCCAATGATTAGTGAACACTCGAACTGAGCGCCTTTCGGTAAATCTTGACCGTTGCATCAGGATGACAGTTTCGATTTTGAACATCATTCAAGCTTCTGTTGGACGCTCAAGCGCTGTCCTCGAGCGTCTTTGAGGAAAAAAAAAAAAAAAAAAAAAAAAAAAGAGCAGAAATCTATCAAAAAAATTTCCTTGCCTACCAGGCAATCTCCGCGCCCAAAGCATCCCGAATTGGGGTTCATTTCCATTGTAAACACTCCGTAGCTCGCTATGACAAGTCCAACATTTGGTACGGGCCAAGCTTGCTCGGTTGACTTCTCTAACCAAATTAGCCGACTAAAGTCTGACCATTTCTGACCATTTCTGACTTTTTTTGTGAGGGAAGTCTGACTCGCGCTGTTTTCGTTTCGCGACCGAGAAATCTTGTGGAGCAGGATCGGCTGGAAGCTCCCGCGCCGTCGGAGCTACCTAGATCTCCATATTCCCAAATCCCTCGGTAGGGCTTGACGTCGGAAATAAGAGCCAAAGCGGACACAGGAAGGTTTCTGTGACGCTTAGAACCTGTCTGCCGAGAGATGAACGGCAGTGAGATTGGTTTCCACGTTTGCATTAGTCGAGCAATCCCTTGACCCCTCCTCCTACCGTCGTTGCGTCATGCCAGCGGGGATCCAAACACAAGCAAGCCTGTGAGCTTCCGCTATAAAAGCCGTGCCAGAACCACGTAGCCAAGCCACTTGAACCAGTTTCCCATTAATCCCAAGTTCCTTTGACACTCAAGCGACAGCTCTCTGAATACAATTGATTCCCGATTCTTTTCTTTCTGTAGCAATCTCACAATGGCACCCAACCTGCCAAAGACTTTCAAAGCCGCCCTTTTCAAGGAGGCCAATGCGCCTCTTGTTGTTGAGGATGTTCCATTGGAGTCCCCGAAGCATGGGGAAATTTTGATCAAAGTCCAAGCATCTGGAGTATGTCACTCCGATATCATGGTGCAGGCGGGAATGATGAACTCTTTGTAAGCTTCATCGATCCAAAAGTCCCAATTCAAATGTACAGTTAGTAACAAGAGCGAAGCCCGATCATCCCTGGTCACGAAACAATCGGAGAGATCGTTGCTGTTGGTCCGGATGAGAAAATGTGGAAGGTGGGCGACCGTGCCGGTGGAGCATGGCACGGTGGACATGACGGTAATACCTCCACTTTCGCTTCTCAATGATAGATAGCAGGACTAACAATGTAAAAGGCACCTGCCGCGAGTGTAGACGTGGGCATTTCCAAAATTGCGAGAACGAAGCCATCAATGGTGTCAGCCGCAACGGGGGCTGTAGGTGTCTCTTTGGCGAGGTTTTAATAAATTGAAGCTAAGAATCGACAGACGGAGAATATGCCACCCTTCGCAGTGAGGCCGCTGTGCCGATTCCCAAAGACGTCGATGCCGCGGCGTATGCACCCTTGCTCTGCGCAGGTGTAACTGTTTTCAACTCAATTCGAAACATGGGAATTGCGCCTGGCCAGACTGTTGCCATCCAAGGACTCGGAGGACTTGGCCATCTTGCACTCCAATTTGCGGCGAAAATGGGGTACAAGGTCGTTGCCCTGTCCAGCAGTGCTAGCAAGCAGAAGTTCGCCAAAGAACTTGGTGCGCATGTCTATCTTGATGGAAGCAAAAAGGACCACGTTCAAGCTCTGAATGAAATGGGAGGTGCCGCACTTGTCGTTTGCACGGCTCCAAACCCCGAGTTGATTGGGCCTTTGATCAATGCTATCCAGCCTCGCGGAAAACTCCTCGTTCTTGCTCGTAAGTTTCCATCTTAAACACTGGGCGTTGGCAGCGACCGTTGTGCTAACTGTTTCCCCCCTTTAGCTTGCGGAGACATCTCCATCAACACCGTTCCTCTAGTGGTAAAGGGTTTGTCTGTTCACGGCTGGCCCTCGGGCGCAAGCTTGGATTCGGAGGAGACAATTGAGTTTGCTGAAGTTCATGGAGTGAACTGTCTCGTGGAGAAATTTCCGCTCAAGGACGCAGCCAAGGCATTCCAGCACATGGCTGATAACAAAGCCCGCTTCCGTGCTGTTATTGTGATGGAGTAAAAGATTGGTGACTAGGCGTTGAAACGGCCTTGATTTGGTGGGATGACTATTTTTTTCCTGGACAATAATTGGTATAAGGTATCTCTAAGAGAATATCTAGTCTGAAAAATTTGAACAGTTTTATATTTTCGAGAACGAAAAATGAAAGATTGTGACGTGACTACAAAGGGTATATAAAGCTTTCGACGGGGTTATCATAACCATCAAGGTCCCCGAAATTATCAAGAGCTATGACACCATCATTTTTCAATCGCTCAACACCTCTGCACTTGCACGAATGTGCAATGTGCAATGTGCAATTTATCGGTCTTGTCATTTGAAATTACTATTGATCTTCCGAGAATCCGTCTTTGAAGATTCACAGCGGAGAATGAAATGCGTCAAATACAATGTTCGAGTAAAGGAGTAAACTTTGTGCAGAGTATAAGTTAGTGCATAATTGTACTCGTATTAATTTATACAGGTTTTATGCAATTCAAGTCGCTAGGTAGCTTCATAATCATATTTATTCCAGTGCATAAGAATTCTCAACGGATTTATGCGACGCACAATATCACTAATTTATCACTAAGGTAAGTAAGGTAAATTATTACCTTACTTACGAGTGATTATCTTGTGTCTTTTCAAGATGATTTAACTAAATCTTATGTGATGGGTCATTGGCACTTTGGGGATAAAACAGCAGTTCTTACTTCCGACCAATGAATGACTCAATCAAAGACAGGCGACATGTGAGGGTGCGTTTCATGTCGGGCTCTTAGGACGAGGGATGACCAAAAGGATGATCCGTGACTGCAGCCTCCCATAGCGCGCGCATATTGGCTTGCTTCATCTTCTGCCCGCCATACTCCTGCTCTTTCCTTCCGCTCATTCTCCGTCATGACCAACAACTTCATGCTGCGCTAGGCCGCTTCGCCAAACAGATGACATGCCGGTCAAGGCGCCCAAGGTCATATCGTAGATACTGACTTGTTCTTTACTCGTTTCCTAATGATGATCTTAGACTGAATTGGGACAAGCTATGTTTCAAAGCAATATCATGGCGATTTCGTGTGCTTCATGTTCCCTCAAGAGAGGGGTTTTACACACAGAGGCGGCAAGGCCTTTCCACCTGTTTTTCTTTTGGTGAATAATATTGTTTGCTTGATATCCTTTTCGTCCAGCTTTCTGTATCTTTCCGGATGCCCATCCTTCTACCATTTTCACCCTCTCTAATGAATTGAGCCGGCTCTCCTCTTTCCCTTCTTGAAAATATTGAATGCTGCAGTCCTTTTCCGCAGATTCTTAACCAACTCCAATCACTTCAACGGTATTTTACATTTCACATTCGTTAAATTGCAGCCTGCTGGCAGGTTGCGTTCATTTCGATACACTTCCAAAGGCTCAAAATCATACGTGCTTTGAAGGCAGAGCAACGTTGTTCAAGCGGGTCTTCATGATATCCCGTGTCGCACAATCCACAACATCGTCATACGATACACGTTGTCTTCTTTGTCTTCCTCTTTGGCTCTATAAGTCGGACAGACGGCCTCTCCGTGTGTCGGTCATATTCGACGCCTAGTGGGTATTGTGCCTTGGCCGTTATAATGATCGCCCATTCGGGTCTCTTTCGTTACAGAATCCCGACGCTGTTCCGAACCGCCTTGGTCTTGCTATCAATACCATCGTCTGTTCGAGCAATATCTCTGGCAAACTTCCAAGAGATTTCGGGAGCTACCCTCGTCTGCTCGACCGCTTACGACGCGAATATTCCAGGCTGTCAGGCATCTGATTTTGCGGAGAATGCTGCGTGTTCGAATGCCTGCATCACTGCGTTGGAGGCAGTGACCACGCTCGTCAACGAGGCATGCGCCGGCTTGAAGGCAGACCCGGCCTCGCTCATTTCTATAATCTTGGGCGGAAAAGGTGTTCAGGCTCTATGCCCAAATGAGGTTACAAGAACTTCGAAAACCAGCTCGGCAAAAACAACAACCGCCTCAACTGTAATATTCAAGACCAGCACGCCGCTCAGCATTGGAAGCAGCACCATGGTTGCATCGTCTCTACCTAGCAGCTTCTCAAGCTTGGTCCTTGATACCTCATCGACTCTCCTTTATCATTCCACGAAGAGCATGACCAAAGATTGCTCAAGCAGTACGGTTACAGTGATAGTGACAGCTACCTCTGCCGAGCCAGATACCACGGCGACAAGCTATTCCCCTCAAACTTTCTCTTCGTCAGCTTCCAGGTCAACGCTTCCGTCGCTAGAGTCCAGTCCTACTACCAACGTCATCGTGAGTACGTCACAAGTCATCATTACTTCTTCATCGAGCCCCCCGGCAAGCGGGAGCAGCAGCAACAGTCCACAATCATCCTCTTCATTGTCGCCTGCTGCGTCGAGTACTGAAAGCTCAGGAGCCTCAACGGTGACAGCTGCAGCCACAAGTCCTACTCCTTTTTCCTCTAGCCATGGGCCTAGCACCACCTCTCAAACATATTCATCTCCTTCATCGTCATCGTTGTCTCCCTCTCCGTCCTCAACGAGCCATACTACTTCCAAACACCCATCAGCCACTGGCGGTGCTGGCGACCCCTTCGATATTTATGTCGGTGCTGGCTCATCTTACACTGTCCCAAATGGACGTTTATGGCTTTTATCTGCATTAATATTGCTTGCAAGTGCCTTCTTCTCATGAAATGTGTTTCCCCACTCCTTTCTAGTGCATTTCTTAATAATTTCTGCATTTCGGTTCTCTTGGGTTAAGTGTAATGCTTCAATTTTGCATTTTGTTGTTGGCGTTTTATGGCATATGGTCCATGGATTTTTTTTAGGGCCGCGAGCTCAGTCATGGGGGCAGTATGGCGAAAGGCGCACAGGTATCATCTTTCCGATACCTAAACATGTACATCTAGAACGATTCTTTAGCTATAATAATCGACTCGTTATTCCTGACTGTATTTTGGCTGCGCGGGTTACCGTTCTGCATGCTACTGATGTGTGATAAAGTTTACGCACACCTCGATCACCTGCCTTTCCCCAACGCTACCCCACAATATTGACCAGAACCCGTCGTGACATGTTGATTTCACAATTCTGAGCAGTTAGCATTTGAAATCACTCACTCTGACTTTCCCATCTGTGAGCCAGTCTTTGCTAGTTACGCCTTTGCTTCCACCGCCAGACGAACTGAAGAAGACGTACCGGTTCTACCCTCCCTTGGGTGCGGCTTGGCACATGCCTGCTTCTTCCTTTTAGCCAATTGGTCAAAACGAACCGAGATGCAACGACTACCCTGCAAAATAATGGAGTCAAGCAGAGGGTGTTAAGCGCCTGAGTGATGGTGTATAACAAAAATGACAGGCGATCTCGCCCTGAACGTTGCAAGGCAATTTGCTATTTTTAGAATGGAATTTCGAACATGGATTCCATCAGTATCTAGATGAATCTGGCTTGGAAAAAGACGGTTTCTAGATTATCGGGGCATCAATGGGATGAGAACGGCGGCAATTTTGAGGGCATCCTTTATTGCGAATATGTTCCAAGGCAGGCGGGCGGGCGGGCCCAGGGAGCAAGGAACACAGTCTCAAAAGAATGTCTCGGCCAGCTTCCGCAGGGGGGTTGTCAACCTTGGGGCACAATGTCGCAGAATGCAGCCGTTAGAGCCAGTCAATACCCGCCGCATAAGCCTCCCATACGTATCATCCACCGCGGTGTTGGGCGCAAGCTCGAGCAAAGGATATAAGCCGGACAACCCCTCGCGATTTTGCTTCTCAGCTATGCCTGAGATACCGATTCTGTGCAGCATTTCTTACTTACTATTTTATTACACATCTCTGAACAATAGATTCGCGCGCGAACCATGCCAAACGAAACACCAGCCGTACGTGATGGCTCAAAGGAAAGTCCTCTAGACAGCGATGGTCTCTGCCTCTTGTCACTCGATGGTGGTGGGGTTAGAGGTTTATCCACACTATACATCTTGAAAGAGCTCATGGACGGCCTGAATCATGAACGCAAGAAGGCAAATCCGAATTCGTTGCGAATGAAGCCATGTGACATTTTCGACCTTATTGGCGGCACGAGCACAGGCGGGTTAGGTCTGCCCATTCATCATCAAAACCTCGCAGTATTGTTAACAGTGGCAGGCTCCTTGCAATCATGCTCGGCCGGCTTGAGATGGATGTTGATCAATGTATTTCGGCGTATACTGAGCTCATGGAGAAGGTATTCAGCAAATCCTCAGGCGGGCTTCGAGTTGGCTTGAAGGGAAACATCAAAGCCCGATGCGATTCTGAAACGCTCCACGAGGCGGTGAAAACGGTTGTAATTAGTTGTGGGATGGATCCTGACGACCGTCTCTGCGATGGCAGACCACCTGGCTGCAGGGTGTAAGTGGAAAACCAGAAGACCCATCTCTGAATAAAGTTCTTCTCACGTCAACGCTTTTCCAGGTTCGTCTGCGCGACGGAAAAGTCGTCACAGGAGACAATACATTTGCGAAGCTACTCGCTGTCCAGGGAGTTTGCCGAGGCCACGCCCACCATTGGTGAGGCTGCGCTTGCTACTTCCGCTGCCACGAGCTTTTTCGAGCCAGTCTCGATCAGCGGGCGACGCTTTGTGGACGGCGGCTTGAGCGCGAACAATCCGGCAGAGGAGGTGGAACGTGAAGCGAGTGATATCTGGTGCGCAGACACTGCTGAGCTCATGTCTCTGGTCAAATGTTTTGTATCTGTTGGCACCGGCGATCCTGGAATGAAGGGTGTAAACGATAATATCAAGGGAATCACTAAGACGCTCCTTGAAATGGCCACGGAGACTGAAAAGACCGCGGATCGAATTGCAGCGCGTTGGCGGAAATATCACGAGGATGGCCGTTATTTTCGATTTAATGTTCAGCAGGGTTTACAGGGTGTTGATATGGCAGAGTTTCGAGAACGTGAGAAGATTGCGGGAGCGACGTGTCGGTATCTCAAGCAGACAGAACTGCAATCGCGCATGCGAAAGTGTGTGCGCAATTTGCAGGGGAAACAGAGTGTGTATCTCCAAGACTTTGCTTAGAGTAGTTGTAATTAATTACTGAATGTATGAGTAGATAAAACACGATTGGACTTCGATGCAACGATGAACGTACGGTTCCGCGAAATGTTTGTGAACGAGGACCGGTGCTGACAATAGACTAGAAACACTGTGAACTCATCAGTCAGCTGCGTCTTCGTCCCCGTAAGTTGCTTTACTCTGAGCGCCAAATAAGCAGTCTTGTAACATTATTATTCAGGTAACCATAAACCCTGCCGGTATATTCCTTTTGAATGCAATGACGGGTTCGTTGGCCGCAACGCAGAGCTTGCCGAAATAGAATCAAAACTCTTTATCGAAGGTGGCTGCTCAAAAATGGCTGTTTACGGACTCGGAGGAATCGGAAAGACCCAAATAGTCCTTGAACTTGCTTACCGTACAATGGAAAAGAGACCAGACTGCTCAATATTCTGGCTCCCAGCGATCAGTGTCGATGCAATGAAGAAGGCGTATCTGGATATTGGCCGCCAACTCCAACTACCTGGCTTGGACGAGAAAGATGCAGACATTGTCGCTTTGTTGCAACAGCATCTAAGCCAAGACAGCAGTGGACAATGGCTTTTGATCATTGATAATGCCGACGACGTGGATATGTGGTTTGCCTCTGGAGCCGATACCGCCAGATCCACACCTTTGATCAAATGCTTGCCTAGAAGCAGCCGCGGATCTATCTTGTTCACGACACGCACGTTGAAGGCTGCAATAAAATACGCCCCGACGAATACCGTTAAGATCCACCAGATGAACGAAGACGACGCAAAGCAATTCCTACACAGTGAAATTTTAAATAAGACCATACTGCAGTTTGAAGAAGCCCAAGCGGCATTGTTACATCACCTCGCCTTTCTTCCTCTAGCCATCCGACAGGCAACAGCGTACATTAACGAAAATGACACTTCTCTAAGCGAATATCTGGAGCTCCTGGAAGGCACCGAAGAGGAGATCCTTGAAGTGTTGAGTGAAGATTTCGAGGACGAGGGAAGATACAGCGAGACGAAGAACCCCGTAGCTGTAACTTGGCTAATCTCATTTGAACAAATCCGGAAGCGTGATCCCTTGGCAGCTGAGTACTTATCCTTCATGTCCTGTATTGAGCCAAAAGCGATCCCAAAGACGCTTCTGCCATCGCATTTGCTCAGTAAGATTAAAGTGCAGCGTGCACTTGGAACTCTGCTTGCATATTCATTTGTCGCCAAGCGGCCGGCCGATGAGCTTCTAGACCTGCATAGTTTGGTTCGTCTTGCAACGCGCAACTGGCTGAAGCAGCGTGGGTCCCTTGGAAGCCACATGATTAAGGCAATGAGGCACTTGGCCAATGTGTTCCCTAGCTGTGACGAGTGCAACAGGGCAATATGGCGAGCGTATTTGCCACACGCAATGTGCATTCTTGCAGCTAAATGTTTCTCTAGCAATGATTCATATCAACCTCAGTTATTACTCAGTGTCGGGAGGTGCTTGTTGGAAGACGGGAGGTATAACGAGGCAGAGCGGGTTCTGCAAGAATCCACAGACATGTACTCGAAAAGGCTTGGAGAGGAACACCCTAGTACTTTGATAAGCATGAGTGCTCTTGCTTATATATACTCTCGTCAAAAAAAATTGGAACTTGCACAGGAGATACAGGAGCAATTGATTGACAAGAGCAGCAAGATATTTGGAGAATCTCATCAAGAGGCATTAAGATGCAAGAACAATCTTGCCTTGACATACCAGTCCCAAGGACGTTTGGAAGATGCAGAGGAGCTCCTTGAGCAAGTTCTCGACAAGCGCAGGAAACGATTTGGAGAAGACCACCCAGCCACATTGGAAAGCATGTTTCGACTTGCTTCATGTTACTGGCACCAAAGAAGACTGAAAAGTGCACAGGAGCTCTTTGAGCGAGTCCTTGACAAGCGCAGGAGGGTACTTGGAGAAAACCATCCAGATACCTTGACAAGCATGGACAACCTTGCTCGTACATACTGCCGCCAACGACATTTCAAAGATGCAGAGGAGCTCTACAAGCAAATTCTTGATAAACGCAGAAAGGTTCTTGGAGAAGACCATCCAGATACACTGATAAGCATGGGTAACCTTGCTAGCACATACCGGAACCAAGAACGCCCAAAAGATGCAGAGGAGCTCTTTGAGCAAGTGCTTGACAAGCGCAGGAAGGCACTTGGAGAAGACCATCCAAACACATTGACAAACATGCGCATTCTTGCTCGTTCATACCGCAACCAAGGACGTCTAAATGATGCAGAGGAGCTCTACAAGCATGTGTTTGACAAGTGCAGGAAATTACTTGACGAAGACCACCCTCTTACATTAACAAACATGCAAGATCTTGCTGTGATTTATGGGTGTCGAGGACGGGACAAGGAGGCTTTGGATTTAATGTGTAAATGCGCTCAAGCCAGTCAGCGGACGTTAGGTGCTGACCATCGAGATACTCGGAGGCGCTTCAGAATGATTGATACTTGGCAACACCCGGGTATCAAGCGACATTTGCTTTTTGGAAGATACAAGGTGAAAGGTTGAAAGTGAAATACATAAGGGTTTCGTTTGGCGCGTCACCGCACCACGATCAAAGTCACGTTGGATTACTCATTCAGGATTAGCCTGTTCCATCGGACGAATGCACATATAATTACCGGCCTAAGGACATACATACCTACATATATAGATAATGTCAGGCAGTGCGCTAGATCGATATCAATCCATAGAAAAACCAAGATTGAAGAGGACAAATAGTAGATATGCCAAGGACACAGGTGACGCACGAGGCCAAGAGGCAAGATAAAATACTGCAGTACAACTCGGTGCAGAGCGATAAGGAAAGGAAGGAAAATAAATACAAAGATTCCATCAATAGAGACATTGAGACAATGGAATGGCGGACAGCACAGCCGGAGACACCATAAATAATAAAAAGAAAACAGAAAAAGAAGAACAGTTGGAAATAGGGTATCAGGTATCGCAATGTGAAACAAGAATGATGCCCGAACTGTTATGCGCGCGTCCTTCGTCATAATATCGTACAACGTACAGGGAATCTCTTGGGCATGTCTGTATGTATACCTAAGAGGGGAGAGAAGTATGATGGGTAATAGAGGAGAGAGAGGAAAGAAGTCAAGAAGAAAGGCCCTTTTGTGCGACTTGGAGTGGAGCGCGTTTCTCATCACGTTCAACACCCAAGTAAACACCTTGAGAAAGGAAGAAGATGTTCAAAAGACATATGCGGCAGAGAGGTGCTTCACAGCCTCCAACCGTTATCGGGCTCAGAAACGTCTTGGCCCCGTCGAAGCCAAGGGTAAGCAAGAATTTCAGAGATAATCCACCGCTTTTCCGCATTCATATCCAGACATCCACACACGAGTTCGACAGCGGGCTTTGCTTCGCCGCCTGCTAGACCGGGTGCAGTGTTGAACACGGCTTGGTCCCACTCGCCCTTGACGATCATCATTTGAAGTTTGGGCCGTAGAGGGTGGTTGAATGGCAGGTCGCCGACAAAGAGGGCGTACATGACCACTCCAAGGGCCCAGATATCTGCCGCAGGAGAAAGCAGATGGGTCTGACTCTCGATGAGTTCAGGCGAGAGGTACTGAAGACTGCCGGAGAGAGGGCGCGTGGTCGTTTGGGAAGAGTCAGAATCTTTCTCGTCAGTCTGATGCAACCGGTTGGTGTATGGATCTGGCGAGTTGCTGCGGGTATCGCTCGTGTTGAACTCTGCCATGCCAAAATCGCAGAGAAGGATTTTGCCGCCTTCGATATCAGCAGTGGGGCTCGACATGTCCACGAGGCAATTTTCTAGTTTGATATCCCGGTGTACGACGTGAACATCCTCGTGCAGGTATCGGATCGCCGAAGCGAGTTGGAAAATATACCTCCTAGCAAGCTGAACATCAATCCCTTGGCGATTTTTGCGCACCAAATCATAGAGAGTACCGCCCTTGTTGAGCGGCGTGAAGCAATAAGTAGCAAAGGAAGTGTCATAGACGGCTAGAAGCTTCAGAATACGTTGATGGTCGAGGCATCGCCACAATGAAACTTCTCGCTCAAAGTCTGCTTGGAATTGATCATTCTCAGGATCAGTTTTGCCGGCAATCTGCTTGCGGACAATTTTGACTGCCCGCCGTACCCGGCTACCGTCTTCGATGGTGTACGCTTCTCGAACGATACTAAAACCGCCCGTGCCGATCAGCTTTCCGAGCACATAGTCACCAATTTCTTGTCCCTCGTCATCAGGATCAGAAATCGGAGGGGCTTCAGTCTTGGCCCACTGAGAGAGGAAAGTGCTGGCAGGCGATGTAGTATTCGAAGAAGTCGACCGCCGCGAGCTTCGCTTCGCTCTACGAAAGCTGCCCGGTCTCTCAAATGTGTAGCTTCTGGATCGCATGAGCAGGTCCGGCTTCTCGTTCAAAGGCCAGGTTGACGTTTCTTGAAGAGATGTAGGTTGATTCAGTGGGCCAGGCATGGGCACAGGCGAAAGAACAAACTCAGTGGGTGTGTGCACCGGCGTACGCAATTCTTCCATGGCAGAGGATGCTGTGGAATCGGAAGTGAGAGAGGCCACCTGATCTTGGTCTCTCGAGCGTGGCCTCCTTTGCAGGCGCTCAGCAGATGTCTCAATAGCAGCTAGGCTTGAACCACCACGCTCGTGGCTCCGTTGTTGCCATCCCTTTGACGATGTGGCTGATTCTCCGCTTCCCCTGGAGGAGCTCGAACGCTGGGTCATCTCGTCCAATAAAGAGCGACCTCTCACTCTCCATTTTGCCTCAGATCGAGGGAGGGGCTGGTCTAATTCCTGCTGTTGACCGCTGTCTAGCGTGACATGCGGATTAAAGGATATAGAAAGTCTCCGAGACCGAAACGCACATTCGATCGGAGAAGGCTCCACGTATCGGTCATCGCCAGGGCTGAGACCAGCGGGGCCCAAAGCATCTAGGTCACCATGTGCTGGTGATGGAACATCTATGGGCGGCGTAGAAGCATGCGATTCCTCCTGCTCGGGCAGGAGCTGTTTTCGCACACGCTCGAATGTGTTTGATCGTGGGATGACCCATGGTCGTTGTTGGGTCGAGTGCTCGACCGGGCTGACAGATTCATCAGACTCTTGCGAATGCGCAGAGGCATATTCCCAATTCATTGAGCCATCATCGGAGCGAGAATGCGTATCAAAGCCAGAACTCTCGAACTGGTGATGCCGATTCCGAGTTTGGGTCGGAGAGTCGAGAGTGGCCATTCCACGGCCAGCAACGTAGATTATATGCGAAGTTGATTGAGCGAGCTATGATTTTGATTGCCGGAGCGGACGTGTAATCAGCCAAGGAAGGCGGAACGTTTTCGACGAGGAAATGGTGGAGCCTGATATAGGTCCGCGACCACGGCCGGGCCCGAAGTGCCGTGCAACGTCAAGCGTGGCGTGCTGCAGGTCGGGACAGCACTCACTTGTGCGCTGCAACGTCGACAGGTACTGATGTCTCGTATCGCGTGTATTTCACACTCAGCTGCAACGACGGTGACGAAGAATGGAGCTCGGGCAGGACGAGACCAATTTTACGACGTCGAGGAGCTGAGGGGGTTTTTGTCCGCGCCAGGCGTAGTTTAGGTTATCGGCCTTCCCCCTCCTGTGCGAAGCGCTGCTTTGGGGTTCTCCCGGTTGGCGTTTTGGTGTTAAGATAGAGGCGACCCCCCACCAATAATGACTTGCACGTGGGGAAATGGGTGCCAAAGGGCAAAAGCGGATCGTCAATGTTGCACACCACACAAGTTGAGGTCTGTATAAGAGAGAAGAGGAAGTTGCGATGTGCTTAACTATCAGTTTCGGAAGACGAAAGTAATTTTTCTGCGCAGCCCTCTCATGATCCGATCTAGGCAGGGCAGGAAAAGATTATTGGCAGGTGTAGCATTATGATCGAGTAATGAAAACATCCCCGGACTGCTCCGCTTTGGCGACGTGACTGCCCATGGATGCAGACGGACCCGATGGTACTATAAAGTACTTACTATCACTCGTCAGATTGCTTGCAATAAAAGTTTCTTAGGGTCTCTATGAGCTAGTGCTGCCTAGACTTGAAGCGAGATGACATACCTAGGTAGGTAGTTATAGGTCGGGCATTTGGCGAGATCCGGCCGACCAAAGGGGAACAAAAAAGGGACTGAGACGAGCCCGGGGAAATGACGGAAGATTAAAGCGGAATATGAAACTTGGTTGGCTGATGTGATTGCGCATGCCAATTGTGGAGCCTATAAGCTCGAAATTAGCCCATAGAGAATTCATCAGCATCATCATCGTCTGCTTTTATCCGCAAGCGAGAAAAAAGCAACGACGGCCCCTGCAAGCCTTATTCGGGATAATCTCCACTTCTCTCATTCTCTTCTCCTGTTTTTCCCGATGCCCATTTTGCTTCATAACACTTCCGAGGAAGGTCGTGAGCGATATCATGTTCTCCGATCACCGATGGCTGGGACTTCTGAGGATTCAATTCTTTTCCGTTCCTGATGCAATCATGGCGGAAACCCCTAAATCAAGAAGTTTCGAACAAGACATTTGTTAAGCAGCAATAACGCAGCTCGGTTTTATGCTCTTAACCCGTGACTTTTCTTTCTCGTCCTGCTGCTTGCCAAAAGGTTCTTATTATTATGATATATATATATATATATATATAATCCTCGCGTGGGTCATTTGAGATGAAGCCTGCCGCCGTACACGACTGCAAATTATGGACAGTGCATCTGTATCGAAATAAACTGCACATGCAGTCTCACAATTATTTGAATGGAACTGATGCTCAATTTGAACGCCATTCATTGGTAACTCAGCAATTGCTGATTTTGCTGTACAAGAAACGAAATGATGAGATATATCAAGAAATGATGTCACAAGCTATTTTTTATCTGCTTTCTTGTGGGGGCTCATAAATTCTTTGAAGCTGGAGTAATACCCCGGTATCCCACTCGTTGGTATAGGAGTAGAGCAGATTTCGTATCAGACGAGACGAGCGACGGATCAGCCGCAGGGTCCGCGCACCAGAACCTGGTTCGCCCAAACTGGTAATTCTAGCGACTTTGAAACACAAACGCGGGTACGCTAGGCTGTTTTGGGTCTATCAACCTCCTGGAATCGTTCAAAAGTGGTTGCCCTGATCCAGCGGGTCACTGGAGATGACCCCCTCTGCCGGCTGCGCAAAGTAACGACATCCTCCTCAGCATAATTCGTGCAGGGCTTGATCCAGGATATGAGTTAAATCACGGTCCAGGAAAGCCTCTCCTATATTTATATTGTATAATTCCCTTCTTAGGGTGGTAACTTTGAGGTCCTAACCTCGAGGTACTCTTTCTCCCCTCGAATATCCCCACGATTTGACAATATCTTTTTTCGCGATTGTCAGGCCTCAAACTCTATATACTATTGACGACTGAATCATTGGTTCTTGAAGATATATATCTCTAGTGTCCTTTTGCGCTCAAGGATTCTGCTGTGCGTTTGTCTGTATATTTTAGATAGGAGACATATGCATTGTTCTTGGTGAACACTTTTGTTTGCACCATGACTCGACCACAGATTATCCGAGCGGGTTTGTCACCTGTTGTGCCTTACTTAGCATTAGATATGATTGATATTCACTATTAACATCTCTCACAGATACCATTGACTTGCAAGACCCTCAATCACCATCCGCTCAAGATCATACCAAGCAACCTTCACACCCCGGTCCCCCTGATTCAGGACATCCGTCACCGCATCAGGCAGAAACTCTGCGGCAGGTTGCTGAGGAGCAGACTCTGGAACAGCATCAAACGAGCCCGCGTATCTCTCAGGAGTGGATTGACCAACAAGGATCCCAAGATCAAGTGCAGTTTCACTTTGGAGCTTATTCTGAGCATCACCAGCAATCGTATTATGACGATGGTTATTACCATGCAGGACAGAACTATGAACATGGCCATGACGGCTTTGGGGAGCAGTACGATGACGAGGACAGGGAAGGGTACGACGAGGATGCCAAACGTAAAGAGGAAGAGGAGGAGGACGCCAAACGTAAAGCGGAGGAGGATGCGAAACGGAAATTAGAGGAGGACGATACGATTTCAAGTTCCCCCTCAATCGATGATGGTATGCCATTTTCCTTTGTTATGCCGATCCTTGCCCCAAACAATGATGAAGATAGCAAAGTTCTTCGCCATTTTTCTCCCTCTTCTTGTGGCATACAACCTCTGCTTTTTCTCAATACCGGGGCAGAAGTCGCTTACACAAAACAGAGGATATTGACTTCGAATTCGTCTACGCATTGCATAGCTTTGAAGCAACCATAGAAGGACAGGCAAATGCCACGAAAGGCGATACCATGGTTTTGTTGGATGATAGTAATAGCTATTGGTGGCTTGTTCGAGTCGTTAAAGACGGCAGCATAGGTAGGTTATCTCAGAGATTGTGCACGACAGCTGCTGATATATTCAAGGCTACCTCCCTGCGGAGCACATCGAAACCCCAACTGAACGCCTGGCTCGCCTGAATAAACATAGGAATATAGACGTACGTCATGCCATAATCCCAGCTGCGAAGTTCGGTGCAACTGACAGCACTTAGTTATCGCAAACAATGCTTGGTGACAACCCCGAGAAGTCCAAGAACCCTCTCAAAAAGGCAATGCGACGACGCAACGCCAAAACCGTCCAATTCACCGATCCAACCTATGTCGAGGCATCCGATGTTGATTTCAGCAGTGACGAAGAAGACGTTGACGATATTCACGAATATATAATGGAAGAAGACGGTACAAATGCGTCATTGGCAGATCAGGACAATCAAGAGGGAACCATAACTGTGCAACCGCTCAAAGTAAGAGGGCACGAAAGGTCCGGATCTGAAAATGCGCAGTCAACACCTCCATCGCAGACCACCACTCAAAGTGCAACGGAGGATCGGGGTGCTGATTCGAGAACAAGTGACGAAATCGGTTCTCGCGCAGGTATGATTTATCTGCCATATGATTATGCTTGACTGGACCTGACCGCCAAATAGGGGATGCAGCCTCTTCGGTCTCCCGTAATGGCGTTGTACGCAACACCGATTCTTTCTTCAAGGATGACAATGTCGAGACGAGAAAAATAACGCTTACGCCCAACTTGCTTCGGGATGACTCCAACTATGCAAATGTAGGTAGAACCACAATAACTTCCCAGCAACTTTTCATGCTGACCGTCTCAGTCAAAGACAAAATCGAGCCCCGATACGTTGGAGAGACTTGCCTCGCCGGAGAAAACGAAAGACGACCGTAGGAAAAAGGAGAGGAAGTCCGGTGTTCTCAGTGGTCTTTTCAAACGGAAAGATAAGAGGTCGAAAGGTCATGATGACGAAGAAGACGACATGGACAAAAGCACCACAGAATATGCTCAAGAGTCCGCGAATTCTAAAGGCTCAGAGGAATTTTCCAGGGTTGATTCACTGGCGGTTCAGCCTCCGCAACAGCCTCAGCAAGCACAAAGGCAGCCAGGTAAGCTGCAGAAACCTCCACCGCCCCGGGAGCAGCAAACAAAACGCAGCTCCGGAACCAAAACATCAAATCGCCAGCAAAACAATGGTGCTGACCAGGAAGGCCATCTTGGTATATCTTCAACGCCGAGCATGCGTCTTGTAGAACCAGAGCCAGATCAGCGCAGTCCAGAGAAACCCGCCCCTCTTCGGGTCCAGATTCCTGAGCAGCAAACGCAAGAGCCGACTACCGAAGCATCCGATCCTCCCAGAGCGAGGCAGGAAGCACCTTCCTCATCACTGCCTGAGCCAAGTATTCGATCGGGTAACAAGGTGGAACCTAAGCAGCAAGGTCTGCAATCAGCGCACTCCGATGTGTCAAGTCGGGCAGCACCTAGTGCAACTACGGAAAGCGATGCCAAGCAATCAAACTCGATACCTGTGTCAGTTCAGGTTGAACATCAAGACCATGGAGAGAGACTTTCGGAATCTCCAGTCGAAATCTCTCCTCTCGATGCTGATCTCTCCACGGAGCCTCCACATCTCGTTGGCGATACGTCCTCTCAAGAGGAACCTACAACGTCTCTTATCTCGCCTTCTTCGCCTGAGCCGCACCGCCGTCTAGATGGCAAAATTTCGGAAGACACACCTATTTCCACTGCGTCTTCGCTTGAAATGACTGCGCCGTGGAGCTTCGCAAATCTTAAAGCCTACTTTGATGATGATCGGAATGTACGCGATTTGTTGCTCGTCGTCCACGATAAGACAGGAGTAAAGCCAGTAACCTCTGAGCATCCAATGCTACAGGGGCTCTTTGGTGAGGAGAGGAAGCAGCTCGCTGAAATGAACCGCAAGCTTGATAACATGTTACATGAATGGTTGGCTAAAAGACCACATATCACCGCTGCATAAACCCCAAACTTTACTGTTTTCTCTTTCTGTTTCTCGGAGTCTTTACTGAGGACAATATGAAAATTACGAGATTCCAACCCACTTTTGGACTAATTCAGGCCTTGTTGTGCCGATGCGGAGTTGGAGGACACATGCATATAATTATTCCTTTTGCACTGATACCTAGTAATGCACCTGGCCTCTCTTTATTTTTCCAGTTCAGCTTGCAATTTCGTCGTCATAGCATTTATTAAATTCCAAGGCCATTGACCTCTCATCACTCGCGGCGATTTCAGTGGGTTATCTTCGTAGAAAAGGGCTATAGCTGTAGACTCTAGGCATGTGCTCGTTTGATGGAATGTGCTTTCCATTTCGACCAAGAAATCCCAATCTGACGTGAAATATTTTCCAGTCGATTAGTCTAATTTATTTTTTAGTGATGCATTTGACATGCAGTTACTATCAATAACATTTTCATGCGGCAAACCCCATCTCGCCAATTACCTTGAGTGGCAGCATTTCACTTGAGGTATGTGACGCACCCAGTCACGGGTAGGCAACAAAGTCGATGCCTGAAACGAAAGCAAATATGAGAACCCTGCGACCCACCGTCATTAAGACGATCTATATAAATCGGTTCTCATCCAGGATTTCATTTGAGTTTGATTCAACACACCTGGCTTAAGTGAACTCTAACCTGTTTCCGCCTCTGAGGCAAATTTCCATCACCTTTTGTGGTTTTGATCGGCTCACGGAGCACAGCTGAACGCGGGGTTACAGCTGACCGCTTTCGCTTCCGCTTTACCTTTCCACTCCATTGCCGCCACAACGGACAGAGGGTTCACTACCAAGACTGTACGTTGTATACGAGACCTCGTAACTTATATGCTTAAACGATTCATAATATTCTGGTTCCATTTCAAATCCGTGGCTTACTTTTCATTTCTAGTGAAAGATTGATTTAATATTCGGGCATTTGTTGTTACAAGGGTCATTTATGACATAGTGTGACAAGTCAGCCGCGCCTAACCGTTCCACATTTGGTTCAACTGTTGTGATATTGTAACCTAAGTTGATGGTTATGATTAATTGGATAGTGCAACTCAAATATGACCGGAGAAAAGAAGATGAGCTTAGCCGATTTGCGTGGGTATATCTTTTCCCGGCTTCCTTTCCTTTTACTAACAGCGTACCAATAGCGGCCGATATTCTTGTCAATATACTGCCTTACCTTGACGTCCGGAGCTTTCTCAGTCTGTGCAGTACCAGCGTAAGTCCTTATGTTCAAATTCAAAGCCTTCATGTAAAATTTCCCTTGCTCAGGCAAACAAGACTGAACTTCCTCAAGACAGGCTTCTATAGACATCGCCTGGATCCGGCATATTGGCGACGATTGGTCCGAACCACGTTTCGTTTGCCAGACCAGCCATTGCTCCATACTGATGGCGCAAGATGGCAGAAACTTTACCGACGGCTTTGTACACAGAGCCATGTGTTCACTTGGGGACAAGCCTCGTCAGAATTTGTTCTTAATTTCAGAGATACTTTCCGTGAATCGATGCGAGCAAATCCTCATGCTCGCAGATTTGTAAAGAGATTTGTACATTGGCCATCTGAAGTCCGAGATGCAATGCAGATTGGAACCGTCGTGGATATCCAGTGTGGGTAAGTAATTTTTTTTTTAACGTATATGGTTTTCTGAACCAGGTTCAATATGCCTTCCCAAATCATGAAACATTGTTCCATTCTTCTATTTACCCAGTGTTTTAATACCTACTCACTCACCTTTGATCAGAGGCTGGTCAGTAACCATGCTCAATTCGGAGGGAGCACTGTATACGCTCGGAAATATTAGTGGCAGTTTCAATACCTTGCATGCGCATAACAGATCAAAGGGTATCCTCGAGTTACTTCAATTCCCAAGTGGCTATCCGCAGATTGATGAACGATACGATCCGGCTATTGCAATCGCCCAATTTTCTTCCGGTCGATCACATGTCCTCGGACTTTCGGACAGCGGACGGATCTGGTTCTGGCATAAACAGTTGACACCTGCACTTAATATTGAGTTCCTTCACGTGGATACTGTGAAATATGGCGGGGCCTCAGGTGTAGACGATGACGCTCGCGGGACTGTCCAAAGAGTTGTAGCTGGTTGGGATCGAAGCTCTGCATATGTCAAAGGCACGGGTATTGTCGTATGGGATACCGATCCATATGAGCAACAGGAAGAGGATACTCTTCTCGTCGACGCGGATACAGTTCCGCAAAGTGGCTATCTACGACCGAGAGGGAATACCAGAGAACCCGATGACGCAACAGAAATTCTAGGTTCTACCGTTGGCGAAGTCATAAAACACATTATACTTGAAGGATATACGGTTTTTCTAACTGATCTTGGAAAAGTCTTCGCAGCGAAGACTGAGACCCGTGAGAAGCTGTTGCTTGGGGTCGTTGAACTCAGTGGTTTTGTGGACCAATCCTGTCCCGACGCTGTTGATCGAAACAACACCAATGATAAAGTCTCTGACATTCAGGGCTCGTTTCGCTCTTTCGCAGCTTTCAAAATGAATGGCGGTATATTACTTGGTGACCGGCGCCTGTTGGATGCTTATTGGGATTCCAAGTTTGGCGACGGAACGACCACCGAGCTCCCTGAACCTCGCAGCCCACACGCTTTGCAGAACAAAGGAATTATCTCTTTAGCTTTTGGAGATTATCACTATCATGCACTGCACGCCAATGGCCAAATATCATCATATGGCAATGAGCCACAGTCTTCTGGAGCCCTAGGCTTAGGCGAGTACTCAGAAGGAGGATCTTTTAGAGGGCTTAACAAGGTGGGTCATGTTCAGGATATCAACTTTCTGCCGCACGCCACTAGTGATGGGCGTCGTGTATGGTTCGAACCTACAAAACGGGAGTGGTTGCGGTTCATGTCCAAAGGTGGCTCGCACCCTGATGAAGCCCATGGACGACTCCAACTGGTCAACACAAGAAATGATGTTCGTGATGACCTGGGGGAATGGTTTGAACAAGAAGGGGCTCACTGGAACGATCATTCCGAAGTTTCAAAGCTTGATGATGACGGACTTGGTCCATATTACGCCTTGACGATAGCAGCAGGAGGGTGGCACAGCACTGCCTTGGTGCTTGTCAATGAGAAAATGGCTGCGAAGAGCTGGGAAGTGTATGCTCAACCTGTGAATCCAGAAGCGTCCTTTTCAATGCGTGAATGGGCGAGAAAGAAGTGGAACACGTTTTCTTCGACAGATCTTGATACAGGTCCTCGCCAATTACGGACACGGAGCAGCATGGAGCAACTGGATCGCACCGGGCCAGCGACGTTCAAAGACTCAGATGGTCAAGAATTTCGATTTGCATGGGCCGATGACCCATTTCCCCGTATCCAGCTTCGGTCTGGGGAGGAAATGCCGGGGCAGGTGCCTCTATCTGATTGGAAAGACGGAAAGCCATATTGATGGGGCGAGCTATGATGACTGAGCTTTGTTGGCGATGCTCTGGAGTTTCATCTCATGGCGCATAGTCACCTCTGCAAAGACCAGTGTTTCTGCATAATGCATTTTGTTGAAATCGCAACCGTTGTGGTCGAGTTAAGCAAGCCTCGGGGACGCGGTCAACCGGCCATGCATTCGTCGCTTTCAAATCTTATCATGTCATGTAATCGAGTATCACAAACGTACTGCACAGTGGGCGTAAATTATGAAAAATCGACAATGTCATCTTTATCTCTGCTCATGCACATGAAAGGTGCAATCATGGTTGTCAGATGTAATGACGAGCATTTGTCTACCTATGCACAGCCCTGACAGGATAACCATTATGCTGCCGCCCCTTTAACCAGACAAAGTGACTGGCTATTAGCGCCGGGTGCACGTACCTGGTCGGTGTTTAGCGCCGTTCTGGGGGGCAATTCGGAGGTTGATTATTGTGGGATCTGGGGCTTGACTTGTTCACGAATGGGTCGCTATATGGTCGGTACCTTATAGCATTATTTGACCTGGCACGAATAGGTAGAACTAAGAACAAGGTCCCTCTCTCCAATCCCCGGCATCCACACACACACACACCCTCCCCCATTCATCCCGTCACTGCCACCACCGCCCTTGACATTTGTACACGCTCTAGACCTTGGCCCAACTCGTTGGCTGTTGGTGTTGCCTTTTCATTTCTTGATTATCGAAAGCATTCGTGGCTCTGATTTTCTTTCTTTTATGAGCTCACCAGGTTTCCTTCACGCTCGCACACCTCATGATACACTCTTTCCCTGCTCCAATAGTCGTTCGCCTCTCGAAACCTCATTCCGCACGCTCATAGCTCCAGGAGCCTCGGGTCTCCCCTTAAATAATAGCCTCTTCGGCCTCGCCGAACAGAAGCCGTTTGAGTTTCATCGACACGAAACATCTCCGGTTTCAGTTTGACAGGCTCCCTGGGTCGCCGAGCCACTTCCCTGTGTATCCTCAACGTTCCACCCTCGAGTCCTCCGACGGCCCACTCCAGAGAGCATGGCGTTCCCATCCACCTATCATGCGGACTCTGACGCCGACGATGAATATGAACGCAGCGTCATAATGACTTCTCCGCATCTACCGACAGATTCTGAAGCATCCCCCACCGACTCCGAACCCCCTTCAACGGAACCTACACCAACTACTTACGGCAATCTGGTGGATGATCATCGGTTACCGCGCACAATCATCACAGAATGGACAGCAGAGGAATGCGCCAATTTTATCTCTGGTCTAGGGTTGTCTCAATACGCTCATGCGTTCTTGGGTAGGTCGCTTGATCGAAGCAGGGACGAAACAGAAAGAGTTTCGACCCGAATGGCTGACACGGGTCAATAGACAATGAGATCGTGGGCGAGGCTCTGATTGCTTTAAGGCATGAAGAGCTCAAGGAGATGGGCATGGCAAGCGTCGGTCATCGCCTCACAATATTGAAAAATGTCTACGACGTCAAAGTACAACAGGACATCCCCATAGAACAAGATCACTACGTGCCCTTGTGTACGTTTTCCCAAGCAATGCAACCCCAATGGCCTTTTTTACGGAACTGACTATTTTGGTATTTCAGCTGCCGATGCCAATGCGCAAGATGCAACGGTGACGCAGGATGACATTGCGCGGATAATACAATCAATCAGATTGCGGGATGAGCGAATCGTACAAGCAGAGGCGGAGCTGAGGAAAATCACTGAAGAGTACCGCAGACTACGAGAGGAGCTTCTCCCTGTTTTTCGCATGGCCAAGGACAGGTCACAACCCCTGCCCATCCTGGAATCACATGGGCATGAACAAAGCAAGCCAACTTCACCGCCAATATTCGCTCCCGAAAAGGTCGGATCTGGCTTGTCCAGAAAATTCTCAACGAAGAAACTCTTCTTGGGGGCGACGCCGAAAAACGCCTCCCCTACACATCTACCTCAGTCAATACAAGAGGCCAAGACTCCTGCCGAAAGCGCCAGCGTGGACCCTTCAGCGGCAGCAGTGGCGGCTTCATCTCACTTGACTGCCTCGATGAATGGCTATGCGCAGTCAACCTCGCCCAATCAAATCAGTCAGCCTTCGCCAACGTCTCCAGCATACGGCCCACAGTCTACATTAGCATCTCGATCATACTCACGAAACGACTCGCTTCCTTCGGGCCGATACACCACGTCACAGATCCACGAAGATGGCCTTCCGCCATCCTCCTACAACCCTTCAATATTTCAAAACGACCGCGACCGAGGAAATCCAACACCCGGATCTGCTGGGCTGCGACGCGGAGATGAGCCGCTGGGACCAGGATCAGCAAGCGGAGGCGGTAGCTCAGCCCCCGGCGTCGAAATATTCAAATCATTTCGAGTCTCAATGGAGGATCCATGCCACAAAGTTCTCCCGGCCGCACTTAAAAAGTACAAAATTGACGCAGATTGGAGGCAATATGCACTTTATATCGTCTACGGCGATCAGGAGCGGTGCTTGGGTCTCGATGAGCGGCCGTTAATACTTTTCAAGCAGCTTGACAAAGAGGGGAGGAAGCCCATGTTCATGCTTCGCAAGCATACGGCGCCCATTGAAGAGCATCCAGGAATGACCAGTAATCAACCCGGTAGCGCAGGGTTAGATCCCAGTCAGGGTGGCGGGATGATGAGTTCTAGGGCTGGCCAATATCAAAGTAGTATCCAATTACCAGGTGGGGTGCTTTAGTAAGATGGGGCCTGGTCGTTGGTGGCCTTGTGTTGGCGAAGTCTTATGCATTCAGGCAAGAGTATGGATCGCGGACTACTAAATAGTCAAACATTTACTGTTTGACATTCCTGTTGGATATGGACATGACCGTGGTTGCCGGGTTGATTTCTTTTTTTTTTCTTTGGCAGAGATTGAAATACTCTCGGCCATTTACTCCCAAGCATTTGACGGGACTGGAAATTCGTACTTGGCTCAGGTGTAGCTGGCTATTTCTGTTCAGATTCTTTTGGAAACTCATGACATGAACGTCTTCTCTTTTCTTTTCCTTCTAGCGTCAGACAAATTCTTCAATTTCAAACCATCACGCCATAATTACAGATGGTAAATGTCTATATAGGTATAGTCATATATTAATCCTTTCACGAAAGGTGGGCTCAAAGGCCAAATAAGAAGAAGATCTTTATTTTCTCAAAGACGGTTCATGCAGTTCAACTTATGCGTGTTTACATCTTGTCTTTGCTATTTCGTCGAGTATACCTAAATGCGCAGCTGTAAGGCATGAAGGGCTATTCCGAGCGGCGCTTGTTGCTTTTGACACTTGACAGGAGTAGTTTAATGATTTGCCGAGGCCTCGGCTTTACGGAGTAAATATATCTTGGCTGCGACTTGAGAGTTGCGAAAAGTAATTATTCCAGAAATCGGCCGTGTGGAAGCACATTAACGATTGTCTCTTTTCGCTCCGGTTTTCTTGCTTCTGGGGTTGAATCTATCGGTTTCCGTGCTACGTTCCGGCAGGAAAATTCTGGGAGTCTGAGTCTTTGCGATCAAAGTTTTGCATCGAAGCCTAACCCGTACCGACGTCATCCACACCAGGGACACACTCTCCAGACTCTTTTTCTCGCTCCTCTCCCCATCGCATTCATCTTCAGCCATAATGTCTTCCTCTCCCACTCCGAGTGCCTCTGACAAGGCGTCGAAAGGCATCGAGCGACTTCGATCGGCCCTCTATGGCCGAATTTCTCAAACGGACAACGCGATAGCACATCTCAATCGAGTGCTTGCGACAAGCAACGGCACCGACGCCTTTTTATCCACAGTCACTTACACTCTCCGACTCCTGCACCTCTACTTACGGTCATTATCAACACTGCAGCTTCATGCCTACGCTCGGCAAGTGTTGACCAAAGCGCTTACTTTACCCCCGGATACTTCCATTGCCATCCCCGCTGCACAGCTGCGATCGGCCCAACTTGCGACCTCTGTTCGTAAGCTTTCTAGCATTATCAGCGAAGCACGCACATTCTTGCGTCTCTGGGGATTATTGGGAATCTGGGAATGGGCAGCAGATGTCAAGCGATCGCCACCCAAAGATCATATTATCCGATTCATCGTGCGCACTCAAGTATTGGTAAACATATTCTACCAGATTTTTGAAAATGGCGCATACCTAGCCGGAAAGGGTGTGCTTACGGGCTGGGACTCTCGACGTATCAATAAATGGGATCTATGGAGTACTCGCTGCTGGGCTGCCCATGTTTTCTTGGACTTGGCCAAGCTGTGGCGAGAGCGTGTCCTTGAGAAGCAGGCTGGTGGCGATGAGAAAGACAATGTAGCAAAGGCTACGAAAGAGAGGAATGCCACGGCCCTTTTGAACAATACATGGAGCAGGAAGCTCATCCTCAATTCGGCATATGCGCCGCTTACCATCCATTGGAGTTTGGAGAATGGGCTTGTGAGCGACTTCTGGATTGGTTTACTGGGCTCGGTCACCGGTATCATTCGTCTTCGACAGGCATGGAAGACCACAGCTTAAGATCAACGTGGTTTGAAAGATTCAGTCAAAAGGTTGCGACATGGGGCTGGTTCCCATTGTATTATAGAGAACGTAATACCATTGTAATGTACATACGGCAGTAGATTTCGGGCTCATGTTTGGAAATTGAATATGATACACAATATTTCTTTCATTTGGCCATTATTTCATTACACATTTCGCAAACTTTGGTAACACAGCTTGCAGGAGCGTCGAATGATTGGAGTACGGATGCCGCAGAACTCCGTAAATCCGCCGTTGTAGCGATGAGATAAGGTTAAATTGGGGCCAGGGGCACACCTGACGTAACAACAGCCGTAATCGCAGAGAAAATCACCGAGCGGTCAAAGAATTTCAACAACCGCGGGTGTAATAATATTGAAGGTTTCATTCTAATCCTGTGGCGCTACATCCAGCTCCATCTGAGTAATCTTCCCAACTGCTTCATAGATGAAATGTGAGCAATAACCGTGCAGTGAAGGTCTCAGATCTGGCTGGTTCTATGGGATTCCCTCGCAGAAGCACGCTCGACACAACCAGTCTTAGCGAGACTTGCCGCTCGCTTACCTAACGACGTAATCCATCTTAGCTTGAGGTTGCCTGCGATACATCTGCTACTACTCTCACCTCCAGCTTCAGACAACACGTCGCCGCTCAACACCATTTAACATCATCCCCTTGTCACGAATTCATCGTTCTCCATCTCTTCCTCTTCCTGTTCTATTTTTCAAGAAGAGGCTGGAGACGTTCATTCTCGTATCAGTCTTAACTCAACTTCTCCATTCCTCTGTTCTTCGCTGCGGCTAGATCCGAACAGCTCTCTCAACATGTCGGGCGAACCTGATCACGCTGAGACCAAGGCCAAGGTCCATCTCAAGTAGGCTTCTACCGTTCCTATGTTGAAATAAGGAGATTTCATCTAACGTATCTCATTAGTGATGTTTCTGGCGCTGAGAAGAAGGATGTCTGTATACCCGCCCACGGCATCTTCGGAGACACGACTAACCCAGCACAGGTCGATGAGACATCTACTGCTATCCTCCGCAAGAAGAAGAAGCCTAACTCGTTGATGTGAGTCTGCCTCCTCGCCTTCGCTCGAGTTCGATTAAGGAATTTGGTGGTCTGGGCCAGCTAGAAGCAGGTGCTGACTGCTGTGGCAATAGTGTGACCGATGCCGTCAACGATGATAACTCGATTATCGCCCTTTCCAACAACACTATGGAGACTCTCCAACTCTTCCGCGGTGACACAGTTCTTGTCAAGGGCAAGAAGCGAAAGGACACTGTCTTGATTGTTCTGGCCGATGACGATCTCGATGACGGTAGCGCCCGCATCAACCGTGTTGTCAGACATAACCTCCGTGTGAAGCATGGCGATATAATCACTGTTCACCCTTGCCCCGATATCAAATACGTGAGTCTAGCCCAGGAACATAGCTTATTTGGTATAGCATGCTAATATTTCGTACAGGCAAAACGTATTGCTGTCCTTCCCATTGCCGACACCGTTGAGGGTCTCACTGGCTCTCTTTTCGATGTCTTCCTCGCTCCATACTTCCGTGAGGCCTACAGGCCGGTGCGCCAGGGCGATCTTTTCACTGTCCGTGCTTCAATGAGGCAAGTAGAATTCAAAGTTGTGGAGGTCGACCCTCCGGAATATGGTATCGTCGCTCAGGATACTGTCATTCACTGCGAGGGCGAGCCGATTCAGCGAGAGGATGAGGAGGCCAATCTTAGTGAGGTCGGATACGACGACATTGGTGGTTGCCGCAAACAGATGGCTCAGGTGCGAGAACTCGTTGAGCTGCCCCTCCGGCATCCTCAGCTCTTCAAGTCCATCGGTATCAAACCTCCTCGGGGTATCCTCATGTTCGGTCCCCCTGGTACTGGTAAGACTCTGATGGCTCGTGCTGTTGCCAACGAGACCGGCGCCTTTTTCTTCCTCATCAACGGTCCGGAGATTATGTCAAAGATGGCCGGTGAGTCGGAGTCGAACCTCCGGAAGGCATTCGAGGAGGCGGAGAAGAACTCCCCTGCCATCATCTTCATTGATGAGATCGACGCCATCGCACCCAAGCGTGAGAAGACTAACGGCGAAGTCGAGCGCCGTGTGGTTTCTCAGCTGTTGACCCTCATGGACGGCATGAAGGCCCGCTCGAACATTGTCGTCATGGCCGCCACCAACCGTCCCAACTCGATTGATCCCGCCCTTCGCCGGTACGGACGTTTCGACCGTGAGGTTGACATTGGTATCCCTGACCCAACTGGCCGTCTCGAGATTCTTCAGATTCATACCAAGAACATGAAGCTCGCAGAGGATGTTGACCTTGAGTCTATTGCTGCCGAGACTCACGGTTACGTCGGTTCGGATGTTGCTTCCTTGTGCTCTGAGGCTGCCATGCAGCAGATTCGTGAGAAGATGGACCTCATCGATCTGGATGAAGACACAATTGATGCGGAGGTCTTGGACTCTCTGGGTGTTACCATGGAGAACTTCCGCTTCGCCCTCGGTGTTTCCAACCCCTCTGCTCTCCGCGAGGTTGCCGTCGTCGAAGTCCCCAACGTTCGCTGGGACGACATTGGTGGTCTCGAGGGCGTCAAGAGGGAGCTCATCGAGAGCGTTCAATACCCTGTCGACCACCCGGAGAAGTTTGCCAAGTTTGGCCTTTCCCCCTCAAGGGGTGTGCTCTTCTATGGCCCCCCCGGTACTGGTAAGACCATGCTTGCCAAGGCCGTTGCCAACGAGTGTGCGGCAAACTTCATCTCCGTTAAGGGTCCCGAGCTTCTCAGCATGTGGTTCGGTGAGTCCGAGAGCAACATCCGTGATATCTTCGACAAGGCTCGAGCTGCTGCTCCTTGTGTTGTCTTCCTTGATGAGTTGGACTCCATTGCGAAATCCCGTGGTGGATCCGTTGGCGATGCGGGCGGTGCTTCTGACCGTGTCGTAAACCAGCTTCTGACCGGTGAGTATTCAAATATTTCCCTAGCTTGAGAGTATTAGGCAGCTAACGTAGTCTACAGAAATGGACGGCATGACCTCCAAGAAGAACGTCTTCGTCATTGGTGCTACCAACCGTCCTGAGCAGCTCGACAATGCTCTTTGCCGTCCCGGCCGTCTCGATACACTCGTCTACGTTCCCCTGCCCGATGAGGAGTCCCGTCTGGGTATCCTCAAGGCTCAGCTCCGCAAGACGCCTGTTGCAGGTGACATTGACCTTCGGTACATTGCCAGCAAGACGCACGGATTCTCTGGTGCCGACTTGGGTTTCATCACCCAACGGGCGGTCAAGCTCGCTATCAAGCAATCCATTGCCCTCGACATTGAGCGCACAAAAGAGCGCGAGGCCAAGGGCGAGGACGCAATGGATGAGGATGATGCCGAAGACCCTGTGCCTGAGCTGACCAAGGCCCACTTTGAAGAGGCCATGCAGTCGGCGCGGCGGTCTGTCAGCGACGTCGAGATTCGACGGTACGAGGCTTTTGCCCAAGCCATGAAGAATTCCAGTGGTAGCAATTTCTTCCGCTTCCCTGACGCAGACCAGGCTGCCGCTGGTGTCGAGAACGGCGCTGGCTTTGGCGATGCAGGCAATGACGACAGCTTGTACGACTAAATGTCTGTTGATGGGATTCTCTTGTGGCTGTTAGTTGATAAATAATTTACGACGAAGGAATCTGATGGCGTCAGAAGCGTTGTCATTTGGGTTCGAGTTCCATGCTTTTTTTTATTTTCTCTTTTTTCTCTTTTGTGTTGTTCCACCCCTAACTGCTCAGGGTTCGTTAGATACTCGAACCATTTGAATGCTTTGACAGAAAGATGGTAGCTTAGGGTATATTTTATGCATAATAGATTATGTATCATCAAAACTTTGGTGCACGTTTTCTTTGGTGATGAGTTGTGTACGATTATGAGTGATAATCAGGAGTGTTGTCAGCTTGTAATCGCAATCTGGAAAGAATCCGCTTCGTTATACATTGAATGCTATTACTATTCGAAATACAATACGAATTGCAGAAAGTTGGGACTTGTGAAGAACTAATTTATGAAAAAAAAAGGGGGGATCCATCGCTGTCGCTGTCTTTTGCTGTTTCATGGCTTGATTCGACTCGATTCGAGGTATATTTCGAGAAATTGACATGCTACAACTTTCTGTAGATGGTACCACACATGTTCCTATTTCAAATGTGTTTCAATATATGGGCGATGATGCTCTTGCTCCACATCCAATTCTCTTCAACCCGCATGGCCTTACGGCTGACAAAATATACAGCACGCTTAGTAGCCAGGTCGGCCATAGTCTCCTGGCCGTCCGGACTCACCACGGCCATCACCGTAGTGCTGTTTCGTAAGATAAATTGTTAGTTGCATGGCATCAAATTGAAAATAAGATATGGCAAGAAGGGGGAAAGGGCCGTACCTTTTTCCGCAGAGCGGCCAGTCTCTTCTTCTTGGTGTGCGCGTTGATATATGTTCCTAGCAAGAAGCCAATGATGTTGAAGAAGGGCACCCAGGTCTGCTCGGGCAAGAACTTTTGCGCAAAGGCGAGCGAGATCGGAGAGACGATCCAGCTCATCTTCATGACGGGCATGAAGCCTGCCTTGACAGTGGCGCGGACCTGGTGGAATGTCCGCGCGCCGGCAATCAAGGCCATCGAGATGAGATAGATGGTGTTTTGGATCGGCGAGATCTGTTCATAGGTGTCAGACAAGATGATATTGGCACCATCCATTACATTGGTGGAACAGAAGGTGCTTTTAAGTGGGATTGAATGAACGTACCACCAGGTTGCTGACGAGAATCTGCAAAATCTTGGCCTTCAAACTCTTACGTCCGGAGAAGAGCTTCTGGAGGATGCTGATCAGGACGTGGCCCAACGGAGCGCTGATAAAGGCGCCGTAGATGGCCATCTTGGGCACTCGCGCGGTGAAGTAGTGGCCGTGCTTGTTTCTGTCGTGCGCAATCCATGATGCCAGGAACTCTTGTGCGCCCGAAAGCGTACCGGACGTGATCATCTTAGTTCGCAGCGGGTGTGCTTGCAGCTGCTGGAGATAAGCCTGCTGTCGAGGTTAGCCTCTTGAGTTATTGGCAACATCTCCCATCGCGAAGGAATCATTGATGGGGGGATTTCCAGAGGGCCTCTTTCGTACTGCTAGATATCCCGGCTTGACAGCCTTGCCTGCCAATGCAGCGCCAGCTGACTGCGCAAGCTCATTGCCCCCTTTGGCCGCCGTGTCGCGGATGGTCTCCTGCTGAAACTTGACCGACATGTTGGCCGGTGATCAAGTTGGTAATAAAATTGGCTGTTATGGATCAGGATGGGAGGACTGCTAGATGAGAAATGTCAAGCGCGCAGTGTCTCCTTAGTCAATGCCGAGTAATAGGGCCACAATGGGTGCGTGGCAGGCGTGGGTGGTGGTGATCGGACGACGGGGGTCCGCCGAGTTGTTTAGTATCACGTCGGAGGATGCCGAGGAGGCTGGCTGTCGACCAGGGTTGATGATAGTCACTGACACCACTAGGGAAATATCGTGATTCCACAAAAGCACTCCGTACTGATTGTTGAATTATTGCACGGCTGGTGTTTAACCTCAGGAAGTAATTATTTCTCTTTCCTCTAGCCAAGATTATTGTGGGCTGGAATAAGACTGACGATTTGCTTGACGGCGGCAAATGATACCGGGGGGTGGGGACGGGGCAACTGTGAACGAGCTGAGCTGAAGCGTCAACAGAAATGGATCAAAAGTACCGGTACCAGTTGCTTTCAGTGGGGTTAGTCCATCACCTTAGCCCACTAAATCGTTGTCGCCATCTTCTCCACAGGTAGCAAGCACACGTGGTTTGCAGCCGAACGAACAAGTACCGGTACCGAACACCTATCACGCCTTATCTGATCCATCAGACGCGTCGGCAATCTCCTACCTGAAATGTAAACAACTGTCATGTCAGATGACATGATCATATTGCGATGGATTCAGCTCTTTGTCACCACTGGAAATTTCAAGAGAACTATGCTGAAGGGATCTCGGTAAATATATAAATGCAATTGATACATAAAGTATAGTTGTGTATATCGATTGAAAGAGGCACAAGATGATCTCAGAACGAATGCGGCGGGAAACGATTGATATTGGACGACGCCAAGCAATTACGGCGTAATATCAACAAGGCTGCATACCTCAGAGATGCAAATCTTTGTTTCATCAGCCGGACAACCAAATTATATCATGGGGTTCCATTTCGCCCAGGAATGAACAAAGATGAAGCTTTCAATAATCTGCATATCAACTCTCAGACCCGATAAGAAAGCCCCTTGCATCTCTGATTGTGATGAGCGTGCAATACCGCGTTGGCTCTTGAATCCCTTGCGAGCCACAAAGCCAGATCATATCCCAAAGTAGAAACTTCCAATCAATTCCCTTTGGGCAACGACAGCTGCTATGTGGCTGCATATTAGATTATCGTCCCCAGATTTAACGTTTCGTCCTTCCGTGCGTATCCCTCTGATCCCTCGCTCTTCTCTCAAGTCCAACTCATCATCTACCCCTCGACAGTGAATGAGAGTGGGGAACTTCATAACGAAGGTGACTTCTGTTTGCAGTATACTCATGAAGACATCTCACTAAGAGCAATTGTGCTTGTGTCGTGTCAAGGAGCTGATACATATCAAGTATCTCCTCTCAAACATAAACTACGTTTTGGCCATTTCTACGCTGTTCTGGGACCATTAGAATCCAGAAACTTCTCTTTTCTCACAACGTGGCAAGTGAGAGACTCACGTTGACGTGAGAGTTATCCAGATAATGTGTTTATTCATCCTGTTCTAGACTCACGAATACACTCAAAGTGGGAAAACGAGTCAAGAGACCAAACCAAGATGGCGTCCACTTCAAACCGTCGATTGCAAACTCAGGCAGATCGCCAGCCAGCATGTACCCACATTACGATGACGAGGGCATTCGGGGCATACAGATGCTACATCTGTCATAGATCACCAAGCATCGGCTGGGTCTACACGTGCACTCAGGATTACGAAACACCTGTTTCGGAACGAAGTTCGCTCGAAGAAGTCATGGACGAGGCTCCGGAGCTTCGAGCCAATTCCAAGTACGCACGCGATCTCCACACTATTGGGCTCAGTGACTGGATCATCCGTGACATCATGAAGGGATACTACCTTCCTGACCAGGTCGGATTTCTCATTGCTCAGAAACTCAATCTGAGGGACAAGATTGCGGCCGCAGAGGCAGCTGCCATGGTCGAAGAGTACGGCCGTCCGCCCCCTCGCCTCTCTCTTCTTGTCTCCACGGACGGCGGCAGCCCGCAACACATGTCTTTTCCCATGGTGGGCGACAATCTCGAGCAAAGCATGCAGCACCAGATGAGACCTCGTCCAGTGCCAAGATGCAATTGGAAATGCTGTCAAAACTGCCGGCCGACCTTCCGCGAGCGCACTTACCTCAGCTTTGACGCCGTTTTTCGGGGTCAAGTTCAGCGGCTCCCCAAAACGCGTCCGTATCGACCGCCCATTTCAGATGTCAACATTGTACGCAAGCTGGGTCTTCGACAATCATCTTCATATCTCAGGCAAGTCAGTAGCATGGAACTGACGAGCTCAGATGACGAGAGCACCAACGGGGTCAGCGTCGGTCATGCGAGCCATATAAGCCATTTACCCGATACAAATACTAGTGAAGACGAAGACAAGGAAGAAGTGGAGGTACGCAAGAGCTGGCGGGCGAGCATGAAGAAAGCATGGAAAGGAATGCTTCCGAATCCTAGAATCCGGAGTGATTCGAGCTCGGTCTCGATTGATGTCGGACTCGGTGACAAGCTCGCTTCATACGATGCGGACGCAGCAGAATTCGATATTGGATTATGGAAGGAAATGAGTCAGGCTATCCTTGATGAAGCCACCAAGATCAAACTGCCTGGAGGAAGTGATGAGCAGGACAGCGAGGATGAGCACGAGTTTGGTGCTGGCGAGGTCGAAGTTGATGGAGGCGTTGCTGTCATGGAAGAGTCAGTGGAGAATCGTGACGCGGATATCATCATGCAGGTGTAGCTTTGATATGATCGTGATTAGCTTTGCTGCAGCTCTCTTGTGAGCGTATTGTTCTGGCTTTTGGTGCTATAGCACGTTGCAGAATGGTGTACAATATGGCAGGCCTCGGAGGCTGTATTGAGGAATACATGAGCAGTTGATCGGTGAGCATTTAAGATGCAAACGCTTTTGAAGCGAAAAACATTGCTCCATTGAAGAAAGCTCCAATGCTGAAAATCTTGCGAATAAAATGCGCAATGCGCTGTGGTTGCGCTGGTCCCCTTCATGCTTTAGTGATGTTTACCCGCTATTTATCGTTATCGATCAGATTAGATCTATTATCGGACCCTTTGGACGAACCAGCGAACGGAGAATCGGAGCTTCAAGTTGGTCGCGGCGCTCGATCTAACAATAGCACAATTGTTCAACAATACCATTCTCCCGCATTGTGTCGCCTTTTGGCATTCTTATTCTATTAATTTCTGGACTGTCTGCGAAGAATACTCTTACAAAAAATCCGATTGACCACCTTCCAGCTCTTGCGTTCCCGGCATTCTGCAAAAGTTCGCGGGGGATCCTCCACGGATTTTTGTCTCCTTCAGATCCATTACATACGTCAGTCCAGCATTCCTGCATATCCGCCATAATCGAACCGACCATTTTTTGAAAAAGTTCTTGGATGATTTTATGGATACGATTGTCTAAGCGCTATATCTGTTGGATTCCGTCACATACGATAACGAAAAGTACAGAGGATCTGGCGAGTTAGGACTTTAGGACAATCCCTAGGTAGGTACGGCGCATTGGCTCTGAAATATTCCATGGATCAATCAGGACTTACCGTATCGTAATTGACAGAGCATTCTGGAAAGCGAATACGCCTTTGCGAATCGATCCGCTATATAGTTTCTCATTCTTCGCGCCCCGAGCGAACCTTTGTTTCCCGCAGGTGTAATTGGGGGCGGCCGACGCAAAATATCGCATTGACAGTATCGCAATACAACATACGCCCAGACCGTTCTCTCTCTCCCTCTATCCCTGGAAAGACTCGTCAGTCGATAACCTTGTCGTATTTCCATTTCCAACAAAAAGATAATCCACAATGTCATCAACACCCACGCCCGGCGTGGCCACCAAAGTCCACGTCAACGGCAGTACGCATCCCGCTCCCATTCCTCCGCCCTCGTCCTCATCCCCTTCTGCCTCTCCTGTCCCAGGCATCAACGGAATATCTGGTACCCAACTCGCACAACTGGACCCAGAGCTACGAAGCAGCATTAACAGCGCACTACTACATAACGGCGGCATCACGCGCATTCACGCCCAATTACTCGATAACCTCCAACGCACGGGCTGGACAGCAGCCATACATACCCGCTGCCTAGAACTGCTGCGCTCAGGGGAATGCACGACATATGATCGGTTGATGAAGCGGATATTAGCAGAAGTCGCTGCCACTGGGGGCGGCAGCGGTAGTAATGGTAGTAGTAGTGGTGGTGGATCGTTTTCGTCCGACGACGCAAAAGCAAGGACGAATGGAGTTGGAGCAGGACACAAGGCTGGCAGTAATGCGAAAAACACGAGTCCCAATGTCAGAGTCCCTGAGAATGTCATACAAGATGGCGTGCGGCTGGTCAAGAAGGAGCTGGAAGATATTGCTGAAGTGACGGTGGAATGAGCTCAATGTGTGAATAAGGCCTCAGTTACTCTCTCTCTCTCTCTCTCTCTCTCTCTCTCTCTCTCTCTCTCTCTCTCTCTCTTTCTCATATTGTCAGACAATTCGACATCTTTCAAAGGGTTGCTTTTTGGCAGGGTTTGGCGTTACTTGGATCAAATCATATCAACATTTTCCATATACATGTACATATATCTACCTACCTTAGGTACCACTATTTCATTTCATCCTCGGTCATTGGAAATCATTACTATCTCCTTCTCTCTTGGGAGAAATGCCTTGTAGCAACCGTTCATCTCATAAATCGATGCACGGGAAATATATCATCATTGTTGAAAACTTGTGAGATATTTGTTGACAATTGAAAATAAAAGGAGGGGATAAATAAATAAATGAAATGAAATGAAATGAAAGTAAAGATAAAAGTAGAAATAAAAAACAGTAAAAGACGGAGCAAATATCCAACTTTCAATTTTCTAGAATACTTTTTCTCATCAATCTGGTCCACACAATTACCAGGCGCCAAAGTAAAAAGCCCGTCATAAATTCATAGTATTCGCTGAACGCCTGCCGCCTAGTTCCTCGACTTGAGCAGATAATGTACTCGAGGAGGTAGTATGAGGGTCGGCCGCTTTGCTTGAACCAGTTTTGAAAGACAGCGCCAAAATAGTGCCAAAAAATTCGAGAAAGGGAAAAATGTGAGCAAAGCGTCCAATAAATGGGGGAAAAAAAAAAGAAGAAATTGTTGAAAAACGAAAACAAGTGCCGACCAAAAGAAGTCGGCTGAGAAATATATACAAAGAAAAGCTTGCAAATATTCGCCCGGCTTTGCGCTTTATCCTTTTTAGATAGGCCCAAGAAAATAGAAACAGGCATGAATTGAAGTAGATAGGTTGGTAAAAAAGAATTGTAACACTTGCGATGAAAGAAGATCGCGCTTCACATATCAAGGACGGGCTCCCCGCCCTGCTGCATCTCGCTGAGCAGGACCTCGAGCAAGTCATACCCGCCAATGTCCGGGCCGTATGTCGTCTGGTTGACGCCCGCACCATAGCTGTTTCGGAGTGGATCCAGGGGTAGGGCAAGCCAGTCGGACGTGTATCCTGGAGTGGCGGCTGCATTGAGACTCGATGTGTTTCCAGGAGCGCTTGTCGTTGCGGCGCCGGCGCCAGTATGTCCGCTGCCGCTACTTCCACTTGTTGGAGCAGCACCACCACCGCCATCGTCAGTGCGTAATCCGGAGGCTCCCGATCGACCAGAAGAAGTGGGACCAGTGCCGGAAATCTGATGCGTTGTGGGAGCAGGGGTTGCGCCTGAATTGCCATTTTCTTCGTCATACGAGGACTGCGGGTGAGGAGTAAAGACATGCATTGGCGGAGGCATGAACCAAATGTTACTGTCGTGAGGGTCGATGGACTCGGTGGAGATGCCTTCGAGCGGATTAGGAGTGTAAAGATTGGAATGGGGATGGGTATTGGAGGGATGATTGGCGTCGAAGAATTGATTGTTGGTATTGCTCATTGAGGATGCTGTTGTCTGGTCATGATAGAGCGACGGAGGATGGAATGGGCCATTAGGGAAGGTGGAGTTAGGACGACTGGCCGCAGCCGCAGCAGGCTGATCTGTTGATTCACCCGTTAGTTGGAATTCAAGAGAAGTGGAAAAGTCACGACGGAAAGGGAGAATCAGGATAGAAGACCTACCTCCTGCGACAGGAGATGAGCTCTTTCCCCGCTGACGGCTTCCACTGTTGGGGTTCGTCGACACGCGGAGAAATCGAGATCGTAGAATCTGGGTTAATCTTCCGAGGAGATCAGCGAAGCGTGTTACGAGATGGACGTCATCGACCACGCAGGTACGAAGAGCATGAACGGCGCTGTCCATGAGACCAAGTGAAACAGCGGCTTCATCTTCCTGGGCACCAAGAGCAAAGGTCTACATCTGTCAGACGAATGTTCGGGGAAAGTTTTGAGTCAAACAGAATGATGACTTGCCTTCAACAAGAACATGGCTGCACTGACAACACGGAATACTGTCCGCACCGGCGCGTGCTTAAGGTATCCACCGGGGTACAGTCCGTCAACCACCGTTCGCAAAACGCCTCGGCTGCCTTCAACCACCTCATGGATATAATACTCATTATTCGCGTACAGGGTTGTAAGAGACGAGGAGTCATTGTTTTCAGCTTCACTATGCTCCTTGGCATTGGTGAACCGTTCAATGACCGCCTGTAACGCGAGAGAATTGATGTACACCCGTACGTATCCATATTCAATCTCCAGAATGTGTCGAATGAATATGGGAACTATCAACAAGTTAGATGTACCCTCTAGTACCCTCGTAAGAATTACATACTATCCAAGTTGAGAAACTCGTTGCGCCAAGCCTGGAGCCTTGGTTGGAAATACTCCAACCTCTCCACGTATTGGCCGTTGCGGATAATATTTCTCGTATGCTCGACCGACGAGAAGAGCATTTCATTCCCCGTCTGCATCAACGAGGCCAGCTCAATCCAGCAGTAATCGATACAGTCTTCGGTGATCTCATTCGCAACAGATTCGTTTCCCACCTCAAAGTCCTTGCGCTCAGTAGGCTTCAAACCAGTCTGATTTGCAAAGACGAGGTGGGTAAATGGCTTTGACATGATATTAGTCCATCCCAAGCGGCCAGACGTCGAAGTAAGGTAGATTAGGAGCAGTCTCTGGGCTCGCTTCGCTCGACGACGATAGAGGGGAGACTCGAATTCGGGACGATAATGCCCGCGATATGAGTGCGCACCCGCAACGTCGTCGAAAATTCCCAACTCAAAGCCGAGAGTCAATGCATTACCGAGCAACATCCAGCACATGCGGTCGCTTCGCCTGTTTTTATGCGTTATTGATTGATCATTCAAAAAGATGCAAGTACCATTAACCCACCAGGCAGGTTCAAGCCAGCTACCGATTCTCTTCCCTGAGATTCCGCCCTGGGCAGCAAGTGCGGCAAACATTCCTTGGCCAGCCTCTGGGGGCGTGGCAGGCTGTTCTCGCGCAACAACTTCCTCATCATCATCTCCAGGAGGGAAGTGAAGCGCTCTGGGATGCCATTCCGTAAGCAACATTAACGCTTCTACCGTACCCAGGGTCCTGAGCGAGCCTTTACGGAGTCCTTTCCAAGTCTCCGACGGGACACGCAACGATCCATCGCGACCGATGGCGCCGGCGCCGCAAAACCCGCCCCCAAACTGCTCTTGTCCCCACAATACACGATCAATCATGCCCCGAAGGTATGCCCACAATTTGTCGTGAACAGCAAAGGATCGGGAAAGTCCGCCCGGACCGGACAATTGCATGTGCCGCGATGAAATCGTCAACAAGGTGACGGCCAGGAGCGGTTCGTCCTCTAGCAAAGTTGAATGCGTGCTTGGATCTCGATATGTTGGCGGAGAAATGGGAGTAAGCGGCGCGAGATAAGCATAGAAACTGCAGGATAAACATTAGCCCTGGCACAGAGCAAAAACGGCCTTAATCTTGCATACTATCGAATGTAGAGAATTGCTTCCCGTGCAGTGAACCAGCCTGCACGAACAAACCGAGATCGAGACCAGGCCTTCAAACCAGCCTCCATCTCAGAAACGCCAATGCTCTCATCCAAGGCGAAGCCTTCGTTGCTCTCTCCTTGGAGTTCTTCCTGCCCCGTGTCGAGCTGTACGGAGGCATTCCTCGCTCCAGAATCCTCCCCACCGCCAATGCTTGTTCGAGGCCCCACAGCCGTGGATCCAGTGCGCGATGCAGGCGTACTGCTAGTGACTAGGGGTGACACTTGAGCGCTGGGCTGACTTCCAACCCGTTGGTTCTGAATATCACCACTGCGATCCGCCGCTTCGTAAAGAAGATTCAGCGCATCGTGCCCGCTGTAGACCTCTGCACTGAGAAGCTCTGCCGCAGTGTCATTTGTCAGATGTTCTCCCTTGGCGTCGGCTCTCGCCGTTGTAGTTCCGGGTGAAACAACAGAATACGATCGCTGATGCGCAATGCCATTATGGAGTGGAAGCGTCGAAACTGAGGAGCTTGGCGAGGCGGAAAAAGGACGCCTCAGCGGCTGCGCTCGTCCGAATGAGCCACCTGGGGTCAATGGCTGTGCAAACGCGGCAGAATTCGACCGAGCGAGATGGCTTAAGGGCAGTGCTGGAGATGATTGAATCTGCTCTTCATTTTTCCGAGGTCTCTTTGCGTGGAAAGTATGATTGTCAGTCCCATCAGCCACGGCCTCGCCTTCGCCCTCTTCATCCGCAGATTTTCGTTTTCGCCGTGTAGCCGAGAAGAAGCAATGTTTGTGCTCGCGACGACATCTTACGCATGGGGGATCATGAGGATTGTCTACACTGCCGAGATCGCATCGAACTTTACGCTGTCGACATGGTATGCAGGCTGCCGGAGTTAACGCATTCAGCGGATTAGCATGGGTCTTTGGCTCTCCAAAAGCAACAATATCCGTCACAATGGCGAAGGGAGTGCTCACCCTGATATGTGCGTGTGTGAGAGGGTGCAGGAGGCTTAGCAGGGACCGGTGTCGGAAGAGAATCTCCAGCGTTATCGCGGGATGGCTGAGGAGAATTGTCGGCCATGGGATGGGGTGATCTCTTTGATGGGATTTGATTGTGAGCTTCTGCTCGGTTTGTGTCGGATAACCGTCGCAAAGCGAGGTTCTTAAGGCTCGGAGGGGTCCGATTAATCAGTGCATTATTTGTGGGGAAGAAAGACAGTCAAACGTTTACGCATCCACAGTCCGCCACGAGCCGAACCGAAAACTATGTGGCTGCAACGTCACGATACCACAAACCGCCAGTCGAGTACACACTTAAGGAGCTTGGGACTTCAAGTGCCAATTGACAGGTCTGATCGCTAAGACAGCATCATGTGCACAACCAACATGACTTGTGCTTTGTCAAGCAAAGTCAGTGCTGGAATGTTTGTGAATGCTACGAATAAGTGGTAATTGTGACTGTACCCTGGCTAGGACTGGACCAGTCCATTCCCTTATAAACTATCTGAATGATGGAGATCATAAAAAAACCGCCGAAGGCACAGAAGGTATCAAAATCTCAAATAATGTACATGATATCAGTGGTAGAGCTACCTACCTTGTGTAAATGCATTCAATTCACGCACAATTGCGATTAGGTCCATTGCCCTTGAAATGGAAGGTCAGCCTTCCATCTAGGCAATTCATCACGTAAAACCCCCGCCTTATATACGAACAAGATATCCTCCTTTCCTTTCGACAGTCAAATTCTTCTTCATCGTCTCGGAGAATTACCAGTTCTCGGGAATAGAGGCCCCGAGCCGCTAGGAATTGCCACATACTCCACTTCCCCACATATTCGCCGTTTGAATTCGGTCAGTGTTGTAAAGCCCGCTACGGCGGCCTCAAGGCAGTCCTTCACGTATTCTAGAACACACTCCAGCTTGTTTCTTTTGCGTAAGCATTTTTTCCAAAATCTATCACGCGTATTTTCAGTCAGCCCGACATTTCCTCGACGACAAGATGACAATCTTTTGTTCCATCTGGCAGTGAGTCTTCCATCCTTTCCGTATGGTCTCTCTTCGTTCAACCAGTCCCGCCATCGATCAATGACCTGAAATGCTTCATTGCGGTTGATCAAAAACCATTCCCGATGAAACGTGTTCCTTTCACGTTTGCAATTGGAGCACTTGTACCGCATTCTACATCTTGACAGCTCGCTGTGAATAAGCTGTTCTGCCCGAGCGACATATGGCGTTTTCCACACTCGCTCATCTGGAATTCTCTTGACTAACCCATAACAACTCCGAGACTGTGCTGGAATGCGATGACCACGCTCAAATTCTCGTCCAATTTTGATATAACCTGGATGATCCGGCAACTCAAAAGCGTATATATACCCTGATCTCGCATTCCTGTCAACTGGTATCTCCAATAGGTCGAGGGTGTCATTGATGGCTTCTCGAGGGGTGAGCTGTGTATCCTGGCTCCAATATGATGTAAAAGGAGAACTCTCATTGCTTTCCCGGCTCCAATCATGTGAGTTTTCGGTGTCGCGGTCCAAGTTAAATATACTTGGAGATGCAGCGCCAGGTTGGGCGAGATTTGATTGCTGAATAAGATTAACACGAGTAGTGGATATTTCAGTGATAGCGCCACGAGGTTGCTCGCTGCGGGTATATAAATCAGGTGCGCGATATCTTGGTGGAGGTACTCTGCAGAGAAAGTCCGAAAGCTTCCTTTGCTGCGGCCTCCTGGCTCTCGACCGAATTGGACCGACGGAGGGCGATTCAAGAGCCTCCGCTAAGCGCGCGGAAGCCAGATGGCCCCTATTTTCGGACAAGGAAGAAGGTAGGCCTGGTCGCACCAGCTCGTCGGTGAACCATGAGTCTGGATTAGCAATCCTTGACCTATTGCTTGGCTCGCTGAAGGGCCGTTGTGGAAGCGGACGCCTCGATACCGGTGTTGACAAAGCAGATTGTCTTTGACGAGACCATGTAGATGAGCCTGAATTGCTAGCACTAGGCACGGCTATATGAGGAATTTGTTGGAGACTCTCATTTCTGTTTCTTGACATATCCCAGCTTGGCAGAGGAGTGTCCGGGATTGTGGAGGAACGCCTGGTGATTAAATCCATGGTAGGTTCCCCGTCACTCATGACAGTCTCAGTCCACGATTCGTATCTTCTCTGGATCTCCTCTCTTAGGTGTGGCTGCACGGAAACCAGTGCATTCCACCGCAAAAGCAGGCTGTCCAAGCTGCTTTTTGAGGTAACGCTTCGAGAGCTTCTTTGCTCATCATGACAAACGCAGGTTGAATAAAGATCATTGAGCATGCGCTCCCGGTCCTGAAAATTTCTAAAGAGTATCAGAGCAAGCATTTCTGTAAATGCTTTGGCGTGCTGTCTGCGCGAGATCCGTCGATCTTTTTGACTGCAGCTTCTCGTCGCGTGCGCTAGACATGACCATTGGACCAGACTGGTATCTCTTCCCGGCGAGCAGCGATGGAAATTGCAATGCAACAACGGCACGATGGCCTCGACGGCCTCTTCTAGCTCGATCTCTCCGTTGAAGAATCGGTTACTATTGTGCAATGCATTTTCGATATTTGCGGGTAACTTTTGCTTGACATCGTACGAACAACGGAAACCTTGTATTACCCCGAGACAATGAAAATTCTCCGACTCAAAAGAGAGCGCAAACTGTTGTTGAAATAGGCAAAAGCACCAAGCCGCCGTTGAATCTGTTGCCATGGACCCCGAAACAAGTTTGGAGTAGGAGACAGTTGCACATAACTCTGAGATCTATATGAATTGAATAATAACAAGCAACCTACTGGTTGAAAAATTGATTGTTGGATTGCCTTGCTTTAAAAGACCGCCCAGTCGGAGAGTCCATTGCAGCGACTCTGGAATAAGTAGGTGGTCTCTAGGTAATCATTGTAGTACAGTGGAGAAACGGCAGGGGTAGAGAAGACCATCTCGATACCCTGTTTATGGTTGTGGCGGAGCTCCTGCAGTTGTTTCTCATCCGCAGCTGCTGCGGATTGTAGGAGTTGGCTATTAAAAGAATCTTCGACCCCGATACTTTGGAAACTCTCCAAATTGAGCTCCTCAATCTACACAGAAACATTCATTGCAGAGATGATAAAGTAATTATGGGTTTCGCAAATGGGACGCGTTCGGTATTGGTAGGTTGGGAGAGATTTGAGTGTTGATGTTACCTGAAACTCCCGAACAAGCTGTCGCGACATCCTTATCTAACGGCCTCTATCGTCCAAATTCCTCTATATGCTTTTGCATTGACGTCGTCATTTACAATCACAATGCATTGATCCCGTCAATCCTATTGAAAACTGCCTCTGCTGGGCTCAGAGAAATACTGAGAAATTTTCCTGTGGACAAAATCTAGGTACTTTGGTCGGGCGTAGAATGTTGGCTGGTGTGACCCACAGCCAGGGAGGGTTCTTCCTGTGCTAGCGAGGAATTTATTTGCTCACGAGACCCATCTCTTGCGTTTCAATAAGAGACGCTGTGCCTTATTTCGCGCCAATTCAAGCAGGGGGGTCAGGATACACCACACGATTAGTGCCCCACTATGCAGCTTCCAAAATTATCTTACACCGATAGTCTTGCTTATCTATCAACAGCTTGCGATCTTGTTGCATATAATGGATATACATGGTACATTCTGGACAACTTTCATGCCATACAAAAAAAGAACCAATCAGACAACAACCATAGAGTATATAAAAAGCCTAGACATGTACAGACCAAACATGCAACCGAATCTTCAATGTCCCGTTCCTCGAGGATTGGCTCCATTGAAACTTATCACGGAAGAAATGCCATTTTCAAGGGTTACGAGCCGGTGGATATGTCATCTTTGTTGGCGGAACATATGCCGATGCTCCGCCAGCACTGCTAGCTGGTCCCGCCCATCGCCGGATACCTTCTTCTCTTGAGCGCACCTCTACCTCGTCTTGTATTAGGGTACATGGGATGCAGCAGCAGGCACACAGACAGTCGCCAGTTGTGCTGCCCTTGATATTATATAAACGACGAATGCGAGTATGTTGAATGAACGTGATTAAGCCTAAGTTCTTCATTAGTCGCCTCATGCATATTATCAACATCTGCAGCACTAACCTTGAAGTCCGCAAGCAAGCGCCATCAAGCCACATGCTCCATTACATGCTGAGTAACCTAGCAGGTCTGTCGGATCTTTGCGGGCTGACTTTTGCGATAGCCTGTATTGAGTCTTGCCGTATATGATACAGGGACAGAAAGCGCCCACACAACACACTGAAATATCACTGCAATCACAGCCTTGGTGTTTCCAATGACTGCTGTGCTGCATATTTGGATGAGCAATTTGTCCCGGTAAATGTGTTTCTAGTGCCAAGCCATTTGGACCAGTTGCAGAGTGTGGATTATAAATTGGCGCAAAATTGGTAATTATGGGCGGAAGCTTCGCATCAGACGTCGCTGACTTGAAGACCGGAGCATGCTCGGCATCGGGAACAATAATTGGTGCACGTTTTGCATTAAGGTCGTCGACGGGGGTTCGGTCTGCAGCTAAAGGCTCATCAACAGATTGCAAGCCCTGAGCCGGTAAACTAGGCTCAGCGTACGGAGCAAATTCTGCTGGGTGCGGACCTAGCGGGGGCTCAATACTGTAGGCAAAATTTCCAGCTCCAGGACCCTTTTCTACAGGATATGGCGAGATAGAGGGTGCGACATTCGAAGTTTCGGGAGATGAAGAAGACTGCGAAATGGATGGTTCCTGGCGCCTTTGTGCGTCGACATGCTCAAAGGTAGGCTGCTGTAATTCTATAGGTGTTTCCATCCAAGAATATGTCCGGGTATGTGAGCCCATATGATTTGTTGCAGGTATACGTAGCCCTGAATCGACTCGCCTCGACGATGTAGCTTGGTTGAATTGATCGGCTGTTGCATTTTGATCTTCTATTCCAGCAATTTGCAACGCCAACCCATTTCTGGGATGCTGTGTAATATGGGAAATTTGCAATTCCGGGTTCTGTAATGTCGGGGAGGACCTCTGAACTGGTTGTCTATACATGACAACAGCAGTTCAATACGATATTTTGTAGCATTTGCGATGGCGTCTTTTGGGCTTGGAGGGAGCGTTGAGATGGCACACTTCGAGTTTTCGAGGTCCTCGTGAATGGAATGGAACAAAGTAAATTGACGCTTGCGAACTTCTTTAAACCGACAGGCAAAGAATAGCCAAGAATTTTACTGGCTACTCTTTGACGCTCCGCGAGGTCCTCAGTGTATGAGCTTCATTGACTGAAGCGTTCAGAGTGCAGTGGCGACCATTACTGGCGGTCGGCCAAGAGGCCGGCAAGATATACTGTATCAAGAGAGTGAATCCCAAGTACCCCATAGAACAGACTCTCGCTCCTCATTGGTGAAAAGGGAAGAGATTTCCATCATTCCGACAGTGGTTGCAGCAAATGCGAGCTCAAGCCAACCAGTGTGATTTCAAGTATGTAGCAGGCAAAGTTCTGTACATTGTATCTGACTGGGTTAGTCTGGCCAGTTAGCAAACGAAGAACTGCATGAACGATGAAATGTCTGGGTTCCTGCACAATCAAGAGAAGCGTTTATGCAAAAATGGTCACATTACTCCTAGGAATGCCCTCAAAGGAGTCTTTGCATGGGTTGATTCGAGTAAGATGGTGGTTCAACCAGGGTTTGTCGCAGGGTCCATCTGTTCAATAGGAGCCAACCACTAACTAGCTGGACTCCTCTTTGCTTCGCCCCAACTGGCGCTTGATAACGGACCGAACAGCTAGCGCCCCCGACCAGTGATTCGCTCCGATGGTGCAAAGCTTCAGTGGAACCCCTTGGACGTGACGTGATCACTTCTGCCCTGGACTGCATTTTCCAGTTCTTCCATGCCACAGCCAAGATTTTACACAAACCCGAGCACGTACATTCCCAATCCCATGGATATCCTGCACTAGGCGAACAGTAGCGCATGATTTCCCTCAAGTCCCAGAAGAAAATTCATGTCACTTAAGGTATATTCTGCGTAGCAAGTATCCAAATGAGGCTTGATGTACCTCTGTAACCATAATCTCTACAAGACCAATCGCACAATTGACCTGGCATGTGTGGGCCAACATGTTCTGTGGAGGAACCATTTTCCTTCCACATATCAGAACAGAAAAATAATGTGTGGTATCTCCACGTATGTATCCTCATCTCTCGTTGTGTAAAATTGTACGACTATACTACATGCTGGCTCTGAAAACGTCTCCTTCACCCCTAGTCTAAGGACAAGCTATGCTCTTCCAACGAGACTTAGCTGGCTTTGGTGCTTTACTGCGCGCTGAACCATCTGGAAGCAGCTTGATTTTCAACTAAACGGAAAGTTCAGAATACTTTTACTCGCTACCAACAGTTCCCTGGTGCTTGGCAGTCTCGGGCACTCCGGGAGCTTTCTTGCTCTTCTCCGGATCCTCACCAACATTGGTCGAGTGCTTGGTGTCAGTGTTGGAAACGCCGGCCTGCTTCCCAGAAGTCTCGTCTTTCAAAGGAGTTTTGGAAGGAGATGCCTGCTTAAAATTAGAATCCAAGCCAATCTTCGGAGTCAAAGCAGGGTAAATCAGACCTTGTCTTTAGTAGTGCCCTCTTCCTCGCTGACGGAGTCACCAGCGCCTTGAGGTTTTCCAAGCTCGCTCTCCTTCCGTACCTTGACGCCATCCTTGGCATCGGTGGTCTGCTTCTCTTTGTTGCCGGCCTGTGTAGGTCCAGATGTTTCGTCTTTTCCAGCAGTAGACTCCGCATCAGAGCTGTCAGGCGTATCTTGCTTCTGGCTCTCCTCGCTGTCAGATCCTTTTTCCTCGGCCTTGGGCTCTTCTTTGGCGGGCTCAGGCTCGGGCTCGGGTTCAGGCTCGGGCTCCTTCTTCTCTTCATGCTTCTCATGGGTGTCATGACCGTGATCCTCTTTGCCTGGCTTCAGGAGCCATCCAACGGAGGGAACCGTAACAACAATAGCACCCACAGCCCTGTGCGTGTTTTTTGTTAGTATTGGGTTGCTTTGTAGGAAGAGATGTAAAATACAAGTACGCGATTGAAGCTTAGATGAAAGGGAAACTCACCAAGGCAAGTCACTGCCTGAAGTAGCCTTGTGGGCGGAGCTGTTCGCATAACCTCTGCGGCTCACTCGTTGCCATTGCTGGGCAGTGGCGCCCGTGCGAGTTGCTCGCGCGGTTTGCGGTCGAAAGAGAGCTCGGAAAGCAGCTGGGCGAGGCAGAACCATTATGAACAACGTCAAGAATTGACTCAATTGATAGGCAGATATCTACACGTCTCGGTGGATGTAAATTGAAGGCCTTCCAGAGTCAGTTTAGAGCTATAGTGATAGTGCTGGGGGACGATGTTGAAAATGAGCTTCGGAGGAGGTTGGACGCCAAGGTACGACCATACCTTAAGCTTCCCCAGCGGAACTGCGTCAGGCCAATGTCATGGCGGGTACTCATTATGTAAGCCGGAGCCTACCATCATGTGGCTTCAACTGTTCCGATCGGAACTTGAACAACTAGTAGTCAATAAGTGTCGCAATAGCAGGTTTATCATAGTGCTTGAAAAAACAGCGTATCTCGTAGGTGAACTTCTTTGAATTAATAGCAAAATCTACGAAGAAGTATTCAATCGGCTTGGAGCCACTCCGTATAACAGATTGTATCATATAAGTGTCTCGTCTTAAAAACAAAACCCCCTAATTACCTAGTTATCTAAGCCTATCGCAATACTTATTGACTTCTCGCACCGTTCGGTCATGCCCCGCCTGTTGTTGATCGAAGCCTGAGTTCAAGACAGACAAAGCGACAAACTGACACTCCAACTAACTCTACCACCTTCCTCTTGATGATAAAAGAAGGTTTCATTTTCATGTGCAATGAGTCCTTAGCAAACGAACACAACGTTTCGGAGTGAATTAATTAAACACATTTAGTCTGGAGAGGTCAGCAGGAGCTTGTACCTCATCTCGCCTTGCCATAACTTAGCTAACATGCAGAGCTCATACAGCTTCGCTCAGAGCTTTCTAGATCCTCCTGAAACGATTATCTCACCATAGAACGAATCAATCCTCAGAGGCTAGATCAAATCTATCGCCATGTCTGGCTCTGTACCTCAGAATCCCACTGCACAGCATGTCGCTGCCCTTCTTCCCAAATTGAGCGACGCCGACTCAGATTTCCGGTACATGTCCTTGAACGACTTGTATAACATACTCAACAATGGCCATCCTGGATTTCTACTCAATGACCAAAGCGTCTGCATCCGAACAGCAGACGGGTTGCTAAAGACGTTGGACGACCAGAACGGCGAAGTGCAGAATTTGGCTATAAAATGGTTCGCTTCAACCCACTGTGGAGAAATGGAATCTAGAGAGCATACTAACCTTACGTCTTTGAACAGCTTAGGGCCTCTAGTTCATAAGGTGCCGTCCGGTATATTAGCCCCATTGATCGAGAAGCTTTCGAACCTTACTACTACGAATGCCGTTGACAACTCGATTGCGGCCACCGCCCTACGAACAGTCGTAGAGACCCTTCCTCGACCGGTCTATGGATTGCCCCCGTCACGGCCTGCACAGGACGCATATTCGGCTATCAGCAGGGTCTTAATACCACGCTTAGTTGGCTACAATGCCCTTGGACCGAAACAGGTATCAAAGTTGTCACCCGGAATGCTCGAAGTAACCCCCGAGAAGGGTGTGGATAGTGATGCCTTGGACGTCTTGACAGAGATCGCGCGCTGCTTTGGTCCAGTCCTTCAAGACGCTGAAATCCAGGCATTGCAAGAAGCTGCTTTCAATATACTAAAGAATGCCTCCACAAGTTCAGTCGTCAAGAAGAAAGCTGTTTATGCAACTTCAATCCTGGCGGTTTATTTCCCCGATGAGCTGCTCAGTTCATTCATCTCACAAGTTATCGAGAACCTTCGCGACCCCCATTTGACTTATTCCAAGAGAAGGACCTTGATTGGCACGGTGGGCTCTCTCGCACGATCGATTCCTCAGAAATTTGGCCCCTATTTGAGGACACTGGCACCGTTTGTACTGAGTGCGTTGAGCGAGCAGGAACTCGATGAACAGATGCAAGACGTTGAGGATGAGGATGGACAGGATCCTGAGGCGGATGAAGTTCGTGAAGCTGCTTTGGTCGCATTGGATGCTTTCCTTTCGTCCTGCAGTTCCGAAATGCGGCGTTTCACCGAGGAGTCCATTCAGGCTGGCCTTCGCTTCCTGAGATATGACCCCAACGTGGCCAATACCGATGACGATGATATTGACGAATATGAAGACTCTGATGGAGATATCGAAGAAGATGAGGATTTTGAGGAGGAAGGTGGTTTCAGTGATGACGACGACATGAGCTGGAAGGTCAGGCGATGCGCTGCCAAGGTCCTGTATACGATCATTTCTACACGTGCCAATGGCGATCTCTTAGAGGATGGGACGCTGTACGAACAGATTGCTCCGGTACTCGTAAGCCGCTTCAAAGAGAGGGAAGATAACGTTCGACTGGAGATCTTGGCAACGATGAGTTCACTGGTCCGGAAAACGGGCGAGGGTGTTCCCGTGTTAAGCAGCCCGGCTCAGGAAGATGGTCTCGCCTCGGCCATGGGGCCGCCCATGAGCAGAAAAAGAAGACGAGGTAGCGATACTAGCATGTTTGACGTTCAAACTTCTATTTCTCTCTCTACTGGCGTAGCATCTCCTGCGGTGCAGTCGCCCCCTTCATCGGGGCCAAAGGCGAATCTGGCTGACCTAGTGCCCTCTATTATCACTGAGATTTCCAAGCTTCTCAAAGGGCATTCAATTCCTACCAAGCAGGCTTCTATCTCTCTGCTGAGAGACATTGTCAATGTGCAGCGTGGCGGGTTATCTGATTTTCTGGGTCAGATCATGGCGCCGTTAGTGGATGCTGTGAAGGTGGCTAGCTCCGTTGGAGGCTCCATGTCAACGGCCACAGCCGCTACTGGAAGTGCAGCATCTGCAACGGGCGGCACCCTTCGAATTGAGGCCCTTGCTTTGACCAGTGCCATAATCGAGACTCACCCATCTGCGGTTCTGCAGCCATACCTCGCCAAGCTGGTTCCTGCCATTGTGGTGGCCATTACTGACAAGTCTTACAAGGTGTCGACTGAAGCTCTTGGTACCACCGAGCAGCTCATCAAAGCGCTTACGCCTCCACGTGGTACTGGCAACCAACACTCCGAGGAGTACTTGCTTCAACTTTATGATGCGGCTATTAATCGAGTAGCTGCCACTGAAGCCGACTTGGAAGTCAGGCAGCGCGCAATTCATGCTCTAGGTGTCTTGCTCGCTCGCGCCTCCGGCCATCCCAGCCTCCTTTCGGCGGAGAAGAGAACCAGAGGCCTGGATGTTCTTCTCGATAGACTCCGGAACGAGACCACTCGACTTGCGGCTGTTCGTGCAATTGATGCAGTTGCCTCCATGGCGAGTGACAAGAAGGAATTTTCGGCTCCCTGGGTGCAGCAAGTTGCACTAGAACTCGGCGCGCAGCTTCGCAAGGCAGACAGATCGCTACGCGGCGCCAGCCTCGGTGCATTGAAGAACCTAGTGTTGAATCCCAACGGACTTGCGAATTTGGACGATCAGACAATCGCCGGTCTAGTTGATCTATTGTCGCCACTTCTGACGGTTGATGATCTTCATCTTCTCGGTCCTGCTCTCATCGTCCTGGCGAAACTGGCTCATGGCAATGCCAAATTAGTGGCGAAAGACGATATAAACAAAGCTTTGTGCAGCATCGTAGTTGCCCCGCTTAGCGGTTTCGTTCTCGATCCGTTACTCAGCCTGGTCGCAGCGATCGGTGAGCAGGGCGCCGGGGGGCCACTTATGCAAGGGTTATTGAAGGATGTTGGAGTTGGCGGTGATCCGACCGTTGTAGGCAAAGCTCTAGGAACGCTCTTAGTGCATGGCCAGTCTACGGTTGGCGTTGAGCTAAATGACTTTGTTGCAGAGCTACAGTCTGCATCGGACGATCAGCGCAAGTGTTTGTCTTTGGCTGTTCTCGGGGAAGCTGGGCTGCGCCTGGGCTCATCGTACTCTCTTACTCCTGATCTTTTCATTTCATACTTTTCATCAAAGTCCGATCAAGTGTCTCTCGCAGCCTCAATTGCTCTGGGTAGAGCAAGTGCAGGAAATGTGGACAAGTATCTCCCTGTAATCCTGTCCACGTTGCCCGAGGCTGGCAACTCGCAGTACTTGTTCCTGCACTCTATCAAAGAAGTTCTGCAGCATGCGAACGAGCCGAAGACGAACATTGCTCCATTTAGCAGACAAATTTGGGACACTCTTATCACGTCGACGCAGTCGGAAGACAACAAGGCTGTTGGAGCTGAGTGTCTTGGAAGGCTGGCAGTGGTTGATCCTCGAAACTATCTTCCACTTCTTCAGGTATTATCTCAATTCTCTTTATCGAAAGAAAAAAGAAAAAAGCATATATTAACACTCTGGATAGTCTTGCCTGCAAGACCGTATCGTTGCAGTCCGCAGCATGGCCATTCAAGCAATCCGATACACCCTTACCGAGGCCGATGATGCCTACGAAGATGCTCTTCGACCAAACCTCGTTGGCATTTTCGTCACCATGTTGACCGACGTTGATTTAGAAAACCGACGTTTGGCATTAAGCTCGCTCAATTCTGCCGTGCACAACAAGCCAGAACTGGTGATGCCTAACCTGGGCCAACTCCTTCCCATTGTCATGAAGGAAACAAATATCCGAGCCGAGCTCGTGCGGGAAGTCCAAATGGGTCCATTCAGACACAAGGTCGACGATGGCCTAGAAGTCCGAAAGGTAAGATAACCATTTTGACCGGTGCTATTTTCATTCTTTCGCAATAACAACATAACTAACTTTTGTTTGTTCTTTTGCAAAAGTCTGCATACGAAACTCTCTATGCGCTTTTGGACACGGCTTTTTCACGAATCAATGTATCTGATTTTTACGATCGAGTCATTGCCGGCCTAGACGACGAGCATGACATTCGCGTCCTGTGCAACCTGATGTTGACTAAACTCATCGCTCTTGCGCCCAATGAGACGGGTATGCGTCTCGATGCCATTGCCGACCGGTTCCGCGCCATTCTGTCGTTCAAGCCTAAAGATAATGCGGTCAAGCAAGAACTCGAAAAAGTCGCCGAGGCTAACAAGGGTGTACTCCGCGTCAGTTTGCAACTTTCTCGTGCATTCCCCGGAGCTGGTTCCAATCCGACGAGTATTCCGTATTCTCAGTCCTGGCCACTCTTTTGGGACTGGGTTCGTCGAGATTTTGCGGGGCAGTTGAAGACTGTAGAGGACGAGTCCAAGGGACAGGCTGTCTAAGCTGTCAGGGTCATCTCAAACACATTTTCCTACCTAGGTTCGGCTTGAGCTACGCGCAACGGTCAAGCACACTGCCCTAGTCGGGCATATGCAATTGTTGCTGCAAAGGGCATCATATTTTTTTTTTATCTTGCCATGATTTTTTGCCTAGTAGTAGCATAGCGCAGTGCATATCCCATCGTCTCTGTAAATGACGCCAAAAGAAAAAAGGGTTCAAAAAGCAGTCATGGTCATAAGAAATGTCAAATTTAGATTGTCAGCCAATAGTGTTTATATATTCTCGATGGTGAGAAATTTAATGTAAAGGAATCTGAGTATCTCCTGCCTCCTGCCGTTTCCATTCCTTATTCTAAACCGATCCCTCCCTATTTCTTCCAAAAGGTATTTTTTATTAGCAGTGAGTGCCTAATGTACCTCCGAGCTCTCTTCTAGAGATTACCAAGAATACTCAGTAGTATACCAACTGGTTGTCGTTTATAATTCGTGGTCGATGATAGGACTAGGGTCCGTAAACGAGACATCTCAGTTATCTCTAGTATGACCACATGACGGCGACCAGGCCAACAACTGGGGGCAGCAAGCGGCCCGTTCCCGGGGCCACCGGGCTCTCGGCACAACTGTTCTCCGTAAATCAACGGTCCAAAGCCTGGGCCAAGGCCATCAGTTCTGGTGTGCTAGGGGGTCGCAGCCATTGCTGTGACAAAATTGCATGCCGTACAGCATATTCCGTACTCGGAGTGCCTTGGGTATCCCCATCACATTGTGCCAGCGTCAAGGGAATTATTTTGGTGCAGAGCTGAACCAACCATAATGATCCTTTGTGCGGCGAGAGTCAACCAACCCCTGACACTAAGACACTGGGGTCGTCTAACCTCGGACAGATGGCAGAGCAGGTTGCCAGGCTTCCAAAGACAACTCACAGCTGCATTACGAGTAGCATCACCTACACATCTTGTAAATAAGGGATGAAAGTAATCAACGACTTCCAACGTCATGATGTAAAGAAATTAATAACTAGAGGTAATCTGAAGAGGTTTGTAGCGTAAGAGTGTTTGACTGCTTTGTTTTTCGGCTGGCGAAGAGTGGAGTCCATGTTAACGGGGTTCCCAACAACTTCAAGACCACATGAATACCGGGTTCTCCCCGCTTCTTATCCATGCAAGCTGCGCACTCCGGTACGAAGTATATCGGAGTGATTGGAGACAACTCCAACTCGCGCTGATTCTACTTTAACCGCTGGCAAAGTGGGTATGCGGGACCCAGGCCCCATGCAGTTCATATTTTATGGATTGAGCACACAGCGATTCTCGGTACACGGAAAGTGATATCAATACAAGGTAGTAATGCTTTAGAAATGACTTAGATATATACAAAAGCTATGCTTTATCTCTCATGAATATCTTATCCTATCCCCGGGCCCGAGTTGCCACTTGATATCATATTGTGATCAAGGGTCTCGGGTGTCATCAAAGTCTTGCGTCTTGCTTCTACAGATTAATCCCAAAACCAACAAAGCAATGCCCCGCAGTCCACGGCGTTGGACCCCGCAAGAAGACCGCATATTGCTTGAGAAGGGCAAGCAGCTACGTAAGTGTGCTTGGCGATTGGCTCTCATGGAATACCACTGGCTCCTAACCGTGCATTGTTACAAGTTTCGGAGGACAAGAAGACTACGGACACGGCAATCAGCTGGAGCAGCGTCTCAAAAGCCATCGCGAACCGCAACAACAAAGATTGCCGCAAGCGGTGGTTCAAGCTGACAGGCGCCAAAAAGGGCTTGTGGGCTGCGAGCGAGGACGAACGATTGCTAGAGGGCGTGCAGAAATACGGCATCCAATGGGCCCGGGTTGCGAAGACGGTAGAAACCAGAAATGCGGACCGTAGGTGCCACAGACTCTCGAGATTGTGAGCGAACTTGTCCTAACATACTGACGTATGAAACCAGAGTGTGCAAAGCGATGGCAACACTGCTTAGACCCGTCGCTGGACCGCAGTGAATGGACAAGTGAGAAGGATGTCCAATTGATTGCTGCAGTAAAACATTACGGCACAAACTGGAAAGATATCAAGAGGTTCGAGTTCCCGATGCGCTCGACCACGAATTTGAAGAACAGGTAGGTTGCAAAAGACCCCTGGTCCATGATGCCGGTCTGGCTGCTGTATGTCGCTGACTTGATCTATCCTTAGACACACTGCTCTCCTCAGGCAGAGCAGCAAGACGCCCAGCGTCTATTCTAACAAAGCCGGGGCACTCCAAGAGCCAAGCATTGAATGGCCATCAATTCAGCGGGGCATGCCTGATCATATGACCATGGATGGTGGCGATGACCGTGACTATCTCGAAAGTGACCACAACCAGAGTCCACCCGGCTCAAACTCGACGTCTTCTCTACAGAGCGAGTCTCCCCTCGAGTGCAATCTATCTGGCTCTTTAGTACCAGACATGACACCAACGTCGGCAAGCTCGAGGCTCTGCCACTTTCCTCTAGACTGGGAGCTTCCCTTGCATCAAGAGCTTCTCCAGACTGCAGAGAGTGTGGCAAGTAATGCCTCGTCAAGCATGCCGCAGATAATTTTCACCATTGACAGTTGTGACCTGCAGACAATGACGAGTGTGCTCGAGGTTTTGACCAGGGCAAAGAGTAAAGTAACTATATCCATTAATGCGTAAGTAAAAGGTTGTGGCCTTACTAGCCTATTTTATCTATCAAGATAGATTATAGTGTACAAAAGGAAAATAAACGCTACCAAAATCTTCCTCTAGTCTTCGCACCATGGTACATGTACCAAGGTTTTTGCCTCTTCTGCATTGGCTCACCTCGTTTTATTTTACATTATAGGTCCTCTTGTACACCTCATCAATATTTTCGAGATAGTATGTTCCCGCTGCCAGTGACGCTACATCACCAACAGGCTTGTAATTCTTGCTCCCGTAGGCTTTCATTCGGAGAGCACAGGCCTTGTACAACTTAATTAGTACATCTCTGCAAATAGATTGTATACTTATAGCTTACCTCTTCGTATTCCTCAGGGGTTGAGACGTGTCGCTGCTTCAGGCGATCCATTAAATTTATTTTTTCGACCATCTTGGTGAGATCACCAGTTATTTTCAGGCCAAAAAGGGTACTAGCAGTACCACTTCCGTACTAATGTGTCCACTCAGGTCAGTATGATCTCTCTGGAGAGTTCGATAAACAGCAATCTAGCTACTGACACTAAACATGCCGATGGTTTTGCCTTGTGCAGCTGCAAGATCAATGTTGCTAATCAAGCTGATGAGCGAGCAGTAGAGGCTGCTTGTGTACATGTTTCCACATAAGGAGGGTGCAACAATAGATGGCTCAACTCGTCCTTTGAACTGATCCTTTGTTACAGCCACGAGGGTTTTCTCCAATACTTTGTCTCTCAGGGACTCTTGGTAACCCAGCTTGCGCAGCTCATCGGGGATTCCCTCCCAGTCAGCATCGTCCATCGATCTCAGGCAGTCGTTGTACTTGAGTCGACCGTATGACTTGCTGACCAGTTTGCAATTTGGCGTATGAAAGGCCATGTAGTCAAAAAGGTCAAGGACATTCTTTTTAACAGCCTTGCATCCATCGCCATCAAGCTTGCCCCTGGCGGCTTCGGCACGACGGAGCAGGTCCTTGTGGCATTTATCCAGAGCGCTAAGGTAGCAGACAATAGATTCGTGGCCGTTGACAATGGGATACTCGACCTTGAGATCAGGCTTGTAGAAATCATAACCGTGGGTCATATAGACACCTCGCAGGCTTGGCTCTGGCGAAAGTAGTGCGTTTGGGCCGACAAGCATGGCGACACAACCAGCGCCACCGGTTGGACGGGAGGAAGCCTCCTTGTAGAGCGCGATGTCTGATGTAACGACAATGGCATCTCGACCGTCCCATGAACGAGACTCGACCCAATTGACAGCATTGAACAAGGCATTGGTGCCACCATAGCAGGCGTGGATGGTGTCAACACCTTCCAGGCTTGTGTTGCCAGATGGCTCGAACAATGTCGTGAGAACTGATTTGATAGACTTGGCCTTGTCGATGAGCGATTCAGTGCCGACTTCCAGACGTCCGATAGAATTGGGATCGATGTTGAACTTGTGAAGCAGTGAAGACACAGCAGTCAGGGCCAGCGAACAGACGTCTATAGATGTTGGTTAAACACGGTGTGTATGGTCGCTAAAAGACATAATCACATGAAACGCACCCTCTCTATCCGTACAGTAATTCATGTACTGGAGGCCCAGTCCAATGGTGTACTTGCCAGTTGACACGCCTTGGTATTTCTCGAAGAGGGATTGGTCCAGGCACTATTTTCTAATTAGAGACTCAAACTGACAGCCATGGTCCATGGATGTAGACTGGGTGGCTTCACTTGGGCCGGGACATAAATCTCCATAGCCTTGATGCCGACATTCTCTGGGTATGCCATTGTGCAAGCGTTGTTGTAACCTTTCACCTTGCTTATTCCCGATGAAAGGAAATCAAAAAGAGGGGTTGTGAGGCCGCGGGACCCCTGTAGGTGGCATGAGACTTTGGGACCTGATTTGGACCCGAGTTCTGACATGGCATCAACCAACCATCCCCGTCACACAAGGTTCGGGGACCTGAATTGGACCCCGCACTTGGACCTTGGATCAAACTAGCATTCTGCCACCAAATGCAGGTGTCCGTGCCTGTGGACTACATGTCTTTGATTCTGCCGTCTGGCTCTTAAAAGCTTGAGTCTGCTGTCTTGATAGCAGACTTTGTTTGTGGATTTGTTATATTTGAAACTCCTGGAGGTTGGCAAGAATTTGCGTTCCAAAGCTTTGATATAAATCAAGATAGAGGCATTGTATCCGATTTCACAAATACTGCCTTTCGACTTGTATCAACGTTAAAATGCAAGTGCCTATTACTATTACAGGCCTCTTATGGCTTGCTACGTCTTTTGCCGTCTATATTCTGATCTCCACCTTCCTCACCTCCCGCCGCAATGCAACCAAAGCACGACAACTCAACTGTGAAGAGCCTCCATTTGAGAAGAATAAGTGTCCAATTGGCATTGACAATTTATTACGCGCACTTGCTGCGGATAGAGCACAGCAATTTCCTGTAGATTTGATTGAGCGTTTCGAGGCTCTAGGCACATATACCTACCGGTATCAGATTCTTGGTAGGTGTTCTAATTCTCTTTCGTCTTTCTTTTTGCCCATTTCAAATATACTCTTCGAAATCCTATTTACAAAATTACTAACTATTATCTTCAATAGGAGCTCGGAATGTTCGTACTGCAGACCCCAAAAATATCCAAGCTATCCTTGCAAATCAATTTTCTGACTTTGGTAAGCATTGCCAGGTCTATCCCCTCTTCCGTCAAGACTGACAGGGCTCAGATGTGGGACCAAGAAGGCGTGGAAACTTCCTCCCACTGGTGGGTGATGGTATTTTCACGGCGGACGGAAAACACTGGAAGCACTCTCGGGTATGTATATTTGAGGTTCTCCTGCTTGGAATTAGATGTCTTCTCGGCATTAGGGATTGGATTATAAAAGACATTTACCTTACATAGCTGCAAGTTTCTACTTTCCAAGTAATGCCAACGCTGACATTATGAGAAAAGGCCATGATGCGTCCACAATTTACAAGAGACCAGATCAGCGATCTAAACCTGGAAGAAACCCATGTTCAAAACATGATGAGATTATTAGAACCCTTGATAGAAGCCGATGGCTGGACTAAGGAGGTTGATCTTCTGCCCTATTTCTTCCGGCTTACAATAGATTCAGCCACCGAATTTCTCTTTGGTGAATCTGTCAACAGTCAGCTCAGACTCCTACCAGGTTACCAAAGTACTAAGATGGGCAGCTCGGAGGCGAAGTTCGCAAAAGCTTTAGATGACGGTCAGAGGGCTCTCGCAACACGGGCACGCTTTATGGATCGCTGGTGGCTTTATGACTCGATGGAATTCCGCGGTGCCTGCAAGATTGTTCATGAGTTTGTCGATCACTTCGTGAGGCTTGCCCTGTCAAAGGATCTGCGCAAGAAGGACTTGGAGAAGGGCAGCGGCGGAAAGGAGCAATACATCTTCCTCGAGGCCCTAGCTGCTGAAACCCAAGATCCGACCGAGCTACGCTCTGAACTACTACATGTCTTACTCGCTGGTCGCGATACTACTGCCTCACATCTGGGCTGGGGTAAGCATCTTCTGTTCCCCTCGACTCCCTTTTAGTTGTTGAGTATTGACTTTGGCCCTAGTCTTCCACAGCCTCGCCCACAACCCAGAGTGCTATAAAAAGCTACGGGACTCCATCGTCGCCGATTTCGGCACCTGCGACCGACCTAAGGAGATCACGTTCTCAAAACTCAAGGACTGCAAATATCTCCGTTATGTTAACGACGAATCATTGCGCCTCTACCCCGTCGTGCCCATAAACGGTCGGTGCGCCAATAAGGACACCACGCTCCCCCGCGGCGGAGGTAAAGATGGAAACTCGCCCGTCTTCGTCCCGAAAGGTTCGATGGTCGATTATTCTGTTCATGTTATGCACCGCCGGAAGGATATCTGGGGACCTGACGCGGATGAATTCAAACCGGAACGTTGGGAGGGGAGGAAGGTTGGGTGGGAATATTTGCCTGTAAGCTCAATTGCGTTGCTCACATACACATATATCACCAAACCTTTTGTCTTTCTTTCTTCATACTGGCCGGCTTACTGATAGTGTAACAGTTCAATGGCGGGCCACGAATTTGCATCGGCCAGCAATTTGCACTGACTGAAGCAAGTTATGTGACAGTGCGGCTGTTGCAACGGTTTGATACGATGGAGAGTGTGGATAAGGATGAAGTTGTGCGACATAATTTGACGTTGATTAATCGTATTGCAAATGGAGTCAAGGTCAGGTTACATGCCATGTAACCAAGTTTAGTGAGATTGAGTCTTGTTACCGTTGGTTAGGGTCACCGTTGCTCTTGTCTGGGTTGATCTCGAGGATAAGATCAAACTCCAGACTGGGCGTGGGTGACCTTATTGACTAAAACCATCTATGCACCATTCTGGAATAAATGTGCATATTTCGAGCAAATTACGAGCGTTGTCAGTCATAATTTAGCTGATTAGTTGTTAATATATTTCTCGAATAAGTAACCTGAATGGTGATCACAGCCTGGTGGAGTTATAGTATTCGACGTAGAGGGGATTGCTCGTGGGGCCTACCTGGTATTTGCTCACTTTGCTACTTTGGGGAATAGCCTATTTCGGAATTTTGCTGGTGCAAAGCTCGTAAGCCTAAATTTATGGCTATAGTCTTAAACTGTATTGAAACTTCATGAAAATTAAAATGATTCTCTTCTTAACAATAAGAATATATAAGGTTTCCAATAGATCTACTAGTATATGTGACCCCAGGATCGCGACGGGCGCAGCAAGCGGTCCGCTCACCAGCTCTCGGCCCGGGTCGTTAACCCGTGGTTAAAGCCGGGGCCCAAGGCCTTAGTGTGCTAGGGGTAGCGACCATTGCTGTGACAAATCAAACGGCGTAGAGTAAAAAAACCGTTGACCTTGGGAAGTTCTAGTTCTACATGTACTAGAAGGATCTTTTCCCGTAGATGTTTTATTCCGAAACTTCTAAGAAGTAACCGAAAAGCATTTCAGAAGTACGATCCAAATAGGTAGAAATAGACAACTTCATCTATGCCAAGCTCGGAATTCACCCGGATGGCAAGTCATTGGGACTTTCATGAGGTGCTTGTCTACCCGGCCAACCTCCTGTCTCGCAACATACTTGAATTGGTGCGGAGTCAAAAGGACGATGAGAAGCCTATCCAAGCTCACATGGCAAGGCTCTAACAGTGCCGCCACGCTACTGTATCAGGCTGGCATTGATGAGACCATTTATGCAGGATGACTGCTGCGCCGGAATTGCATATACCGTCCTAGTTTAGGTCTGTCGGGATGATTAGCCGGATCAAAAAGAAAAAGGTGACAATGAGGCTCTTTAACATTGATAGATAAGTTACCTAACGACGTAGAGTAAGCACCATGCAGCCGGCGAGTTTTTGTCCGGCAGGAATCTTTGTTTACACAATTGCACGGGGCCGTAGAGTAAGCACTTATCAACATTGAGGCTGAATTTTGGTACAAGATACCTGGCCATGTAATGTGATGAGAAATTATTTTATTATATTCTGTAGCCTTGTCGTAGACGTTGCTCGTCAAGGTATCATATTAGATATTAATAATGCTTGCAATGCTACCATGGCTAGATTTTGAGATTGCAACACTTGTATTACCATGGCAGGCTCTGGATGTCGTTATCGGTCCCCACCTGGCCGTCTCGAACCCTAAGCAAGGGTTATATATAGATGATTTCAACATATTTGGGCTGACCAGGACATTGCAGAGCCTCCCGAAGTCGACGATAGGAAATGCCTAAAGACGGCTTGATCACATGAGCTGCATCGGAGCAAAAGACACGTTATCAATCTATCCTTGTCTTAGGTCTAGGCTTAATTTGTCATGTTAATGGTCAAGGGTTTTTTATTGCTTCTCTTATGTGTAGGTACAGCTGAGATGGCAATCTACTACGGACGGTTTACTGACAGAGAGAACAAGAGACAGATGACTGTCTAAGATTATTACCACCAAGGTAGAAGTCTCGGGTCAATTTAATCAAAAGGCTCAACTAGGTAGCTTTGTCAATTACCATGCCCCTCAGATCATTCAGAAACCTTTATGAGAGCCCTTTGGGATTTATCGAGACGAGCAATGCTACAATTTCCACTAGACGGATCGCCACACGGGGCCTTGACAATAGAGGAGAATCATAGAGCGGGATCTGGTGGGACCACTCACCCCTTGCCACCGACTTCAGCCCTTTTCGGCCGGTCTTACGAGGACCAGATCTAGATCTACTTCTCAAAATCTGTGCAGGTACTTTTCGATGGGCTTACGACCTACCCAGACTTTTGAAAACCTGATCAGACGTCAGCACCCACTCCGGGGTCACACTGACCATCGGGCAATTTGTCCCCGTTGGTGCTGACTCGACTATGCATAGCTGGGGGCTTTTGAGCTCCGAACCATTTCTGATCACTTTCTACATACAAAAGTCATTGAGATCCTGTCTCTACGCCTTGCTTAATGCGACGAAAACTTGCCTTTGATATGTATGCATTATCGCTGTGTCCTAAACAATGAAAAAGGCGACAACAAATCCAGACATTACCGAGCAAAGGCGTCATCAAAATCGGGAAGCTCAACGCAGATATCGTAAGTACAAGGCAAAAACTGTACAGTAGAGGTATTACTGTATTGGTGCTATACTCAATTTTACTAACCATTGTGAAGGAGAAAGGCATCGACAACGAAAATCGTCCTACAGCGAAAGCATTCCTATAGTAGAGCTGGTAGAAAATCTGCCAAATTCGGAGCATGATGTGCAAGCCAAAGAGAACGGGACATCAGCCTTGCCGCATTTGGCAGCCGGATCCGGCTCTCCACCGGGCATTGAGGCCTCCACATTGTCAAATCAATCAGACAAGAATGCAAACGAATGCGATTGGAATGACATGGACGACAACGAACTTCTTACCTCCTTGTTCAAGGATGCTTCCTCCCCGTTCACTGGACTGGGCAAATGGCCATCGGGTTCAAATCAAGAGGTCAATGGCGACTCCCTGTCGTGTCAGTCGCATCAAATAAGGGAGTCCGAGATTGGATCTCCTGCTCCTTCTCTTTCTGCTTCACCGGTTCAATCAAAACAAAGTGAAGGCTCCCAGGACCGAGACAGCCGACATAGCATCGAGAGCCAGGAACGACGTGGAAAATCTTCCCGGCATGGACGCCTATCAACTTTACGTGTGAAAGCTATCGAAACTGGGCAGATGGCTGAAAATTGCACACAAGGATACAATTCCCACTCCCGATACGGGTTGCAAGATTGCAACATGGAAGATTCTCTAATGGACCAAAGTTGGAACGTACAGACGCCAGGACAGTGCTCATGTTCAAAACTAGCGGATGAACTAGGAAGTGTCAGTACACGATCTTTTTTGCGTCGAACATGAAAGCTGAGATACTCATACAATATAGGGCACGATCGATTACCAGTATAAGGACAATATGTGTACTCGTCCCCAGTACGTCAAAAGGACTGTGTCGACATCAACAATTCCCGATAATAAAAGTACTGTGCTCAAGGCGGATGAAATGGCCAAGGAATTACGGCTTTTGTATATTTTTGGTGTCAGGATTGGCTTCTTTCCGAACGATCCCTCCATGATCCGGTTGTTAATAGTCTTGGAGAATAGGTTCAGAGCCCTTTCGATGGCAAAAGCGAAGCTCGATTGTCCTTGAGAATCTAAACCAATGTCACTACATGGTAGTTTATATCCTTGTTGATATATATATGTAGACAGCCTTGAGGCCCCTAGTTGCAGCTTTTCTATTTTTACTATGATTTTACAAGGATCATAGTATCGAAATTTATATAGATATATTTATAAGTTTGTTTTACCCAGATGCATATATACACTAATAGCTAATGCAAGCCATGTGCAATTTGCCGAGTAAACTCTTTAGATTTAATAAAAGTATTAATAAAATTAATTAGATTAAAAAAAATGTTAACAAGAATCCATTTCACTATTGTGATTTATTCTTGAGCCTTTTGCTCTATTTTCTAGCCAGAGTACCTCATAAACATCGCTCACGATTGCATATTCTGCATGTACGGGCAATAGAAGATAGCTTGTGAGTTCCGTGGACTAGTTGCAAGTAGTACATGAGCGACTGTTTTTGAGAACGGCCCTGAAGAAGGTGCAAAGTCGAGTAAATGCATTGTCGGTGATCTGGTAATGAAACACAAGTCGGCCAAATATTGGTTCTCCAATCTTCAAGTCGAATTTTCTTGCCATGAGGTAGAACTCATCAGGAGACAAGCCAGATGCTTCAAGGTCGAGCCAGACCATATTTGTCTCTGTTGGGTACTGGAGTTTCCCGCCAAGCTGTTCCCAAAGCGCCGAGGCACGTTTTGCCTTGTCCTGGGCTGCAGTCAGTTTTCCGCTGAGAAATACGTCGGCGATGGCGACCCTTGCGGGTGCGGCAATCACACCCGAAGCACGGGTGCTGCCGCCGAGAAGCTTGCGGCTCCATTTGGCTCGCTTGATGAAGGCCGAGCTGCCAGTAATGATACTGCCAATTGGCGCACCAAGACCCTTTGTGAAACACAGCTGGATGCTGTCAAAACATCCGCCAACCTCTCGGAGGGTACAGGCACCGGCAGCAACGGCTTCCCACAGTCGAGCTCCGTCCAGATGCATATGGATTGGAGGGTTCTGGGCACGCGCCCAATGGGAGATAGCACGCATATCCGAGAGGGGCATGATCGTACCCCATAATGTATTCTCCAAGCAGATCACCCGGGTGGGGCAGTCGTAGATGGATTCTGTCGTGGTGCCATGTTTCTTCACATCATCCAGGGTAAGGTGGTGGCCGTTAGCGGGAACGACCATTTTCATCAGGGCGCCACAAAGGCTAGACGCACCACCGCCTTCAAGGATGATATTGTGCGCGCGGTGGTCGGCAAGGATGGAATGGGGCGGGGCTCCGAGAGCAGCTCGGAGAGCGGCCTGGTTACCCATGGTGCCCGAGACCACGAGAAGAGCGGCTTCATGGCCGACCAAGTCGGCGACATGGTCTTGAAAGGAATTCGTTGTCGGGTCTTCATCCATGTCACCATCTCCAAGGGACGTTGTGATAATCGCTTCCAGCATGGGGAGCGTCGGTTTTGTGACAAAATCCGACCGAAAGTCGTTTGATGCATCATTACTCTGTGACCACGCCAGATTGGATAAGCCTTGACCTTGATGCTGGGTGTCGCTCCCCATGGATCCAAGTCGGCTGATTTCGGCCTTGGAGCCTGCCAATGCCGCAGGATGAGGAGGCAAGTATGGGCGGTTTTCTGAGGTATAAGTCTGCACATCCATTGTAAATCGAGCTGGGCTTGAATGCTTTGTAGGTTGTCCTGCCGGTTAGGAATTGTATGCTGGCCATTGCCTAAATTATTGGGAGATGAAAATTTATAGATGATATTACACATAGTAAGCCTGTAAGACATAACTAGCATTTGGTTAGATACTATGTATATATTGAGGATAGTATCATCCAACATTACATGTATGCTAATAATAATGCTTATAATGATGTTGATAATCTTGCTGATAATAAAGCTTACTAGACACTAATAATGCTGACTGTAATGCTGACATCAACCTTGACACTATTGCTGACGGTAATAGCAATAGAAACACTCCTATAAACTGCCTTTTAAATGTAATATCTACCAGGGCATTATGCTTAGAACATCATAGCTAAGTAAGCAAGATGAATGAGGTAGTAGTATGTATTTATTGTAATACATTATGCATCAAATAATATATACAAAGTAATAGGTTGATTAACTTACGCCTAGCAATAAACAAGTATAAGAATATGTTCATTCATCAGCTTTACTGCACAAAGTAACATCAAAGTAGAAAAGGGTACGCTATACAATAATTGTAAGCTTTTAATCAGAAAAGAAGCTGGCATCCACGTTAATGTTGTACACAGGGTTGCCAATAATTGAATCATAAAGTCGGGTGGCCGGGACAAAAGTATTCGAACTGACCCGTACTGAAAATTAGAGTAGGATTCGTTCTAGTAAAAGTGAGCCTCAACCGGTGTTGTCCATTGTCAGCGAAATAAAGCCATACACCGTGAGCGGCATTGTGCTTCGGTCAAAAAAACCATATTCAAGCAACTTCTTACCGACTTTATATAGCACTCAAAAAGCAAATAACCTCTCACTTGTAGGAAAGATGATCGCCATCTCGACTGAAGATTATCAGGCTGTAACCGATCAATTCAATGCCACCGACGACACTACAACGCTAGGACATTGCCTACATCACCTTCTTCAGCATGCCACGGACAGCCACGCAAACAAGACTGCCCTGATTTGTGGCAACACGGAACTGTCCTTTGAAGAGCTCAATACGCTCGCGAATCGTCTTGCCCACGTCTTGGTGAAGCAGGGCATTGGCCGGGGCGACCTCGTCGGTGTTGCCCTGGACCGTTCTGTCGACCTCATCGTGGTGCTACTGGCCGTACTGAAAACGGGTGCCGCGTATGTACCTATCGATCCAGCCTTCCCTAGAGATCGCATTCGCCACATGATCGACGACGCTGGACCAAAGCTCATCATTGTTGGAGCCGGCACACACAATGCGTTGTTGCCCTGGAGAGAATTGTGCTTTGATATTGACGAGATACGAGACAAAATGACAAACTCGGACAGCGATTCCGGACTCGAGGTTGACGTGCACTCAGACGACCTAGCATACGTGATATATACATCCGGCTCCACCGGCAAGCCCAAGGGCGTGGAGATTAGCCACGGCGCTTTGGCTAACTTACTGTGCTCGATGCGACGGGAGCCCGGATGCAGTGAAACAGACCGGCTGCTTGCTGTAACGACTATCTCTTTTGACATTGCGGCCTTGGAGCTATTCCTGCCGCTGCTCTGTTGCGCGACGGCAGTTGTGGCTCAGGAACATGAGGTCAAGGACCCAGGCGCACTATTGGGGCTTATGAAACGGCACGGCATCACCGTGATGCAGGGCACGCCCGCGACCTGGCAGATGCTACTGGACGCGGGCTGGAAAGGGGAGCCCCGTCTCTCCAAAATTCTGTGCGGCGGAGATGCGCTGCCCAGGAGGATGGCAGAGCGACTACTCTCGTGTGCGGAGTCCGTGTGGAACATGTACGGTCCGACCGAGGCGACGGTGTGGGCGAGCATCTGGAAGGTACGCCAGGGCCGAGATGTAGTCGTTGGCAGCCCGATAGCTAACTACCGGATGTATGTACTTGGTGAAGACCTCTCTCCGGTGCCACTCGGGTGCGAAGGCGAGCTTTATATAGGCGGCGCCGGCTTGGCTAGAGGCTACCACAACAAGCCGGAGCTTACTAGGTCGCGCTTCCTCGACAATCCCTTTCACGAAGGCCACCTGTACCGCACAGGCGATCTGGCCCGTTTCGAGACTCCGGAGAGGCTGCGCGTCTTGGGCCGCGCAGATGGGCAGGTCAAGATCCGTGGCTACCGGGTCGAGCTGGGCGACATTGAGTCGGCCATCACCAACCACGCGGATATCTCGGAGACGGTCGTAATCAGCAGAGAGGAGAGGTTAATAGCGTACTGCGTGCGGGATACGGTCGTGCCTGCTCCCAGTAACGCGCGCAAGCCGACGCTCGACAGTGTACTACGTCCCTGGCTGGCCGAGCGGCTGCCGGCGTATATGATGCCTGCATTCTTTGTCGAGTTGGCGGCCTTTCCAATGACACTTAATAAGAAGGTCGACCGTAAGGCTCTCCCGGATCCTATAGAGTTAATTCACCATGTCGCGGCTGAGCTGGTGACCGAGATGGAGCGGAATGTCCGGCTCATCTGGTCAAGCGTCCTTGGTCACGACCGCATCGGCATCCACGATAACTTCTTTCAGATCGGTGGCGATTCTGTGCGCATTGTGCGAGTGCAAAAAGAGCTGGAGAAGCTTCTTGGCCGGCCGTTGTCTCCGGCCATGCTGTTTGAGCACTATACCATCAAGACACTGGCAGCATACCTGGGCAGCACTGAGGAGATCAAGCCCAAACCTGTCCTTCTGCCAGGTCGCGCAGCAGCCAACGAGGACATTGCCATCGTCTCAATGGCGTGCCGGCTCCCTGGTGGTATCACCACCCCGGAAGATTACTGGGAGCTGCTCAAGCGCGGAGGTGACATCAATATGGACGTACCAAAAGACCGCTGGGATGCCGATACCCTCTACGACGCCGACTCAGATGCGTGTGGAATGTCGTACTGTCGGCGGGGTGGATTTCTTAGCTCCGTCGACGACTTTGATGCATCCTTCTTTGGTGTCTCGCCAAGAGAGGCGTGTGCCATGGACCCTGCGCAGCGCGTTATGCTGGAGACAAGCTGGGAGGCATTCGAGCGCGCGGGTTACACAGTCGAGCACCTGCGCGGCAGCCAAACGGGGGTCTACATTGGCGTCTGCAGCATCTCAGCACACTCCCCCGCACGGGCCCTTGCAGATCTCGATGGCTACGCCGTGACAGGCTCTGCCGGAGGAACTGTGTCTGGCCGCGTATCCTACGTGCTCGGTCTCGAGGGCCCGACCATAACGGTGGACACGGCCTGCTCCTCATCCTTAGTGACGACGCACCTGGCGTGCAATGCACTTCGTCAGGGCGAATGTGACATGGCACTGTCTGCCGGCGTGACCCTCATGCTCACCCCTGGAATGCATGTCGAATTCAGTCGGCTCAAAGGTATGTCCCCGGACGGGCGGTGCCGAGCTTTTGCAGCAGACACGCAGGGCACAGGCTGGGCTGAGGGTTGCACAGCTGTAGTGTTAAAGCGTCTGAGCGACGCCGTCCGCGACGGTGACATTGTCCATGCAGTAATTCGCGGAACCGCGATTAACCACGGAGGAAGGACTGCCGCTGGGCTGACGGTGCCAAGTGGCCCGGCGCAACAGCGGCTTGTTCGCACAGCGCTAGCCGCGTCGGGGTTGACTCCGGGCGAGATTGACTATATCGAAGCGCACGGCACGGGAACTAAGCTGGGCGATCCTATTGAAGGTGTGGCGCTAGCTGCAGTTTTTGGCGGAAGTCGGCCAGCCGAGGCGGAGCCACTGTGGATCGGCTCGGCAAAGTCAAACGTCGGGCATACACAAGCGGCGGCGGGTCTAGCGGGGATGCTCAAAGTCATCTTGGCGATGCAGAACAACCAAATTCCTCGAACTCTGCATGCCGAGAAGCCAACGCCGGCAGTGGACTGGCAGAGTGCCAAAATGGCGCTCGTGCAGGAGCCTCAGCCCTGGTTCACCCGAGAGGGTCGACCCCGGCGGGCCGGCATTAGCGCATTTGGCATTGGCGGGACCAACGCGCATGCCATTGTGGAGGAACCTTTGTTACGTTCTGTGCATTCCAAGACATTGTCGGCCCCATTGCCGCCAGAAATTCCGTTTATATTATCGGGCATTACCGATGCCGCCCTATACCAGCAGGCTGAAAGGCTTCAACGGTACATCAAGAGCACAAGCAAGGATAGCAATGCCCGTCTCAGCGAGGTGGCCTACTCGTTGGCGACCACTCGCAACCACTTCCAACGGCGACTTGTACTAATGGCAAAAGACAAGGCCACGCTCCTGGAGACTCTCGGCTCCAGTTCGAGAGCTTTGCATGCTCCTAACCATGTTGGGGAGCCTCGCCTGGCCATGCTTTTCACCGGTCAAGGCAGTCAAGTCTCAGGCATGGGGAAGGACCTTTATCAAGTCTACCCAGTATTTCGCGATGCGCTGAATGAGATCACGGCGCACTTCACCGAGCTAGAGATGCCGCTATTAGATGTTATGCAGGCTGTTCCTGGTAGCGACACCGCCACGCTGCTGCGGCGAACTGATTTTGCGCAGCCCGCTATCTTCGCCTTGGAGATAGCCCTTTGGCATCTCTGGAAGAGCTGGGGCGTGCAGCTGGATCTGGCTCTCGGCCATAGTGTGGGTGAGCTCGCGGCTGCACATGTCACCGGCGTCTTGAACCTCTCCGATGCCTGTCGTCTGGTCGCGGCACGCGGCCGGCTGATGCACGCCGTTTCGACCCAGGGCCGCATGGTTTCGCTAGAAGCCAGCGGGGAAGAGGTAGCAACAGCGATTGAGGTACTCGGCCTCGTCTCCAACGTCGACATCGCGGCCTACAACGCGCCACAGCAGACTGTCGCATCGGGCGACGCTGATGCTATCGAGAGTATATCAGTCTATTTTGCTCGCCTGGGGCGCAAGATGAAGTCGCTTGATGTGTCGCACGCCTTTCACTCCCACCACATGGACAGTATGTTGGCAGAATTTCAAGCGGTGGCTGAAGCTGTGCAATTCCATCCACCACAGCTGCCGATCGTCAGTAGCCTGACGGGTAAGCTGGCTGGAAAAGACCAGCTCGAACGACCCGATTATTGGGTCCGCCAGGCACGCAGGGCTGTTCGCTTTGCCGATGGGATTCAGACATTATATGAACAGGGTACCAACATCTTCCTTGAGCTAGGACCACAGCCGGTCTTAGCCGGCATGGGTGCGGCAAGCTTAGCAACCAACGAAACAATTGCCTGGATGCCGTCGCTCGTTCCTGGCAGGCACGGCGCATCGGTCATGCAGCGAAGCCTCGCAGACTTGCATGTGCGGCACGTGTCCATTAACTGGACTGGTTACTTTGAGCCTTTCGGCTGCTGCCGCCGCGTGGAACTGCCCACATATGCCTTCCAGAGACAGAGTTTTCCACCCTTGCGGGTCACAGGTGCCAGCGACCTATATGCTAATTGCGTCAGCCGTGCAACGCAGCAGCACCAAGCCGATGTCGACATGGATCGCTTCCAGCTCGAAATCGGCTGGCATCGGGTCAATGTTGGCGATGTCACCCTCGGCGGCTCATGGGGACTACTGTACCTGGCCGGTAATGCTGCATGCGCACGGGCATGCGAGGTGAAAACGGCTTTGGCGCAGGCGGGCATTCAGATCCGCGAGGTCAGGAATCTCGAAGATGCCGAAGGGCTGGATGGTCTGCTATGCGTGTTGGACTCGGACGCGGATGATATCATAGGCCAGGCGCGTGATTTGACCGCAAAGGGGCTGACGCAGCTGCAGATGGCAGCCCAGGTTCAATTTAGGCCGTCGCTGGTATGGATCACCCGCCACGCAGTGGGTGCCGGCGCGGAAGAGAAGCTCACGGGCCTGGGGGCTGGGCCGTTATGGGGTATGATGCGTACCGCGCGGAGCGAGCATCCGGAACTCCGGCTACGTCTCATTGATTTGGATCAGGAGACGCCTGCGCCCAACACGCTCGCCTCAGCCCTGATGCTGGGCGACGAGCCTGAATGCGCCGTGCGCCAGGAGCAGGTGCTTGTGCCACGGATGCAGCGCGTGAACTTGGTATCAGTATCGACTAAGCAACCACTCCTCCGAACTGACGGCGCGGTGCTCATCACGGGTGGTCTTGGTGATCTCGGCCAGCGCGTAGCTCGATGGTTGGTAAGCGCACACGGCATCCGTGACCTAGTGCTGATCTCGCGCCGCGGTATGGAAGCTCCCGGTGCGACCGAATTTGTAGTTGAACTTAATGGGCTCGACGCCAAAGTTACCGTGATCGCCTGCGATATGGCCGACCTCGATAGCATCAAGCCGACCATGGCATTGTTCAACGAGAACCGGCCGCTGCGCGGTGTGGTCCATGCGGCCGGCGGGCAGGACAATGGTATCCTCTCGACCTTGACGCCACAGCGATGTGCCGCAGTCTTTGCGCCAAAAGTTGATGGCGCTTGGCATCTGCACGAGTTGACTCGGGATATGGATTTGGACTTTTTTGTGATGTTCTCTTCCATCTCCGGCATCATGGGCATGCCTGGTCACGGCAATTACGCTGCGGCCAACACCTTCCTAGATGCACTCGCGCACCTGCGTCGTGCCCAGCGCCTGCCAGCCACTTCAGTGGCATACGGCACCTGGGAGGGCGAGGGAATGGCGGCCAGGATTGTTGGAACGACGCTTGCTCATCTCAATCGACTCGGCCTTGATATGCTCACCCCGGAAGAAGGCCTGAAACTGTTTGAGAAGGCTGTGCGCAGCGGCCGAGCGCTTACCGTGGCGGCCGCATTGGATCCAGATCGGCTTCAGGGCTATTATGAGGAGCGAGACGGAACACCGCCATTACTTCGTTTGCTGCTGGACCAGGGTGACAGGCGAGTTCACCGAGGCTGGGATCTGCGCAAGATCTTGAGCAAAGCCAGCCCTGCACAGCAACCTGACATTGTGCTGGGCATGGTCCGAGATACTGTGGCCAAGGCCTTAGGCTTTGCGCTGCCGGATGATGTGAATGTAAACCGGCCTCTGCAGGACATCGGAATCGACTCGTTGACCGCGATTCTGATACGCAACCAGCTGGCGAGTCTGACTGGCCTGACATTGACCGCCAGGTTCGCATTCCAGTACCCGAATCTCAAGGCGCTCAGCCAGTTCCTCCTCTCCGAGCTGCAGGAAGATGGGTCGGATTATTCCTGCAGCAGCTCCACTCCTCCCACTACCGCGGCATCGGAGATGCCTCGGCTCAACGTAACTGCCATCATGAAGGGCTGTTTGGAACCCAGCTTCACATTTCACAACGCTGCCAAGGCATCTGTGCCTCCCAAATCCGTGTTCGTCACAGGTGCCACAGGCTTCGTCGGCGCGTTCATCACGCATGAGCTGCTTGAAATAGGCATCACCACCCATTGTTTGATACGCGCTGAGTCTGCCGATCAAGCCCTGCAGCGTTTGGTGGTCACACTCACCAGCTACTGCCTCTGGAAGCCTGAATATGCGCCGCTGGTCTATCCTGTCGTTGGCGACATGGCACAGCCCCTCTTTGGCCTGACGCAAGAAGCGTTCGACCATTTGGCCGACTGTGTCGATGCCATCTGCCACTCGGGTGCACTTGTTGACTGGATGCGCCCACTGGAAGACTATATCGGCCCCAACGTTGTCAGTGCTCACGAGGTTCTGCGTCTGGCCTCATATGGCCGTGGCAAGGCAGTTCATGTCGTCTCGACAATGTCCACGCTACCCAAGTACATGGGCTACGAGATCACGGAGAAGGACCAGGAATATGGTTATGCTACCTCGAAATATATCGCAGAGCAAATGGTGGCAGCTGCCCGTTGGCGTGGCGCCAGGGCATCTGTCTACCGCTTGCCTTTCGTCACTGCCTCGACTGCCACAGGTCACTTCCGGCAAGACCGCGGCGACTTTCTGCATAATCTAATTTCTGGGTGTCTTGAGATGGGCGCCTTTCCATTGTTGGACGCGGACCTGTCAGCGGTGCTGCCCATCGACTACCTGTGCAAGACCATCGTTGCTGTAATGACGCAGGACATCTATCGAATTGGCCAGGATTATGACTTTTCCAATGCGCGCGCACCGAGCTTCAACCACTTCTTCAAGCTTATGTGTGCCGGCACCCCTCGCCAGGAAATTGTGCCATTTCCCAGATGGCGGGAACGGGCATTGGCCTATGCTGCTGCAAATCTGAAAAGTCCACTAGCTCGCATCACCACTCTCCTCGACGGTGTTAATGATGACGAAAGCGCGAATGCTATGGTGACGGGCCCACCAGTCGGCGAACACGTTTTCGGTGCTGACGATTATCCTGTGCCATTTATCGACGTGCAATCTGTGCGAAAGTACGTGACCCGAATCAATGCTGCGCGCATGGAAAGATCCACTATCAATGCAATTGGTATGCCCGTTGTTAGGTGCTCGTAAATCAGTTCGAGATGGTTTGATATTTAATTTTACCTCAACAGAAACGAATATGTAAAAGATTTTTGCTCTTTGTCGTGTACATCAGTCGTATTGCGAAACTGTTGGGATTCCCTCTGACAGCCACCGCAATGGGCCATACAAGCGCACGTTCTGATAATGGCCTTGTGATTGCATGAGCTTTTATTGAGTGAGATTTGCTTTACCTTTTGGGGCAAAATTTCAGGTTTGCAATTCGGAGTTTGCCTGAGTCAGCGATCTAATATTGCAGAGGTAGCAATTAAAGCCTCTGTACGCTTCTAGTTGTCGAGAATGGCTGCCTCGGGACCTCTTCTCAGGTCGTGCATGGCCCCTGGCATCGTTGGCGACGATGTGACATCGTCGAAGCATTCATAGGCTCTGGCAGTACACGACGTAATAATGTTCCGTCAGGTTGTATGAAGCAATATCAAATATCAGAAAAGGATGTGATGAAGGTTTTGCATAGGACATAGATCAACCTGGAGCATTGTCTCAACATCGAGCCCAGACCTAGGCATAGCGGGCTAAGACATTGGATATGAGCTCAAACGTCAGCCGAGGGTAGAATATCATCAAACATGCAAATATCCAGCCCGACTTTGAACGGGATGAGACTGGCACTCATATTTTGGTAAGTTGATACGCTGATCGAGAAAAATAGTTCAGAAGCCAAATCCGAAAGAGTGAAGGATACAGACAGTAGAATCTGGTGCCCCGCGCCCTTGTAGTAACATGATCCATGGGTCTTATTCTCTCTTGTGCCCAACTTTCCCAATTCGATGCAGACCCCACAAGGCCAGGGCAAGCGTCGAAGTGCAAAGGGCAAAGCAAAACCAGAAAGCAGCTCGATATCCCACCATCAAAGCATCAGGGCTCGACTTGTTGGCAAAGCGAGTCTCCGAGGTTATATTGCCTGCAATCAAAGCAACAAGCACCAGACCTACGGACTTGCCAATCTGGCTGACTGTGTTGAAGACACCGCCTGCCAAGCCCTGAGTTTTGGCAGGGAAAACTGATGTGATTAGGAGATTTGCCACCGTGAAAAGGCCGTCAGATCCGATGGGATTGAGTAGATTTGCCACAAAGCCAGAACTCCAGTAGCTGGAAGTTGGCTTTGCAAACGCCATGACCAGTGGTGCCACGCAGGATATGGCAAGGCCAACAACTACAATGACATTTCCAGGGGCTCGATGGACCAATGATCCAGCGACAATGTTCGCAAGTATGCCTGTAGCAGCGGCAGGCAAGAAACGAATCGACGTTTGCAAAGCACTGAGGTTCTGCACGTTTTGGAAGTAGAATGTAAGGATGGTCTCAAGAGCTTCAACGGCACCCCAGGAGAAGAAGACAGTGATGCAAATGACAGTAAAGACTTTGTTTCGCCATAGAGAATTTGGTATTAGTGCTGGCTTGCCCAATCGTTCCTGCCGCCCAACCCAGAATATGAATGTGGGTATTAGGGCAATGGACGTAGCAAGAAGGGCAATGCTGGTTGGTGATTGTATATTTGACACGTTTCCGGTGACTGATCTGTACAATGTCAATATCAAGAAGCCATGTTATCTTGCTGGGGATGCGTACACAAGGACATAAGACATAAGTCCCAGGCAAGTACTTGATATGATTGCACCAATCCAGTCAATTTCATGGGTAATCTGATGCCATCTTTGCTTCCACGTTGAGCCCAAGTCATCACTAGTAGAGGTTGACAGGCCCCAGAGGTTCAGTGCAAAAGTAACGGCCGTGACGGCAGATGAGCCGTAAAATTCAACTCTCCAGTTTGCCAAGTCGGTCAATATCCCCCCAAGAACGAGACCAATAATGAAGCCAGCGGGCTGACCGCCGCCCATAAATGCAAAGGCGACATTGCGGTGATGGCCAGTGAAAGAGCTTGTAATGATGCTGACGGCGCTGGGCAGGCAAAAGGAGGCAGCAATGCCACTCAACCCGCGAAAAAGAATGATCTCTAGAGGGTTGCGGGAGAGGCCACATCCCAAAACAAAGGCTGTCTGCAAGAGCGTTCCTATGAGATACATGTATCTGGCGCCGATTGCATCTGCAATTGATCCAGAAAGTAGCAAAGTGCAACCGCAGGTCAATGCCTGAATCGAAGATGGCCTGGTTTTAAATCAGCACAATTCGGATATTGCAGGATCTAAACATCATACCAGAATAGCAGATCTGGGCCTATTCCAAGGTCAATGGCCAAAGTAGGAAGACTGACAGTAATCATGCCATTCAGCATTGAAGCTGTACCTGTTACCAGGGTAACAGCGGTAATGATAAGGACTGTCTTGCCCTTGGTCTTGACTTGGTAAACGTTGCCAAGCTCGTTCTGGTCATTGTTTCGAATTTGATTAAAGACATCATCTGGATAGGGTGACAGAGAGCGGGAGCTCGTTCGTTGCAGTTCTCCCGTCTTTGACAGCTGACTTGATGGCACTTGAAGCTGTATTTCAACTGCGGTCTGTGACATTCTAGCCCGTACGATTACAAAACCGAAGAGGTTAACGTTTGGAAAAAAGTAATTTTGGAGTACTTGTGAATGCAGGGTGGAAAAAAAAATTATTGCTTGAAGATGTAGTGTTGGCGTGTGGGTGTCACAGATAATTATACGGTGTAGAATCCAAAAACTAGGTTGGTTTCTGATGAATTATGACTACCTACCTACCTAGGTAGCGAGGCGTGATGAAGATATACTCCGAGATCACGTGCCAGGAGTACAAAGAAGTGTGGAAACCCTAGGTATCTACAGATACCGTATGTACAAGGGTCAAATACATTTTTACAACATGGGTAGATTTAGATAAGGAAACGGCAAGATGGCACAGATGGCTTTGAGTGGGTAGCAATGGTGACTTTAAGTGTAGGCCCATTCATTAGTTACTCAATGAAGCCGGCAAATAGAAGTATCTACCAGAGGGTCAAATAACTTTTGATTTCTTTCACAGTCGTGCGGCTAGAAAACCCTTGCTTATCCCATTGGTCTCCATTCAAGTACTCGTATGTTGTCAGTGTCTATTTTATCTTATCTGCTTGGGCCATGAAATGCAGCTTATGATGATGGCTGGCGGGTGAGCATCCTGGATATTATGCAATGCTATTGATAAGGTACACCTTTTACTGTCGTCTTATCTTATCCGGCCGGATCATGAAATCTAGCTGATGCTTACATGCCATAACGCTCGTTGAGGTACTGAGTTGGCTATGAGGATTTCCTACTCCCAAACAATTGCTACCAATCCCATCATCTATAGTTAAGGTATAGTAATCTTAATGGCTTAGCGGACGTAGGGGATTTGCTGAGCAGGCTGACCGGCCAGGAGGACTATGTTATGACTGCTTGATGGGTTAACCTTTATAGTCCGGATAGATTATAGTGGGCATGCTGCTCACTGTTATCAGGATGAGCGTAAGCACCAACACTAGATGCAGCCCTTATTCTTTAGTGTGACAGAACGTCTTTTGAATTTCATCCCGGCGCTAGTACCTAACGTGGGCCTTTCTCGGATGCTTCTCCCGTCCGTCCTAACTTAAGCAGGTAGGTATCTTAGATACCTAGGTAGGTAGGTATTTGGTGTCAGACCAACCATCTGTTTGCCTCCGTAATCATCATCCCCATCCATCCGAAATATTCTCGCTCTTTTTACAGGGGAGTTTCTTTGGTCAACGAACTGTCCTCTGGCCGATTCAGCGCCAGCGTGACTCGGTGCAGATGAGTCGAAGGCGCCGCTTTGTATAGAGTGCCGACGCTAACAATGATCTTTGACGCTTTACTAGTGCCCGTCCACTAATAATTAGGGTAGAGTATTTTGGCCCGAGCTCGATATATTATCTTCCCCTGCCGTGCAGCGAAGAGGCCTCCATTTCTGTCATGTTATCACTCTGGTAGACCATCTCAACCATCCAGAAGAGCATGCCGCAGGCGACGAATATGCAGTCTGAAAAGTCGGAACAATGGAACGAAGGGTCAACAACTACCGTGCTGACGGAGTTGACCTTCGAGACCCCTATGCCACAACCATTTCCACCATCTTCACTTTACCCTTCGCCTCCTCCCAAGTTGATCTCCCCATTTGACTGGACCAGCAGGCGGAAGATCTTCACCACGTGCCTATCGTGCACTGTGACTGTGGTCTCTGGCTATGCTTCCGGCTCGAACAATGCCCCTGGCCCCGTTATGGGAGCGGCCTGGGATGTCTCCCAGACTCTCCTCACCCTCGGCACTACCACCTACTGCATTGGATTTGCTATTGCACCCATGATACTTGCACCTTTTTCGGAAATCAAGGGCCGTGAACCGGTATTTCTCTTCTCTGGTTTGATCTTCTTTTTGTCACAGCTTGGTTGCGCATTGACGGACTCTTTTTCCGGCCTTCTTATTGCCAGATTTTTTGCAGGCGTTGGAAGCTCCACCTTTTCTACCATGGTTGGCGGCATCGTTGCCGACATATACCGCGTTGACGAACGGAATACAGCTATGGCCATCTTCGCTGGTGCCGCCTTCTTTGGGACTGGTCTAGGGCCGCTTGTTTCCGGAATTATTGCATTTCATCTCCAATGGCGCTGGGTTTTCTATGTACAAGCAATCAGCTGTGGCAGCCTCACATTGATTTCGGCCATTTTCTTCCAAGAAACTCGCGAGAATGTGCTCCTTTCTCGAAATGCTCGAGCATTGAACCAATGGTACGCCAAATGCCAGACACTTGGGATGCGTGGCCTGAACGTGGATGGGCAACTGCAACAAGTTCAGTGGAGTATAGCTACCAAAGAAGATTCAGTATCCCTGGCAAGCTTGCTACGTATATCCCTCTCGCGACCTCTTCGTAAGCTAGCTTATTACCCGTGTTGGTGCTGCATCTCTAATTTATTTTATAGGCTTGTTGGTCACTGAGGTGAGTACTTGCAATCATTTCTAGCGATATGCATTGACATGAAGTCGGCTGATCGCTCGCCTCTAGCCGGTAGTCTTCTGGTTTAGCTTGTGGATCGCTTTTGCGTGGGGGGTATTATATCTCTCCTTTGGTGGTCTTCCATTGACATTCAAAGCCGCCTACGGCTTTAACAGCCAGCAAATTGGGGCAGTATTTACATGTAACTCAACCCAAATGGTATTGAGATTTACTCATGGCTAATATTCACCAGCAATGGCCGTCGGAGCTCTTCTTGGGGCCACAGTTAACATCTATTTGGAAAGGCTGCGACCTCGGCTTGGAAATCCGATCATGTCTCCAGAGTCTCGCCTTCATTTCGCTTGTTTAGAATGTTTCATGTTTCCCACAGGACTTTTCATATGGGCTTGGACTTGCAGAGAATCTATTCACTGGATCGTGCCGTCCATCGCCATAGCTATTGCTACGATAGGCATCTATACCATCTTTCTTGCAGTCAACAACTACACGGCCGATACGTATCATCGATATGCAAGTTCAGCTCTGGCTGCACAATCGCTGACGCGTAATATTTTGGGCGGCGTTTTCCCACTCGCAACTGATGCTATGTTTTCGTCTATGAAAATTCCTGGTGCCTTGAGTTTTCTTGGAGGGGTGGTAAGCATCCGCTATACTGTCAAAAGAAAAGTTACAATCGTACTCATAGATCCAGGCCTTGATTCTTAGTGTTGTACCTTGGGCCCTTCTTATATACGGGCCGCGAATTCGTGCTAGAAGCAAGATTGCAAATGTGAGTAGCCATGCCTCTCGATAGATGAATTTTGCTAACAGCTTACTCCAGGAGATTCACTAGTAGAAGACGAGCTCTGGTGGTTCTCAGTGCGAGCAAAGTGGCAAATTCTGAATTCTACCACAAGCAGTCGTGGCCGTAAGTATTACCCAGCAGCAGGGTAATGGCAGCGTGTTTTCAACAGATATACAGGCAATGACATGTATATAACCATCAAAAATAAATTACATAATTTCCTAACTTGTGACTGCCATGATATTCTCGCAACCATAACATCCTGAGTTAACCATGTAAGAGCTTCAAGGCAAGTACAGGAACTGAACCATGTTGAATGGTAGAAAGTAAGTGCATCAGCTTATACTTTAATCAGTACTCTCTGCTAAAAATTTCATACATTTTATTCTCTTTAGTAGGTTTTGATTGTACTTCTGGAAACACTAAAAATTTCTATCAGGCCGGTAAAGTTGGAATTATGTCATTTCTCACTAGTCTTTTTGGAAGATTCTATGGTGTTTTAGAAGTTTGTAATAGCTTTACTAGAAGAATAAAATATAGACTAAGTATCAAATCCAAGAATAGTACAGATACAAGTTATAGTTGTTCTTGAAGTAAGGATTCTGTACAAATCAAGATTTTGTAAAATTGAAGCTCAGCTCCGGACCTGTAAGTAGTTTAACTAATAACAACACAAACTTATGCAAGTTGAACAAAACTTATAACAGGATATAAAACATGCAATGTAAGCATAATATGTAATAGCCTACGTAAGCACATTCTAACCAGCTCTTGCCATAACATAAGCACACAGGGAGGAACATAAGCATAATTTCTACGTTACGGGTAATAATGCAAGTGTAGATAAATAAATTACGCTTCTTACTAAGTCCAAACCACGAGAGGCGTATGAATAATGAACATTTATTAGATTATAGCTATAATAAAGGTACACAAAGATTATGCTTGATACGTGGTAAGCTCTGGGACTTTGTGTCAGTAAGCAGCCGATCATAAAAGTAAGCCTCTGACAAGGTAAGCATTTGTTCATCCTCATTGTATACTAGAAAGGAAGAGGACTTTCTATATATACATTATATATACCGTGTCTGCCAAGATCAGGTTTCTGGACTAACGACACACGGCTTAGATATCAATACATTTTAATCCTAGTAGGAATTACTCTCTTTCATCATGGCGAGCTTAACCATCAATCCTGCAACTTTCAACACGCAAGTTGCCTTTCGCCGAAGCCTAGAAAAAGGGGCATTAATACTTTACGACGAAGTGGAATCGAATCCGGAAAGTCCTACAAACATCTCTGGTAGCGAGTCGGACTCCCAAAATCAGACTACCGAAACCGACCATGGAGATCATGATCTTATTCTCAAGGCCACCAGTGTCTTGATAGCGGATCTCTGCCAGCAATTTGATGGTGGCCACCCTGGGTAAGGTTTTGTTTTGGGAACTTTTTGTTAAGAGCGACAGGCACTAATCTTGTATAGTGGTGCCATAGGCATGGTAGCCATAGGGATTGCTTTATGGCGCTATGCCATGTGCTACTCACCTGAGGACCCTACCTGGTTTAATCGAGACCGCTTTGTTCTTTCCAATGGGCATTGTTGTTTGCTCCAGTACATCTTCATGCACTATGCAGGGTACAGAGACATGACTATGGACCAGCTCAAGAGCTACCATTCTGACCGTCTTGATTCACTTTGCCCTGGCCATCCAGAGATTCAAAACCCAGTAAGAAGACCGCCCTTTAGATTCAAACTATGGGTGCAACCTAATATCTTTCAGGGCATTGAAGTATCCACCGGACCCCTTGGTCAAGGTATTGCAAATGCAACAGGGTTGGCAATGGCTGCTAAACACCTTGGATCCATATTCAACCGCCCGGGGTATCCCATTGTTGATAATACGACCTGGTGTCTTACTGGGGATGCTTGCCTGCAAGAAGGCCCTGCTCTTGAAGCAATAAGCCTTGCAGGTCAATGGGGACTCGACAATTTGATTTTGATCTATGACAACAATCAAATACAGAGCGACGGACCAGTTAGACTGACAAACAGCGAGGATATCAACCTCAAAATGAAGGCGTGCGGCTGGAATGTTATCAATGTTGACAATGGCTCCCGGGACGTCAATGGCATTCTCTCCGCAATTCACTCAGCCAAGGTGCGAAATGGCAAACCGACTTTCATCAATGTGAAGACCGTCATTGGGATCTACACAAAGAACTCGAATACAAGAAAAGCACATGGAACTCCGTTGGGAGAGGAGGAAACTTTCCATCTGAAGTCCCGCCTTGGTTTTGATACAAATTTGAGCTTTGATGTACCAAAGGATGTCGCCGACTTCTTTGCTTCCATTCCTATCCAAGGTGCTGAACATGTCCGCAAATGGCAAGATCTGCTTGGAGAGTATGAACGACACTATCCGGATTTGGGTACTCGGTTTCGGGAACGTATGAATGGCAAAGCTCCAGAGGTTATAAACACAGTTAGCCCGTTTGATCTATCGTTGAACGTCTCGGGGTGGTCAAACTCTCCGTTGTCAACAAGAGATGGTTCTGCTTATGTCATTCAACCATATCTGAAAAGGCATGATTGTTTCATGGTTGGCACTGCGGACCTGGACTCGAGTGTGGGGCTTGCATGGGAAGGCAAAGAAGACTTTCAATCGGTAAGAACCAGTACAAGCGCTCACTAAGTCAACGTGCTCACATGTGTCAATAGCCAAACCTATCCGTGGCAAAAGAGTTCCGAGGGTCCTATACAGGACGATATATTCACTTTGGTACTAGGGAACATGCCATGGCAGCTATTTCCAACGGCATTGCAGCTTACCATCCTGGTACCATTATTCCCATAACTTCAACTTTCCTCATGTTCACGCTTTACGCTGCGCCAGCAATTCGAATGGCTGCTCTACAAGATCTCCAGGTGATCCACATTGCCACTCATGACTCCGTGTCGATCGGCGAGGACGGTCCTACTCACCAGCCTGTAGAAGTGGCAGCATTGTACAGAGCGATGCCAAATTTACTCTTCATCCGTCCGGCGGATGTTGAAGAGCTTGAAGGAGCATGGCAGGCAGCAATCGCATCGACCAAAATGCCAACCATGATCAGCCTGTCTTCAGAGCCTACCGAGCAATTCCCAGGGATGACCAACCGCCAGAGTGTACTGAAAGGTGCATACACGATCATCCAGAATGAGCGAGCAGATGTGACACTTATAGGTGTTGGATCAGAGCTCGAGTTCGCGGTGCAGACGCACAAGTGCTTAGCATCAAAAGGCATTGCTGCACGTGTCGTTAGCTTCCCTTGTCAGAGACTTTTTGAGCAGCAGTCGCGGGAGTACCGACGAGAAACATTGCAACGCAATAAAGGCATTCCGGCGGTGGTGATTGAAGCGTTTGTCTCAAATGGATGGGAACGTTATGCCGATGCTGCAGTATGTATGAAAAGCTTTGGAAAGTCGCTGCCGCCACGGCAGGCACAAGCGTATTTTGGATTTCAGAAGGAGAATATTGTAAAAGTTGTCATGGCGTTCTTGGAGGACTGGCACAATGGACAAGTACAGGGTGAATTTCAGGAACTTGCGCAAATTAGAATTTAATATACACAACAAGCTGAACGTGCGATTCCTGGGCGCTGGACGCTTGATCTACTCAGGCAATCGAATGGTTCCCATTGAGAGGCCAGCCTGAAGGGTTAGTCTGAATATTCTCAGCTCCGGAGATTCTTGCTCCTGAGCCTATTTTCATAGCATAGTAGTTTATAGCACAGTAGTGTTGAAAGAAATGGCATTCCAGGGCAATCTTGATTCCTTATATAATTGAACTATATGCAAGAGTCAATTAATTGATACAAGGTTAATTAATACAAGGCTTGCTTTTTTGTTTAACATTATGTTTTTAAGAGGAGTTAGACTTTGAAGTATTTTTAATATTGAGGGCAGAGGGTTACTGGTATAGTATGGTATAATATAATACAGTATAATATGTATATATACAATACATATACATATATATATATATATATACCCCATACTTAAAAAGCCCCATTATGATCCGATTCCCATTCTAATTTAAAATACCGCTGTTGTATGTTCGTACCAATCTATGATTTAACTAGACACAGACACACCAAAACGCCCTCTACTGCCGGGCCGGCGCCTCATCATCATCCAGCGGCGTCACCTTCTTCACCACCCGTGCCGGGCTCCCTACGACCACACTCCAGGGAGGCACATCGCGCGTCACCACCGCCGCCGCGCCGACGGTGCAGCCATCTCCGATCGTGACGCCGGGCAGGATGACCGCGCCCGCACCGATCCAGCAGTCGTTGCCAATCGTAATGGGCCGCGCAAACTCGACATTGGCTCTGCGGCTCTGGACCTCGACTTCGTGCGTGGCGGTCAGGAGCGAGACATTGGGCCCGCACATGACGCGGTCCCCAATCGTCACCAGCGCGCAGTCGAGAATGATCAGATTGAAATTCGCATAGAATCTGTCGCCCAGCCGGATGTTGCAGCCGTAGTCGATGGCAAAGGGGGGCTCGATGAAGACTTCGTCGCCTTTCATGTCGCCCATGAGATCGCGGAGCATGCCCAGTCGGGCGCGTTCTAGCGCTGCTGCCGCTGCTGCTACTGCTGCTACTGCTGCAACACTCCCTCCTTCTCCTCCTTGTCCGGCGGTGGTCGCCTTGTTGTCCTCGGCAGAAGTGGGGAAGTAGTGGTTGTATTTATGTGCCCAGGCGCGCGCTCTGAAGCGCGCGGAAGCTAACTCGGGCACGAATGCATTGTATCTTTTGAAACAGGCGTGAACCTCCGTGAGCTATTTGACCAATGGTATCATTGAACCCGCATTCTCGATGGTTGGCAACTTAAGGAGAAGTTTGAACTTTGAGTCTTTGAAGAACACAAGGCGGGGCCAGAAAAGTAAGAAGGGGGGGGAGAGGGGAAACAAGACAAAAGCAAGACAAAAGCAAGACAAAAGCACAACAAAAACATGTATTCGATTCGAACAACTAACTTTGATATAATCAAGGTAAAGGGCAATTACGGCACTTACAGCATTCCCGAAATCATCTTCTCATAGTCTTCGCACCATGGCACATGCGCCAAGGTCCTGGCTTTTTCTAGTTCTCTTGGGGCTTTCTCTTGAGCTGCCATTTTTAAAAGTATATTAGTTGGATAAGGTGTCTTTTAAGACCAATAAGACCAATGGACACTGTGTAGTAGTCTTGGTACTTTACACAGTAAATCTGGACCAAGTATAGGATTCTTGGAGGTAGGACTACGGAGGAACGGAGGAACGTAGATCTGACTAGTCACCGCCTCCACCAGTCTGTGATCACCACTCAGATTGCCTATTTAGGAAAGACGTCAACAATTAATCAGCAAATGTTATGCTGAGAATAATGCTGCTGGTCACTGGTGATTTGCTCAAAATATGCAACATTTACACGAGTACCAGACTGATCGATAACCACCGCCTTTCCTTGAGGGTGAGCACTGTGAAGTATTCCACAACATGGACTAGAAAAGTAATCATCCGCTAATAAAAAAAAGAAGTAAAAAAAGATTAAATAAAGAAAAGAAAAGAGGAAAAAATACCAAATATTGAGGGGTAAACGGAAAAAATGAAAACGAAAATAAAAATAAAAAATTAATGCATATATGGATTTAGTCAAAAAGACCTCCGAGACCAGACGAACGGACGTCCTAAATGCCATAGTTTGTTTCGATTTACTATCATGTAATTTGTGGAGACCATTATACGGACTGTGGCCATGAAACTCAAATGCATAATCTGTAACTTAAAGGTTTAGTATTAAAAATAGACTGAAGGGTCCGTTTCAGGTTCGTTTCGAGAAAGGACGTAGGAAAAATATTTTAGCTGTGAGTTATCGCATGGAGATACTCGAATTCGTTTTGTCAGAGGGCTTGTACATTTTTACTACGGTTTGTACTATTACTGAATTTATTGTGGATCATCAGATAGAATTAGTCCTATATGCTTGGACGTCTCGGTATAACAATTTAAATCATCCCCGTTGCAATAGGCAATTGGATTGCAACATGCCACTGCCATCAAGCTTGGCAAAATAAGACCATAAATGCATAAGAGTCAAGACAAAAGATCAACATAAGACACACAGCACGAACTGATCAACCACATTCTCATTAATAACCACCCGCTTGGCCCTGATCGTGCATGGGCTTGAAAGTCACCTCGACGGGCTGCTCACCGATGCCACGCCTGCGGGCTTCCTCGAGGATAGCAACCGTCGCTGACGCGCCGATGCGGGTCACGCCGAGCTTCATAATATGAAGAAAATCATCAAGGTTGCGCACGCCGCCGGCAGCTTTTATCTGCACCTTGGGGCCTAGATGCTGACGCATCAGTGTGAGATGCTCGAGCGTGGCGCCTTTATAGTTGTACTCCCCACTGGGCTGCTTGACGAAGCCAAATCCAGTGGACGTTTTGGCAAAGGCGACATTCAGCTCCGTGCATATTCCACAGAGCTTGATGATGTGCTCGGGCTGGAGGTAGTCGTTTTCAAAAATGACTTTCAAAATGGCGCCCTCCGCAGCAACGGCCTCGTTGATGAGCTGGATCTCGTGGGAGACGTAATCCCAGTCCTGTCCGAGGACTTTGCCAATGTTGACTACCATGTCGATTTCAGACCCGCCTGCTTTGGCAGCCTCTCTGGCCTCGGCGACTTTGATGGCTGTGGTGCTGTTGCCGTGGGGGAAGCCAATGACGGGGCAGATGAGGACGTCACTGCCGCCGAGCTCGGCTTTGGCAAGTTCAATAGAGTACGGCTTGATGCAGGCTGTTGCCACGTGGTTTTGTCTGGCAGTTGCAAGACCCGCTTTGATCTCGCTGTCGGTCATGCTAGGGTGAAGAAGAGAATGGTCAATCATTTTGGCGAGTTGGGGGAGAGTGACGGTTATAGAGTTTGCGGTGGCCATGCTTGTAAGTTGTCTGCTTTTGCTCCTGTGTCTCGTGAACCGGACAGTGTTGCAGGAAATGCAGGCTTGGTAGGGGGAAAAAAAGGTCAAAATGACATGGAAGACCAACGTCTCGAAGGCTTCTTGTCCACGTGGTGATGATTTATGAAGTCCACTATATCCTCAAGCACGTAGCAATAGTACAATACCCTGATCAAAATAGCAGCTGTAAATTGTTTTAGAAAAGACAAACAGGCCGGATTCTCACCATTTCCGATCTGAGGTCAACATTCCAACAAGATAGAGGCTCCCCTCAATTCTACCTTGGAGATGCTCAATCGATATATCGGTGATTTGTACATTGCACTGCTCATGTTGCAGTACGGGGTAGAGCTCGGACAACAGCACTAACCCCCATATTTCGGTTGACTCTAACTGTATTTGGAGATACTCCTAACCAGAGACCCTCAAGCTAATTATAATTTCCGGTGAGGGGTTGGATACTTTAGCGGACTTGCGGGGTAACCCGGGAGTACAGTAGTCGAACCCTGGACTCGTTCACCAGATCTACCATGTCAGATCGACCATGCAGCTCTCTAGCACGACTGCACCTTGGAAACGTTAAGATGTAGTATTGCTGTGTAAAAACTACTTGATTACATCAAAGGCACCTTTCTAAACTTTCTAATGTTCGAAAACGTATTTTATTGATCGAAATTGTGTTCATCCATGTTTGCAATTTTCCACCATAGTCTTGTGAATTCCCAAGTTCCCAATGAATTGATGCGTTGACACTTCATGGGCCGAGCGCCGTATATATACATATGCAAATAAATATATATGTTACAAGGCAGAATATAAATCTCGAAATGAAATGATGATGACGATGAAAATAATGATGCGATGACCGCCGCTCTATGATGAAGAAGAAGAAGAAGAAGAAGAAGAATTGTTGAAATGCGGGGAAGGAAAAAAAAAAAAGAGAAAAGAAAATAGGAAGAAGCACGGTTGGTGCTGCAAGCCAGACGTGTCATATAAGGAGGTAGGGTATATAAGCAGTACATTGCGACGCACACGCACACGCAATACCGAACAGATTAGTCGGCTATGCCCGCGGCAGTTTATGTTTGCGAGATATTCTTCGAGTATATGCAACGCGAGCATGAAGATGGCGAAATCCGATCTAAATGATTAAAAGAAGATTGGAAAGGTGCTTTTCATCTCCTTGATCGATTGGGGCCCCATCTTCTTGATCCAGAGCTGTTGCCATTGGCCGACCATGCCGAAGGAGGATTATTACTATCGTCGGCGAAGCGAATATTGGTCTGACGTCGAGAATGTACGGGCTCGGGTTCAGTCAATGAAGGCGCGGAAGACGGTGTGCCGCTACCGCTACCACTGCCACTGCCACTGCCGCCAGGACCTTCTCCGCGACTGCCGGCGCTCGGTCCAGAAGCCCTATAACTGCTCGGCGGCACGCGCTCGGTGTCGTCGTCCTCAGAGTCTTCTTCGCCCGAAGCAGTCGACACTCCTAATGCAGCTTCACGACGCCTTCGCTCGGCAGCAGTCTCGGGTTCGCGGCCCGCAGAGTCGCGAGTGGATGGGGTTTCAACCTCTCCGCCTGCAGTGCCTTCATCGCGTCTCCGGCGAGGAGGGACGCGTTCTGTGCCGTCGTCATCCGAGTCATAGCCTTGCTGAGCAGCAGCTGATGGCGGCGTGACACCGGCAGAGACACGACGTGTAGCGGCTGCGGCCTCGCGACGGCGTTGAGCGGCAGTTCCACTCTTGGCGTGTCGTGCTAGCTCTTCCGAGACGGGGTGGTAAGGAATTTCGCGCTCTTCAGAGTCAACGAGTGTGAGCCCCTCGGGTCCCTTGGGGATTTCCTTTTCTGGATGAGCCTGTTGAATCTTGGCAATGGATCCCCGCCGTGCAGAGGGCGCCGGATCGCCATGGGGACTGCTGCTTCCGCCACTGCCGTCGCCGGAGGCGGTGCTGCTACTGCCTGGCTCGTTTATTGCAGGGATATCACTGCCACTAATGGCAATCCCGGCGTCACCAATGCTCTTTCTCAAGGCGGCGTCCTTGTAGTGCTCTGGTGCGTCGCTCTGCTGGAGGGCTCTGGCGCGTGCTTTGGGATCGAGTTGCGAAATTTGCTTGATGAAATCACCCTTGGTCATCCGTTCGCCACCAGCAGTAACGGTGAATCGAATGCGTGCATCGTCTTCAGCTTGCTGGCGCTTGTTCCGTTCCTTTTTAGACTCGGGATCAGGCTCCTTCTCCTTCTTATTCATGCCCACCCAAGTCCCCATGCGCTGCAATGCTTGTCGGCTCGGTCCCTCGCCCGCTTCCGCCTGAGCTTGCTTCGAGCCAGGTATGCTGTACTTCTTGACGACTTCACCGTCCTCATCTTCCACAATGATAGTATTGCCAAACTGGTAGGCCAAGGCAGGGCCACGTCTGCGCTTGTGCTCGGCCGCCTCTCCATCGCCGGTTCGGGAGCGCTTCCAATCTTCCCACTTCTCCTTGAGACTCCGATTCGGTTTCCCGACGCGTTCCGCATGGTGCTGCACCTCCTGTTTGATTTCTTCCTTGTCCTTGTTTGTTTCCTTGGCCATGGCATGTTCGAGTGCTGGTCCAATATGCTCGTGCTTTTCGTGCTCTGCCCGGGATACACCATGCTCAACGTCGCCTTCTTTTCGAGCCTCTTCCCCGGCCTCTTTTACGTCTTCTTCCTTTTCGCGCTCCGAACGACCACGCTCATCCTGTTCCTTGAGCACGTTTCCTTCTTCGTCCTCGATGATTATTTCGTCTCCTTCTTGGTAGGCCTCCAATTCCTCCTCCTGCGCACTGCCGCGGCGAGAGCGATCCTCTTGGGGCGACTCGCTCTCGTGGGGCGTTGATTCGTCGCTCCTCTCGACAGCCGTATCAGATGGACTCCTTTCCTGACGTTTCATCGGCATGATGGCTGACTGGCTGATAGGGCCACCGGGGCCCATGGACGGCACGTCTCGTCTCCTCCGCCGGCTCAGAGGCCGTAAGCTCGAAGATCGATTGTCGTGAGTCGGATATTCTTCTTCCTTTTGGCGCCGCAAGAAATTTCCAGGGAGGCCGATAGGACCAAGAGTACCGGGCTGGATTTCAGAAAGCTTTTCGACAGACGAGTCGGTATCATCTGGTCGGCGCATCGACATGGAGCTCTTGGCCTGAGATGAAATACGAGGAAGTCGATTCATCCACGAAGGTCCTTCCTCGTTGGCTTGCGTGTATGACATGGTGATGGTGAGGGTGTTGATGTGCTTGCCTAGCGTGAACACAGCAATGGAAGAGCCATGAACAAGAATGGATGAGACCACCAGAAAGGTCGTAATGGGCCAGATTAGATATTCGAGTGCATAATTGGGGGAACCCGGCGGCGGCAGCTTGGCCAAGGGCGTCGTCGAGTCGGTCTCCAGCTCTGCACGGGCAAGGATCGCAGCAAAGATGGCGCCGACACCAATAGGACCAAAATGCCCGGCAAAGAGTGCTTCTCGCCACGTTTTTATATCCGGTATCACTGGCTTCAAGGCCATCATGATAGGAATTCGCCGGAAGAAAATAACAAAGAGGGCAATGACAACCAATCGCCAGGGCGTGGTGCCGTGCGCAGGCGCATTGTACTGCTCCCAGGGGATGATGGAACCGAAATAAACAAAGTATGCCAAGTTAAGCAACAAGTCAATAACGTTGGATACGTGCGACTCTTCGGTCTTTTGCAGGAACCATCCATCATTACTGAAACCCACGCCGGCGGAGAAGCCCACGAGTAAATCGTCGATGCCAAGAATGCTGCCCGAGCCGGCGCAGAAAAGCGCCAAAACAAAGTAAAAGACGAGAAAACTTTCTCGATCAACCATTTCGCGTTGTTCAGCCCATTTGATTGCGTGCCGGCCAAGGTACCCGATGATGAAGCCGTAGATGGCTCCAAAGACACATTCGTAGAGAATTGTCAAGACGAACCAGTGAAAAGACACCTCGTTGGCGTCCGGGCGGTAGTGAATAAGGTAGAGAGACAAATAAATAAAAGGAAAAGCCATACCATCGTTGCAGCCGGACTCGGCGGATAGGACGTCACGCAAATGTTTGGGTACACGTTTTGCAAACTTACCCTTACCCACGACAGACGATGCCAGGACAGGATCCGTAGCCGTGACACAAGCCGCACAGCAGAGTGCTTCGAGCCAGGACAGCGGCGGAATCATCCACCAAATGAAAAGACTGGTCATGAGCCAGCCAAACGTCATGACGGGAAGCAATAGGAAGACAACTGAACGCCAGTGCCTCTCCATGTAAGCGCGCGGCAATTCGACGCCGACGGCAAAACATTGCACGACCAAGACGATGCGCGAGCATTCTAACGTGATCTGATCCACGTTACCCCATGAGCCCGGATTGAACAGATTGGCGGCATGCGGACCAAATATTATACCGCATATGGTTGCGACGGCGGCTTCACCGAGGTATAATCGCTCCTTGATGAAGGAGGAGCAAAGCATGAACAGGCTAGTAAAGCCGCCCAGAATGATGTAGGCCAAATGAGGCCGATTTATCGATAGCTGATTCCAAGTCATGATTCCCAATCGGTGATGAAGGCGCTCAGCTTATAGCGGTAGGACTGGACGTTGGCGAATACTGTAATAGTCGACCGGCCGGCGAGTCGACGCGCTCGCGGGTTCGCTGTTCCTCCGGAACCTGGCATACACTGTTCGCTTGCCAGCTATTTGATTGACGACCTAAATCTATTCGGAGAGTAGTATGGACGAGCGTTGCAAGCAATTCACGGCCTGCAAACGACACCTCCGGATCTTCTTATCCTGCCCCAGGCCACACTCAGCTGCAGCATCAATGCCGTCCACGCCCGGGAGCCCAAGATGCTGAGAAATTTATAGCGGCTTATGATAGCAGGATAATATCGAGAATCTCTCCAGAGATAATGAGGAGAACCAGCGACGAAGGCGGTACGAATATCCGGCTGAGTGGGGGTTTCTCGAGGTTCTTCGACCTAATCGAACGTACGGAAAAGGGGATCAACCGAAGAACGTCGAGAGGACTCTAGGGGATCGAATCGCACAGAGGGATGGAGTACCCTGCTCTGAAGATTATAAGATTGGGAGGACGAACAAGAAGGTGAAGAAAAAAAAATGAGAACGGCGCTGGCCGGTTTCCTTGTGCCTGGGGGGAATTGGGGAGTGTGGGTGGACGATTATGGTGTCAAAAGTCGGGACTGTAAAAGTCTTGGCTTTCTTCACAACTCGGCGAACAAGCCACCTATGGCCTTGTTTCTTTTTTTCTCTTGTTTGTCTACGGTCTCTTAATTCCCGTACGTTCACTGCCACCCTTTCACATACAGGGCAGGCTTGCCAATTCGTGTCTGCTCTTCGGGTTTTCCCCATGGAAATCTGTTTGGTGTCTTGGCTGCGACGCTTACGGAGCGCCAGTGAACCAATCAGATTCCATTCAGTCCCCAGTCAAGAAGTCGTGGGGGAACCTGCATCTGCCAACCTCAAGTATCGGTACTTTTGGTGACGTATTCCCTATCGCCCCTCCCCACATTAAATAGCAGGATTTTTGGATAAGAAGCTAGTACCAGTACATGGCGCAGGATTAACAAAACTCCGCCAAGCCTCCATTTCATGCGCGCCCCAAAGCTGCAATTCATCACTTCATCGTCTTTCCCACATGCGTAAGGTAAGAACTAATCCTGCACAATTGGACCGTCCATGGCCATTGCTAGATAAGGCCTTGAGCCTCGTGAAGGGCATAAATGTAAATCACCACAAATATGACTTCCGTCATCATCTATACTATGCAAGCATACACGCCTAATCGTTTATCATGATCTGTTTATTCTCGTGAATGTGAATTTTTTTAGTCGCTCTCGGCAATGACGTCGCTGTGGAGAGAGGCCGTCAACCAGTGGGAAAACGACGGAAGAGAACGAGCGAGGAGGTCCAGGCCAGAGGTAATATAACCGAGTCTGTATCGGAGTAGTCCAACTCAGAACACGCGTATCGGTGCATGTTTGCGCCGCAGTGCCAAGGTGATACTGCATGGGAAGGGCGATTCCCACTACCTGGGCTGTCCCGGGAATGCTCAAGCCCCCGATAAACTCCGACGACACCGAGGGACCCTTCGGACCCATTTCAACACTCCACAATCAGCCGTCATCCTCATCTGATATGTATACACGACTATCTGATTATTGACTGTTTCTTTCAGCAGTACAGAGTACCTGAAATGTTCTCTAGCTCAGACTAAGACAAAAATATATTCTGCCTCAAACGCATACATCGAACTTTCATCTGGTATTTAAACGCCTCATATGAAATCTCAAACTCTCCGTGCACGTCAATGAATCCCTAGACCACGTGGTCATCTATCCTTTTATTGTTGTACACGGGCTGTTGCATACATATCAAATCCTCTAGTGACCCGCATTTTTTGAGCCCAGGCCATGACAGAATGCCAGCTAATACTGAGCTATTGTTCATCCATCGTCGCGACGTCCCGTGCAGCATACCAACACTTTTTCAATGTTCCCTTGGGCTCCTACGATCACCGCATGGTTTCAAATCCCCGGTATCGGACCCTTTACCATGTAAATAATGGGAACCACGTCCCGAATGCATTGCATGTTGCATGTTGCATGTTGCATTTTGCATTTGCATAGGCTGGCATTGGATTCATACCATTCCTGGGTCCCACGTGCCCAACCCCACGAAGGAGCGTTACTACGGGGTGCTCGTGTCTTCCCACCACGATAGATCAAACAGAGCACAGAAATCCCAAAAAAGGCCAGCATGTCTTTCACTATCCTGGCAATTGAGAGAAGGTGGTCCAGTATCAGAACATGCATCCCGGAAATTTTTCCCGAGTCTTTTGTTGCCCTGAATGGGAATTGGATATTCGATACTCCAGTGCAGATATCCGTTGACACTAAAAAAAATGGTTCGAAAATTGCGCGGTATACGTTTACAAAAAGCAAAAAGGTATCGCAAGGCAGTAGCCCCGTCCATCCATGATTCACGCCAGTCTTATCAACAACGCCATTAACCAGATATTCCCAGGCTTTAACCAAGAGCGGGGAGGTAGTGCGCGATGTGTGTAACAGTGTAGCCCGATGCCAAACCGACATCTCAAGCTACCGTCGTCAATTGACATTTTCCTCTATATTTCCAATGAATCCAGACCCCAAATCTGTACGTGCTTGGCTGCCTCCGGCGGGACCCGACGGACCAGTCGCTTGTACACAGGCTGGCCTCTGGGGCCGGTTTCCGAGAGCTGGACACTCGGACCGCAATGGAAGAGGAGGTCCCCAATACCGACCCACCTGAGGTTCTTGTACGTGGGTTTCACCATTTCGCGGCCTAGCTTTTCTTCAAAGGGTATATTGCTGGTTTCCAATGCGTATTTGGTGAGTTCAGACCCGTGTGGCGCCTCAAGGATGCGAATTGCGTATAAATGCGGTAAAAAAGGTAAAAGGAGTCGGAGAATTTCATAAACGTCAGAGCGGATACTGAGCCCCAGTTGCTCGAGATTCGGGCAGCCGTGGACTAATCGGCCCAGTTCATCCTTGTCGAGCATCCAGCGATTTGACAATAGCAGACACCGCACGCTTGGCCCATGGTGCTGGCATAATGCATCTAGGAAGGCGGTTTGGAGAGAAAGTTCAGGTGTTTCTAAGCATGAAGGAGGGGTCATATCTGGCGTAGAAGTGCCACCTATGGTGGATGACAGGTTGGAGGGTGATGTCTCAATGCTGCCACCGGCCGAGGAAGAAGGAGAAGCTTTTGAACTAATGATGTAAAACTCTCGAAGACCCTTAACCAAAGTTAAAGAGTCCACACCAAGTTGAGAGACCTGATCGCATCGTACATATTTGAGCGCAGGTATCACATCTTTCATACCCCATCCCTGGTCAACAAATGCGGTTAGATTGTTGCCCGCGCCATTCTCCGCGCCAGGGCTATTAATCGCAGTTATCGACTCCATGAGTTTTGGATCAAATGCGCGGTCGAATTCGCCATTATTGTGCGCGTATAAATTGGCTATAGAAAGGTGTCTGAGTGGCAGAGCGTAGTTGGCATTTATACATCTTCCAAAATATGAATGTAGCTGAACACTAGGTTCAGCTTCGTTGCGCATTCGGGGGCTCCAATGAAGTCTTAGCTCACGCAATTTTTTCGAACCGAGCAGAAGGAGCGATATGTCGTCTGGGTAGCAAAGTGGATCGATATTGAGGACTTTAAGGCTGCGAAGGCTTGGGATCGGCGGGATGACACTGACAGGTCGAGGGACTCGAGATGTAGGGAATTTGAGAGTCAAAGAAGTCAGCTTTGGTCGCAAGGATAATCCTTGGTATAGATTTAGAAGCGGTTTGGTTCCAAGCTCCCAGCTGTGATAGTCATTAGCCATAGTAACCCGGAATGAATCATTGCAGTTAAACTAACTTGACCGCCTCAAGTTTCTCCATCCTGTCGATGGCCGCGCGAATCGACATGTTCAAGAACATGGTCCCGTCAGGTATCCTGCCCGATTTTGCGAATTCCTTGACGTTATTTTCGGATACCTCTCCCACGACTTTGAATGACCGGACCAAGCCTGCCACGTTTCTGGTAACGAGTGCATTGAGTCCCATTGCAAACGGGCTTGCGCCACCATGACCCTCAGCTCGACCATTGAAATAGCGAATCTGTGCATACGACCGGAGTGTGACTTTTTCGTAGAGTTGAGGCACAGTCATATAATGGAGGACCCGACATGTCCGGCAGACTCGCGCGAGGTCGGCAGGATCGTCAAGCTACATGCTTATATCTCTCAGCGGTGGACGTAATTAGAGACATTATCGTATCGCCCACTTTGATCAACTTACGTGCGTTACGATTAGGGCAATCAGATTTAGCGGTAGAATAATCATCCGCTCGCCATTGTCGTTGCGCAATTCAGCCACCGAGGAAGAAAACATATTCCCGCTCATTGCGGAATGCATTGTGTAGTCGTCTTCCAAGAAGAGGACAATGGAAGTTGCGACGAACAATTTCACATCGATATATTTATTATTGCAATTGATTTCTCGAGATTTGTTTTGGAACAGGTAGAAGTGGACCCAAGGTAGCAGCGAATGAAAAGTTCAGGCCGTCATATATGGTGCTAGCCTTACGGCCCTGCGGGCGACGAATTCGAGAAATCGGCAGCGTTGCCTAAATTATTAACAAGGTGCATTAAAGGTTGCTGGTGTCAACGGGGCATTTTGGCCGATGCCGGGCGCGCCGCAATGTCAGCTTATGTAATACAGTTTTGCAGTCAAAGGCAGACGCCAAACAAAAGCCAGTGATCAAGTAGGGAGAAAAGCGATCAGATGTTACCTCCCTCGCTCCTACTCATAAAAGCATCTTTCTAATACACAGACTAAAGACAAAAGTTATATAGTAGACCCTCACTTAATAAAGATAAAATAAAAATAAAAATACAAATAAAAATAATTCTCTTTCATTAAAATAAAGCGCCTCGCCGTTTCGCATCAAAAGCGACTCTAAAATCTGTGCCATTTTGGGGGTATATAATACAAATACACGCGCTGTAGCTTCCTGTACATAATTTAAAATCGTTGGTCCATACAACCAACATCAAATGCGTCTGCCACATTTTGGACAGTCAAGGTATATTCAGAAAAACTAGTTTCAGGAGGTCAGAGCCCCAGGCCATCGAAAGCGACCCACATGTTAAGCGCACCCTCCTGGAGGGGGATGTACAGTGTCTGTTAACTTGCCGTCGCCAGGGGCGCTTGTGAGTACAGCGCCTTCTGCCGAGGAAGAAGTAAGTGCTGCATCAGCCGTATTCCTCTGAGATGATGAAAGAGGTGGACTTTCAGAATTATCTGATGATAGATCAAAGGCTCTACTGCGCGTTTCATGCGAAGGGGGTATCTGTGGAACAAAAGAAATGCTTTGTGGCCGGTCCCTTGAGGGCGGCATCTGAAACGGTGTGGGAGGATGCCGTGAAGAGGAGTAACCAGACGGAGGAGAGAGGAATCGAGCTGAGGTGCCGTTTGTATTCTGCCCGTTGAGCAGCTCGTGATTGACAGCCTTTCCTTGGGTAGCACGAGAAGAAACTCCTGTCTGCGGCGGTTGCACAGGGCTAGCTTCCTCATCTGGCATCACCTGCGCTGGTTCCTGCGAGGACCCGGGGGACCAAGGTCGACCACGGGGCTGAGCGGGAATGATAGTCAGCGGTAAAGGAGTTGTTGTACGTGAATGTCGAATCCGCTGTGCTCGGGTGGGAAACCCGAATCTGGACAATACACCGCCTGCCGGCGTGCTTTCATCCTGGACTGATGTTGATGATCCAACCGATAAGCGCCTGTCCACGACCATCCCACTCGCCACCTCTGGCGGAGGAGAGGCGCGCTTCCGTTTGAACGGATTGATGACCTTGTGCCATCGGGCTTCTCTATCGGGTCGAGAAGGGTCGACGCCATCATCGCGGTCATGGGTCGTACTCGAGGAGGCATCTTCTGAAGATGGAGTCTTTGGCTCTCTGTTGGCTAGCATGGGATTACCATCTTCAAGGCTCCGTGGGTGGATGGCCGTTTCCTCGGGTATCGGCGGTGTCGAGTCCGACACGGAATGGTAATGCACCGCATAAACAGTACTGGTAGCGCTCAGGCTTTCGACGGCACTGAGCGGAGTGGTACTAGTCGAAGGTATTTGAGAGGGATGTGGATATGATGCCGGGTGTCTGCCCGAACCATGGGCCACGACTCCATTATCTCGAGCAGCGGCCTCCCCTCCGGACTCGCGATTGTCTCGCCGCTGGTGAGAGCGACCAACACGGAACGCAAGACTGGACATTCCTCTTCTGCTCGTGCTTGTATTGGCAGGTTCCGGTCTCTGGACCGGCATCCCTCCATGGTCGCCTCCCTGGCCGCCACGCCTCGGCCCGGGTCTTGAGACCTCCTCGGAGGGAGTGATTTCCAACATCTCATCACCATCGAATATTTCACGTCCCAGGATACCATCTTTTCGCTCGTCCCGTTCCAATGCTTCAATACGTTCCACCCATTCCCAAACAATAACGCTTGCTGCGGCGGCGCCGACCCAGCGAACGTAGTCTCCCCAGCTGCCAAGATCTGGCTTCGAGATGTCCAAAACAAAAAAGACGACCGGCACAAAAATGGCGCAGATGGACAAGAGTGCCACCAAGGGCATGTTCCACATTCGGGGATGATAAAAAGCAAACCGTCGCTTCGACAAAGCATAATAAACCACGCAGGCCGCATACAGAAAGCTCAATGCAAGCGCAAGAAGATAGTTGAGGGCGGGGATAGCATCGTCAAAGTCTCGCGGTCGAGTTCTTCCCGTCTCGATGACAAAACTGTTGAGAATGCTGAAGATGGTGTCGAGCACAATCAAGGCTATTCCCGTCCATTTGATGACGACTTTTTCCTTGTGCCGTGGAAAAAGCCGAATTAGCGTTTGGACTTGAGCGAGCCAGACAAACAAATCGGAGATGACTCGAACCACGCGTATTTCCAGTCCATTGGCGACTCTGTCTCGCAGCCTGTCGGCATCCATGAAGCCCAGAATGTATTGTTTTTTGGCAACATTGAAAGAGTCGGCCGAAGCAATCGTCAGGGAGATGGCGACGGTCAGGGCCGCCACAGTCTGAAACCACGGCCGAATGCCCAGACCGACGACAGGAGTGCCACCCGACGCTCCGCTGATGATGCCGCGACCGCCAAGAAGTCTTCGGCTGCTTGATGAGGAACCGTAGAGGAATGATCGCGGTGTGATGCACAGAGCGATGACTAGCATCCAGCTCACAACCGTGGCAGCGGAGATGGCGTAGGCTTGCGGAAATGTCGAGGCATAAAAGGGATCACGGAGGTCGGCGACGGTGGAGGGATCAGACGAGCTTGGAGGTTCGGTCGCCATGTTGGCGCCGGTGCAGCGAGGCTCAAACACGGCATTGCGAGTGAGGGTTATCGTCGTGGATTCGTCGATGCTAAGGATGCCATTTGATGGCAGGGCAAAGGGGGTACAATGCTGCGAGGCTGTCATTTCTCCGCAATGCCAAAATGTATAAACGCCTGACGAGACATGGGAGGTCTAGCAAGCATACCCGTAACACTGAGCTGCTTGTGGAAGAACTTTGATGCCACAATTGCCTCCGTTCATGACTACTGCGACCCCGTACAGTCAAGGTCTCCATAGTATTCCTCGCTAAGGACGGTGGTGGGCGCGGGTTGAAGCTTGGCGATGATGGAGTGCCAAGTATTTGCCAATCCTTTCTCAGCGATGACAAGAAACGACCGGCTCAACGCCAGATCCCATTGCCCACGGAAGGGGGCGCACGACGGCCAAGACTGAATTCGATCGCCTCCTTGCAGGGGCCTGGTGCAACCAATTCATCGGCAATACGGGGGTTGGTCCATATATGGCATCTGTAAAACGGAAACGCTATGTGAGAAAAGGATGATGCGAAGTTGAGAAAGTCATGACAAAGGGTATTTGTCGGGGGGAGAGGTAGATCCTAAAGTGGTGGTTTTGTTATTATTAAGGAGGAAGAGAGAATGAGCAAGTCGAGGTGGGGGGGAAAAGGAGCCAAAGCGACCAAAAGTCCCGAGGTATGAAGGAACAAGGGAAGCAACTTATCGGAGTACCGCATTACAGCGAATTTTATCGAGTAAATTCGGAACTCTTAAAGTACCTCAGCTAAGTAAAGTGTCTTACAGTGATCAATTGAGGAGGGAAGAGCGAGAGAAGGTGATCCATGCAGAGAACACGAGGTACTCGCTACTCTTGATGCCACTATTCCAGATACCACAGCGGAGGTATAGGTTACTATTGTAGGTTGTCAAGGGTGTCACACGAACAAACTCAGACTTTCAGTTACAGGGACTTAAGCTATACCTAAGACCACTACCTTAAGGTAGTTGACAACGTTCAAATCTACTTAAAACTATCTAAGCTGCTAGAGAGAGTGAGTGCAGCAGGCTTCTTAACAATGAAACCCCTTGAGCAACTCTTTCAACTTTCATCCTTTGTGAGGCTATTATTTCATCTGATCCTTTTTTGTTTGGCATCAGGGCAGGCCCAGCACTACCTAAGGTAAGTACAGTTCAGGTACGGAGTACTAGAGCAGTAGCCGGCTCACGAGCACATTGCGTGGGGGCTTGGTCAGCCCCGTGCGCTGTATATGAGTTACCTGGTTCGGTAATATGAGAAGGAGATCGATCTTCGAGCTTCACATGTGTGGCGTGCCACTTTGACAGCCGACAGTAGTAATTGTGATTCGTGTGTTCTGTTCCTGGAGAGCAATCCTCCTCCTCTTCTTGTTATTGATCACTTATGTCCTAGGCATTCATGTTGGGTTTGACTCCATAGTCGCACCGTCACTTAGGATTTCCCCACCTTGGTTTCTGCCAACGCTTGGCATCTGTCATTTCAATCATTTCTGGGATTCTCGAGACATGGCCCGACCCATCGCCAATTATAAACCCCAGAGCATCGCTGTTGAGCAACTTTCCTGGTCACAGGCCGATGTGGAAACAGAATAACGAAAAAAAGGCACCTTTCTATGAGACATGGCAGAGCCTGTGGTGCAGCAACTATCGATCAAAGATCGCATTGCCGCACTGAATCTGGGGCAGGTAGGCCGAGCCCCTGACAAGAGTCCTGCCGTCAAGCTATCGAGCATCCAAGAGCCTTCACATCGCGAAAGGCCTCCGCTGCCTCTCAAGCGGCCAGAACCAACAGTAAGAGGACAGTCGGTCAATGTACCCATCCTTAGAGATCACGGCCCCTCTTCGACACAAACGGTGGGCAATGAGCCCATTGGCCAGGATCAGAATATCATCTCGCCTCCACCTCTAACACAGAATGCAAAGCGGCACGCCGATGCGCCCAATCGACAACCACCTCCCGCTCTCCCTCCACGGCGACTTTCTGAGCAGGTCCCGCCGAGTCTACCGCCACGAAGACCTTCTGAACAGTCGCTATCTAGTAAAAGGGTCTCGGAGCGCCAAACCCCTATTCTACCCCTGCGTCGTCCTTCCGAGCAGCAGCAGCTACGAACCAGAGGTTCCAAAGAGTCATTCTCTTCTATTGCAACTAGGTCCTCCACATCAACCGGTGCTCTACGCACAAGCACGTCCCAATCTAGCTTGTCTGATGTTCAGCCAAACCGAACCTTGCCTCCCACTTATGATCCTGCGGCTGCACCCCCGCTTCATCCAAAACGCTTGAATCTGCAAAACGTCGATAATGAGGCAAAAGCGGCAGGCCAACCGTCAAGCAAAAGTGATCGTGCACGCCCCGCCCTTCCTCCGCGGTTGCCTCCTCGAAAATCAAAGGAGCGAACCGAAACGGCACAATTGATGCCAAAGACGAACCCAACTTCTTCAAGACCATCAGCTTTATCTTTTGCTCTCAATAAGAATACCGAAACTCCACCGCCAGTTCCCGTAACCAGGCCCACAGAAGTCCCGACCCAAAGAGGACTAGAAGGATACGATCAAGGATTGCCTCCACCAATTCCATTGGCTTCAAGACCGAAACCTTTGGCTGCGAACGCTACCCAACAACTTCATTCGCAGCATCTGTCGTGCCTGAAATGCTGGGACTTTACTGTCCCGGATAATCACGCCGCTCGCTTTCCTCGGGACACTTTACCTTCGTTGTCCATCGAGTGGCTGGCTTCTGAATTGACGTCCCCATTACAATCTGTCGTCGACAAGTTCCGTGCAATCTTCACCTGGCTCCATCACAATATCGCATATGATGTTGACGCTTTCTTCAATGATAATGTCAAACCCGCCACACCCATCTCGACTTTAACCTCTGGGCTTGCTGTTTGCGAAGGCTATGCAGGTCTATTTGCTGCGGTAGCAACAAAAGCTGGTCTCGAGTGCATCGTGGTTGGAGGGCATGGAAAAGGGTACGGCTTTTTAGCCCTGGAACCTGGTGCTCCCATCCCTGCTTTTCACTCTCAACACGCGTGGAATGCGATCAAGTTGGATGATGGATCTTGGAAACTCATTGACGCGTGCTGGGGTGCCGGCAGTGTGCAGGGAAAGGGCATGCCATACGTTCCATCCTTCAATTCGACACAGTTCACCATGACGAATGAAGAATTTGGCCTCAGGCACTATCCGACAGATCGCGCCCATCTCTTCCGTTCCGACGGACGCGAAATCACCTGGGAGGAATACTTCATTGGGGATAAAGGAGGCGAGCTTCGACAGCTTTTTGGGAAGCCGGAAGACGATCATGGCTTCAGCAGTGACAGCTTTGTCCCACGTTATAAGACCATTTCGGTCTTTGGGTCAACGGAAATAACTAGGTTCCAGTTCATGCCTATTTGCGAACATTGGGACTTTGATCGCATGGGTAAGGGGAAACCTTATGTTTGTGTATTGATAGTTGAAGGAGTTGATGGCCGCCAAAACGACCGCGTCCCCTTTGAAACAAATGGTCGTGTCTGGTGGCTGGATATTCCGACACGTCAATTAGGCTCCCCGGGTCAAAAGGTAACCATTGCTGCTATTACCAAATTCAATGGCAACGACGGCCGTGGACTCAGCATTACAGAATTCGCGCAGAAGAAGGGTAAAGTGAGCATGGCATGGTCTTACATAGCCGCCTGGGACCTGATTTGAAAATATCGACCTGGTGCGCAACAGAATAGCGCAATTTACTACCGCCCAAAAATTCAAAAAAGGTTTGATGTCATACAAATCAAGTCGCTGCGCCTCTTCTTCGACCAGAATCGGGGCACTTAATAAGATCTACAACGAGGCTTCATTGAAACGCATTTCAATATTCCCGTAACATGACTTGCAGCTGTCTACGAGCACAACCTCAAGCAAACCGTCTCAAAGAACGAGGACGTTGTTCGTACGGATGCCAACGCAACACAAATACTCTGCAGCCAAATATGAGTGGACTGTATGTTCTCGATTCATAACTGCTTTTTTCAGCATTATAGAAGTTTGGATTGTTAAATATACCACTGCGTTTCGTATCGGCTCAGTTCAACCCTCAACTAATGAAAATAATACGGTTGGATTTTGTCACAAGGATTTTCCATGCATTTCATTCCGGCGTCGGTCAGGAATCAATTTGACCAGACTGTTACAATTAGTTGTAGGGCAATTCGATGTTTCACAGATTATTTCAGCTACCTTATTTATCACATCGAGGACTGTGCCAAACAAAGGGCCCAGGACTCTGCGAAAATACATTTGTCAACTCAATAACCGCAGGTAAAAACATTTACTGAGGTAAGCAAAGTCCACAGAAAATACAGTTTTTAAAGCAAAAAAGAAAAAAGAAAAAAGAAACATCCTTTAATCTGACCGTGACCACATGTTATAGCTAATTTTTGTCAGAGTATCTGGAGGGTGAAGACGCTAAAGTTTTACTAGGTCGGTTGAACTCTGAAGGAGAGCACATAATTTGCAAGCTCAACGATATTTCTCGTTGTCAAGGTCGAATGAGTCATGATTCGTGCCCACTCTTGAAGAGCGGGCAGAGACCGATGTCGCTTTGATCTGAAATTGATACATTGAGTTTTCGGTGCCATCAATTTCATAGTGCGATTTATCATGGAGAAGGATCATATTGCGTGGTTTGATGCTCACCGCATCTCTGCTGTCATAGCCTGCGTACGGAGGTACAATGACTACCGGTATCGGTAGAAGGCTCGCGAGAAAGGCCGTACGCTTAGCCACGCTAGCGCTGCCCACTCCAGCCTCCCCAATATCAACTCCAAGTGTGTCCCGTATCTTACTGACTAGGGGTGATGGCTTCAGTCCAACCAGTTGATAGACCTGGCCGAAATACGTTCTAGAAACGCCGTTTAACAAATGAACTTGGGAGCATGAGATCAAAAGGGAAGCTAGAAATACCTTATTATATTCGAATGTCTACAAGGCATCGAACTTCTTTTAAAATCGTTCATGGAAAAAGAGGCAGGGAGCCGCGATATCTATGCATCACGATGCTGTCATGATCAGGAGGTCTTGGTGGTTTTAGAGAAACTTCACGGGGACTGCATAACAGCAAGTTTAACTGGCTGAAGGGATCGGCTTTGACTGTTGTGTAACTCTAGCGCAGTTTGCACGAACGTCGAGATCCCTGCAACAAGCCATCCGGTAGAGATCCATCTTCGTTTGAGACATTTCCTATCGCGGTAGGTGGGGTTGTCTTTTCGCGCGAAGTGGGATGTTTTTTGTGGAACAAGGCGGCGAATCGTCATTGCGGCGGTATTGGTTGACAGCGGAATGGCCATTACTCGTACAAGCACGTCCTTGCAAACAGAGTGTTAGGGCCGATCATCAATCGACAGTTTGTTCTGACAGGTCAAAAACATTGCGGCTATTGTCTCCTTGGCCAATAGCTGACTGGCTTTGGCACATTGACAGGGATCCCAGCCCCCTACATGCGTGAAACGCTTTTGAAAAGCCTCGGTCAAATTATTTCAAGAGTCTCGACTTTCCATAGGCTAAACGCCCCAGAAGAAAATTCAGGCTCTCAAATTTTACCACCAAGCATGGGTATCTTGTTGTTCACTACACTCGAAGCTTCCCTATTAAGTTGTGTCCATATCATTTACTGTTGTATACATTCGGTGATTTTCACACAATCAAAGTGTAAGTGGGAAGAGAGAGGCTTGTTCGATGTCCAACCTATCATCAGGCATACACACAGCACACTACATTAGCCGGCCGCTTTGACCGTCAATTCCGACAATGAACCCTTTGTTGATCTGAACTGCCGCCTCTCTTACGAAGTACACGCCAATACGCTTGGTCGCCACTCTCAGGTCCGCCTTTCCTTTACCACGAGCTCGGACCCGGAAGGCTTTGGAGCAAAGACCTATCAGCCCAGAAATCTATTTAGTCTTCCTGCTGAGCCGGGCCAGCGCAAACAATCTTTGAAAGCGCCATCTGCGTCAACATTTTGAGTAATGGGGACGGCTTCCAGCTCCCTGAATGTCTTCCGTAACGACACACCACCTTTGCGGCAATTGTGACATGCAAGATCCTGGTCACTGCCACCCTACATAGCATTCACCTACAGTAGTCATTGAGACATGCAGGTTAATGGTGGCACTGGTGCATGGCTGTCAATTGCACCAACATCAGCGTGGCTCAGATCGCGTACAGGTGTAGCAAATGAACATCAGAGCTATCTGACGATTCGCGCGCCAAGTGGGCAAGGAGGTCTCCGTTCATGCACCGAAGCTCCTAAGAGCGGATCAATCCGTCACCCGTCCAAGGCGCGTGGCCTTAGGTAATTTCTTATGCAAGTCGCGATGCTAAGGAACACGAGTCCGGTGTTTCTATAGATGCAGTTTAATCCATTCTGAGAGACCTTATAACGCCCACTCATTAATCTATATGATACAACTGCTTCATTCTTATAGATATTTGGGTTCGCATTTTTTCAACTCTTGCATCTTGCTTACGGAGTAGACGAGGAGGAAAGTCCACGTACAAGATATCTGGGGCACGTGATGGGAGTACCACAGAAATACAGAAATTGTCACCTGTCCGGAGGGAAATAGTACTTGAATCACCAGAAAAAAATACTGTATTCCGTACTGATGGAAGAAAGGTCCTCAAATGGCGCCACAGAGGAGAAGGGAATATCCTTGTTTGCGTTGCTTTATGCCCTGAGCGAATGATGAGCGACGTCGGGGCCAAGAGCGGCCATGGCTGACCCTGCGTCAGGGCGAAAGGGCCCCGGCGACAGCTACGCCGAAAGGTTTCAAGGCGACACGGTAAGTACCTACGGTAAAGGTCATTAGGGAGGGACGAAAGAAGATGGAAGAACGAAAAATGATGGGAAGCAGATTAGCTGTTTGCCGCGATGGACGCTCGCCCCTTTCCCACATCCTTCTAACCTTTATAGTTCAGTCTCTAAACATACTTGCCGCCTCGAGGCTATCTGGAGCGCTACATGCTGCAAAGTGAGTTTTTTTTAGGGCCATTTTCCGCGAGCTGCTGCTGGCGACATTTCGTTTCCTCCTGCAAGTACGAGGATGTTTGGGAAGGGTACTGCCTCGGACACGGGCACGCGCGAAGTGGCTCGACGGGTTGCGAGGCAGGAGAGGGTAGGAGGGTGGGCAGGCGCAAAAGGAAGTAAGCGAAGCGAATCAATCCGCATGACCCCGGATTCTACTGAAAGAGTGTTAGGCAGGCGGGTCGCCAATGGTGAACTGGGGCCCAGCCGCACTTTTCGCCAGCTCACTCACTAATAATGACTGGCTGCTTACGGTCCGCCGCCCTTGATCCGCATGTTTTAGTGGGAAAGGGACCACCATGTGCGCCTTTTTGCCCCGAAAGCCCCGAATGACCGAAAATGACAAAGTCAGCAACTTTTGCCCTCTCCTGCCTTACTTGTATTCTATAGGTTATGGCAACCGAACGAACGGGAACCCTATGCTCGAGACACCCGGGCCCTTAATCCCAAGGGTGTTGCAGAGCTTGGGTAAACTTAGGTTCGGCCACGACAACGGCAATCTTGGCTCGAACTACAGCGCGAATCATTGCCTGTCCCGCCAGGTGTCCTGTGAGTTCATGTGTAGTCTCCGACGGTCTTAGATCTCCAGAGTCTATGGTGGGAAATCATGGTGAGAAATTTGCATAGCAGGCGAACCCGTCATCCGAGTCCCCAATTTATTAACAATGACAGCCGATTTTGCTGCTCGCGATTCGTCAAACACATTCTTGTGGCTAGGTGAGCTCTACGAAGCCAGGCCGCCAAGCCTAGTGGCGATATCCGTAGGAGGCTTGCTGAGAGATCGCGGAATGGTATGATGTCAAACCGAAGCGAATGCCTCGTCAGAAGGTTGAGGACGGGGCTTGTTGACCTGGGACCGACATCGAAGTGGGTTCGTACCTCCTGCACTACGGAGGTCGTGGTTGAACTACGAGCATCGTGTTGCAGCATACTATTCTCCCTGCTGACGATGTCCTGTTTCAGGGGGTTGATGCTTCGTCGTGACTGAAATGCTCTTTTTATTCACGGACCCACTAATGGTCCAGCTCGGAGCAACATTAGCATCCAATGATCCCTACGACTTACACCAAAATCTGCCAACGCGGAAAGTAGGGGTTTTCGAATCATGGTGGCAGACTCTGCAGATATCCATAGCCTTGGACCTTTCAACGGAGCAGGGTCTGATCTGCCCGCCCGACGATCATCTAGTCCTTCAGGGCACAGCAGCTGAGATGTTTATGCACCTTTGTCAACGTCCTTGCAATCTCATACACGTCTTCCTGCTCCATTCATCATTTCATCAATTGTTCGTCGCAAGCAACTTGTTGGTCAGGCTTGGGTCTCTAAATCATAAACCTCCTCGTATTTCTGAGATCAAGCGTTGCGCCATAACGGATAATGAGAAAAAGAAAAAAAGGTTGATTAGAAGGCCAATTTTTTCAGAGACTTTTCACGCTGAGCACTTTTCGTGTACGTGAGGCTGTATGCAATTTCAACAAGTTTTCATCACGGTCCTTCACCGCCTTGTTGCTTTTCGGTGGCAATTTGGTACTCTTGGGACTCGGACCCGCTCTTTGGTTCGCAATGATCCACTATTTATCATCTAAGTTATGCTTTGCACAAAACGATCTTCGCCCATCTGAATGGAATTTTTTGTTGATATCCTTCTAGCCTCCAGAAAGGGTTCTTTGCATGATGGATGCATATTTGCCCAGGTTATGAAACATGACTATGACACTGGTATGGTTGGAAATGAGGAAATCCGTCTTTTCGCTATTGCTCTGGGACTTTTACCTTTACTGCACTGGCAAGGGAGTGACTTTCTCTATCAGCTTTTGTATCGACCGAGTCCTGGCGTTTTGCTTGACCCGGGGTACGATAGTTAGATTGTTATCATGACTGAACAGTACGGCATTTCCTCGCCCCGGCCCAACCGTTGGGCCTTTCTTGGTGCAGTGGGCTGTGGAGCAGAAGCAGGTCAAGGCGAGGGCACCGAGTGTTTGATTGCTAATCCAACCTTGACAAGCGAATGAAATCCGGAACAAATCGAATCGGCCATGTCACGATGCGGCCGGCTGGCCAGGGACTATCGTGGACGATGTTACCACTATTGGACTTCAGCCCGGCGCTGGAACGACGAATGGCGCAGGGTTACTCGCGTCCTCGCAAATTAGTCCGCACCATGCCGCCTCCAAGCGCTCTGCGAGGGAGCAAAAATTCAGCCATAGAAAAGCCAAATAACACTAGCAAGAGGAAAGGAATTCAATAGAATTCTGGTCGATACTGGAATCGAAGAAAAAAAAAAAAAAACTTCCTTCTTTTCCTGCCCACCACCTTGGTGCGTCGGACCCGTGCAATCCGCTCGAATGCCTGGGTCGCAATTCAATCGGCGAATACCAGGGCGTCTTTGCTTTTTTCGGGAAGGGCATTTGCTCTCGGGAATCAGCCCACAGCTGTCCATAGAAAAGAACGACCAAGTTGGGTTGCAAGCTCCAAGTCTTCTCTTAACGGAGCTTGGGTCGCTAGATGGATAGCTCTTGGCCCTAGGGTCTTTCAAAGCAAGACGGTCGATTTTCCGGTCCCCTATTTAGCTTGGCGGGTAGAGCTCGACCTTGAGCGATCTTTCTCCGGGGTTCGCTGGGGTGTCGGATTGGGGCCACACACTCTCTCGCAGTTTCTCGACTCTATTCGGAAGATGGTGGTATATTGTGGTGGATCCGCTCGGAGGTGACCGTCTCCAGAGCCAATCCCGCGCCACTCCGCTAGTGGCCATGATCCATGATGCCATGGGTCTTTGGCTACTCATAGTTAGGTAGGTGAAGGTCCCTTGCGCGATGACCATGGTCTGTTTCTCCCCCTTGTGTCTTCTTTCCCTGCCACAAGAATAATGCTTGCAAGTACCTCTGTACTCAGGTACGTATACTTGCGCTCGCCCGTACCACTCTACGTCTGGGCAGTTCAACCCATCCTGCTTTGTCCGACACTGCCAATTCGATGAGACTGGCTCCATCACAATTCCTTCATCATTCTTCTTTCTACTGCCGTGACCGGAACTTCAGACACCCGCTGCGGGTATGGTCCTCGAGCTGATTAGCGGGTTCACTTCCTCGGGCAGTTGTCCGACCATGATTCCTCTTGCATCCGTGCTCGAGCTGCTGATCATTGAAGTTTGAGAATTAAAGTAACTCTACGGGGGGCCCTTTGTGGAGCCGTAGCAAGGCGATACCTCTCTTGTCGTATTCGACGTTAGCCTCTTACCTACAACTTCAGGTTGCCCAGCCTGCTCTTGAAATTGCCCGTTATTATACTAACTCTGTCCATGGAGCCTAAAACAACTTGTTACTATTTGCTCTCCCAAGCTCTGCTGTTCTTCTGCCGGGAAAGAGCGTGTCGCTCCCCTTCACCGTCCCCGTGAAAACTCGCGCACATTAGAACCATGGTAGGCGTAGCAAAGTACCCATGGTACTTGTAGCCATTTCATTCCTCCTTGGGGACGCTCGACCGACGGCAAACACCCACCTGCGAGGAACCTGCTGAGGCTGGTGACCATCATTGCTCCTTTCTCGCCCCTTGGATGAGCCCAGCAATCCCGCCGGGCTTTCCCTGATTTTCCCTTTATTCATGGCTCTCTCTTCTCCTTGGGCCCTATGGAACCACGCCAGCGCGATACAGTTCCCCTAAAGTAGATTCTGATCCATTCTTGAGGCTATTGAAACAGGAAAAGGCACCCGCTGGTAAGCAACGACGCTCTACGCCTTTTCTGCACTGGATGTATCGTTCGGGCTGCGCCAGTTCCTCTGGTCGTCGTCATTCTTCTCACCTGAAGCCCGCTTCCCCGGAAAATTACTTTGAATGTTCCTGTGCCCTTTGTTCCCGCGTGGCTCGCATCTGTCAACTCGAGGCGTTGGGATCGGCGGGTGATCTTTCCCGCCTCTTCTTGGAGCTCCCTTGTGGATGAAGTTGTCTTGGGCCGCTCCAAATCCCCGGGGCCCCGGCGAAGACCTACCTAGACCTCTGGCCGTTTCTCATGGCGGATGGTAACAACGTGCTCTTGTGGCGGAAGCATGGAATTTTCTCGGTCATAGCTTTTTAGATTCTTCAGACTTGTATCTACGATTTGCGGCACCTGCCCTCTCACTCTCTCGATCGAAGGCAATACCACCTACCTTATGATGATGATGGGTGATTAGTACGGTTATGACTTCCGGATGGTGATCATGTCGTGGCTTCTACCGTGACCCCGTTCACCTAAGGTAAGGCAGGTATATACTGAAGCTGCCTCTCCTCCCCTGCTACGCAGCACCAACCTCTCCCCCAGTCTTTATTCGACGCACCCACCTGCCCACCACTCGCACACCCCTACCAGGGCTCTGGGCACTAGGATACAGAGTACATCTGTACCCATACTACGTACAGACAGCACCGAGGGCACCTTTTTTCCCCCCCGGTTCGTCCCCGACGCTTTCATCCGTCTCGAGCTCCCCCATTCTAAGCGACGGACTCGTCTCGCCGCAAGCGAATCGGACGACGGACTCGACCCTAGTGACCCCCAGCACCCAGCACCCTGCACCCTGCACCCTGCCACGACCACTCACTAAACTACTTGCTCCCAGGCAAGCAACCACCGAACTTGTCTGACCCTTTTTACTCACCTTCCCACAGCCCAACAACCACACACACAATACACATACACACTTGCCTCCACGAAACGGTGTATTGTCATTGTCACCGGATTTCGTTGTCGACCTCGTTTTGATCTTCTTCCCGCTGGAAAAACATTCTTTGATCGTTGACTCGCTCATCTGCCCTTCTGACGCTTCGCTCCCTATATCCTCCTGCTCTTACTAGCAGCCCGCTATCGGGAGATACCCGGCACCCGAGACTCCCGTCCTGGCCGGCCTTGCAACCACATCTCGCAACTTCAACCAACCCCGTCCACGATCCCTGGTGGATTCGTTGTCGTTACTTGCGACTTGTTCGAGCAATTGAATGGGCGTGGATCGCCTCTGTCTCAGGCTGACTCTTGGTCTGACCCTGGCACTGGCGTCGAGCTTTCCTGTTGCGTTGACTTCGCGACCACTTTGCCGCAACCGGGTGGTGCTCACCTAACGTCATTGCGCTCTCAAGTCAACCGCAGTCTTGGACCTCAGGGTAAGCATTTCAGGAACCTTTTTGTCATTGTTTAACTCGAGAGGAAATCTCTTATGACGCTGACAATTCGGTGCGTCTGTCAAGGCTCGGCCTATGCTTCCTCCCAATCGAACGCCCAAAGGAGTCCCGAGTTCCGAACATTTCTATTACTCGCCGACAAGCAATTGATTGGACGGTCGAAATATCCAAGGTGGATATTTTTAAGCTTTGAACATCACTACAGACTGGTAGGCGAAACCATTCATTTGGACTGGTTTATTCGGAAGCTGTGCGGGTGTTGATTTGGAAGGCGCGCATAGATTCTCAGGGCACCGCCCATCCATTTGTGGGGATGAACGAGATGCTCTCGGATACCATTGTCCTTGAAACACCTGCAATGCCTCCATCTGCGAAGCCCGCAACTACGAACGGCTCCGCTCCAACTGGCACCGGTAAGTCAACCACTTAACCCGGAATCAGTCCTTTGGTGGGGATTTTATGATTATCCTTTTTTGGCGTTTCGATCTCCTGTCATCTATCGGGCAACACCTCTTGGTGCTGACAAAAGTCCTGTCGCGACACACAGCGCGAGAACAAGCACCTGCCAAACCAGCGAGCGGGGCAGAAAATGGGAATGCCGCGTTCCCACCACCCAAAGCGGACAAGCCGAGGCCGCACGTCTGCGGGACCTGTTCACGCTCCTTTGCACGGCTCGAGCATTTGAAGCGTCACGAACGATCTCACACAAAGGAGAAGCCCTTTGAATGTCCCGAGTGTACCAGATGCTTTGCTCGAAGGGACTTGCTTTTGCGCCATCAACAAAAGCTCCACATGACCGCCACCGCCGCGTCGCGACCACGAAACGGCCGCCGTGAGAGCAGCAACACTGTCGCTGGCGTTGGTTCCGGGCGTGTCCGCAAGAACTCTGTTGCCACGAGTAATGTCGCCAGCGCTGGGGTCCACAACGCGTCGGCGGCTCGCCCTCGAGCAAACACCATTAGTCACATCGATAACAGTACGCTCGGCATGGTTGCAGCTGCGAACGCCTCCACCGCCCGGAGTCGCGACATGGGGGTGAACCACAGCCATCACCCCAGCCTCGATCACCTGCCGACCGGCTTCAGTTTCCACGCTGGCCTGCCCAGCGCCCCTGCGCACCTGCAGGGCCTCTCCAAGCTGGACACACATGGGCTCAATATTGACATGTCTGGGGGCCTACGAACCGCCCCGCCCTTTGGTGGTCCCGGTTCAGAGTTCGATTTTGACAACCTCTTTGGTCCCGGCTCAACAATCAATCCGGCTCAGCTTCACTTCAATGATTCGCCGCAATCCATGGGCATGAATGAGCTGCCGGCTGGGTTTCCAATCCGCCCTCCCATGCTGGAGGAGGACGAAAACCTGGACTGGATGAAGGGCTTTGAACATTCCATGTCCTTCACCAATGCCAATGATCCACCCGTTGACGGATCTTCACCGTCGGTGCTGAGCACCGCGAGCCAGAGCGGTATTAGTGAGATTATGCTCGACGGCTCCAATAATCCAGCACATCGCGCCAGTGCGCTGTGGCAGAATAGTATGATTCCCAATGCCCGCATGGGCAGCTTCTTCATGGACCTCCCGCCTTCTGCCTTTTCCGAAATGGCGCCTCCCGGCACGGTGTCGCCCAAGACCTTGCAGGCCCAAAATGGCATGAATGACCCATATCTTTCTCCTCCTGCTCTTCAAGCACTCAGTCCTCCCATGGCCTCTGCCGATCACAGTCACTTCTTCCATCCCGCAACCTTCAACTCTGATTGCACGAGTACTTCGTCTGTGTCTGTCAGTGGCACGACCCACAAGAGCTCCGTCACTTCTGTGTCTAGTGACTGTGTTACGGAGGCTACTCGTCAGGCGCTGTTGGCAGGTCTATCGCTCTCACACGATCTCCACCATGGTCCTCGCAAATATTCTAGCTCGATTGGAAACTCTCCAATGTCTCCAGGATTCGTCCCTAGCCCAGCTGCAGCAAATATTTCCCTTCCGAGCACCTCGGACCTACAACGTTACATTACCGCCTACGTCCAATATTTTCACCCACACCTTCCATTCCTCCATCTTCCTTCGTTGAATTTTGACAGCCCAGCTTTCGCAAACAATGTCGACGATGGTCATGCCCACTCGCTCTTTGGCCACTCTGGTGTTGCCGGCGGTGGGGGCTGCTTGATTCTCGCCATGGCTGCCATTGGCGCGCTGTACGAATACGACGCGGGACCATCCAAGAGTCTGTTTGAGGCGGCCAAGAAGATGATTCACATTTACCTTGAAGAGCGCCATAAATCAGGCTTGTCGGCAGCAATGGGCGGCAAGGCCGGTCCCGACCTCGCCTCTGAACAGACGCCTCTGTGGCTCATTCAGGCGATGCTGCTGAATGTCATTTACGGCCACAATTGCGGAGACAAGACGGCGGCCGATATTGCTAGTACCCACTGCGTCGCTCTTGTTCGACTTGCTCGGGCGGCAGAGCTTGCGCGGCCTTTGCCGCCGATGCCATCTACTCGCCACCACGCAACCTATCCGTTTAGCGGGCCGTTGGCAGGGGAAGACACGGATATGCACGACGCCTCTGGCAATTCTGACTATTGGAATCTGGGATTCCATCTGGACGGCCATGATGAACAGGCCGAATGGCAGCAGTGGAGAGTTGCCGAGGAGCGGAAGCGAACACTTTACGCCATCTTTGTCTTCTCCAGCCTTCTTGTGTCGACTTACAATCATCAACCGGCGCTCACCAACTCGGAGGTTCAGCTCGATTTGCCGTGCGAAGAAGAGCTGTGGAACGCGGAGACTGCACAGGCATGGCAAGCCAAGGGCGGCGCATCAATTGTTGAGCAAAAGGCGGTTCCTTTTGCAACAGCTTTGAGCACTCTTCTTACAGCAAATCAACGACGTCAGAGCCAGCAAGCTCAGCCTCAGCCTTTTCATGGACAGTTTGGCCCAGGGTACCAGATGGAGGACATCCTGCAGAGTGACCTCAAGCCGAGCACGTTTGGATGCCTCGTGCTCATTAGCGCTCTGCACAATTACATTTGGGAGACGCGACAACGGCATCTGGGAAGGCAATGGACTCCGCAAGAAGTCGAGGCCATGCATGCTCACTTGGAGCCTGCTCTCAAGGCATGGCAAGCCGCATGGGCGAGCAACCCCAATCACAGCCTTGACCGACCAAATCCGTTTGGGTTGGGTCCTCTGTCTGCCGATAGCATTCCGCTTTTGGACTTGGCCTATGTGAGCTTGTTTGTCAACTTGGGCCCATCCAAGGAGTGTTTTTGGCAACGGAACTGGGATGGCATGGCCGAAGAGCTGGCCAGAGGTGCTCAGATTGTATACTCCATGGAGCATTCGCCGAGCAGCTCGGGCAATTCTCCGTCGGACGCATCGGAGCTTGTTTCTAGCAACGGCACGCTCGGCTCGCCGCACACGACGGTGTCATCGCCGGATCGAAACCCTGCTGCTGCTACTGCTGCCGCCCATCAGCACCGCAGAAGCGTAAGCATGCTGGGTCCAGATCATCATGATCATTCTGGACAGTCAACTAAGCGCGAGCGCCATCTCCGTAAAGCTGCATTCTACGCTGCCGACTCCTTGTCCATGTCTGACAAACTTGGAATCTCGTTCAACGACCTGACATCCCGGGAGCTTCCCATCCAGTCCATCATGTGCGCATTTGACTGCGCGCAGGTCTTGGCAGAATGGGTGGCCACTGTCCAAGAGCGCGTAGGCCGCTACCTGGGCGTTCTCGGCCGCGATGAGATTGACTACACTCAAGTGCCGGGCATTATGCTTTTGGAAGATGAAGACTGCAAGCTTCTGGATAAGATCAAAGAAGTGCTCAACGGGGCGGAGATTCGACTCAGTTGCGAGCATGGCGGCATGGATGGCATGGCTGCGAGAGCTGCAATGATTGGTCTTTCCAGCAATGACCAATGCGGTTTTGGTGCAAAGATTTTGCTTGTCACCGCTCACATGCTAGAGAAGGGGCCCGTATGGCCCGTGACTCGGCAGATGGTCAATGCACTACAGACTCAGGCCGGTCACATGAAGGCCAGAGTTGAAGCCTCTGTTGCTCCTCGGGAGTAGTAATCCACCACGACGTCAATGCGTCAATGTTGTTGATGTCTCTCACACTCACTATTATCATGTTTTGCCACGATCACGACCAGCTACCACGAGAAAAAGCCAAGCCCATTTGCAACGACAACGTTTTTGCGACGATTACGAAACGACTTTTTTTTTAACAAAATTATTTCTCCCCTTCCCAACCTCAGTCATGGGATCGTTCTTGTACAGCTTTGGAACGAAAACCCTGCAGCTTTCTTTCTTGACGATGACGATTATATTCTACCGTACAAAAACGTTTCCCATTTCCCATTTTTGGATCTTGTGAACCCCATAGAGCGTGCACACACACATACTCGGCATTGCACGCCTCGGACCCGGTTTTTTTTTTTTTTTTCATTTCCCTCTCTTTCATTTTTCTCTTGCGCTTTTGCGCGGTCACATACCCCCACTGTTTTGGCTGGTGTCTTCTTATATAACCCTTTTGGCCCAACTTGTTCTGGCAAAGCCAAATCAGCGCGCAGAGAACTTATGATGATGATGACGACGACGACGATGATCAAGTTGGAGACACGTCTGCCCCCCCCCCCCCCCCCCCCCCCCCCCCGAACCGTCGTACAAGCTTTTTTTTTTATCCTTTTACAAAAAAAAGCACTTTGGATTTGAAAATATTCTCTTCTTTTTTCTCTTCCTTTTACTTTTTCTACTTTTTTTTTTTCAACAAACACCCAATTGTATATTCTTCTCGTTCTTCTTTTTTTTTCTATATGTCATGTTATAAGCCAAGCTCTTCTCCTGCCATAGTTGAAGCTTTTGCTTTTTCTTTATCTTTATCTTTTTCTTTTTTTTTCTCCTTCCCGGCCGTATCCATATGTATGGCTACTGGCTACTGGCTACTGGCTACATTGTGCAAACTCGGGGGTTCCAGGTGGGCGTTTTCTTTTTTTTTTTTTTTTCTCTATAGCTTTTTCCGTGGACGCTTTGTGTCTGATCCCTGATGTTGGGACAACACAAAAGTGGCCTATAAGATAAGATAAGATATATAACTTATTGAATATATAAAAAAATTTAAGGGGAATAGACTTGTAACTTGTTCTACTTTTAAGAGGGACTTTTGAATATGCGTGGGCGAGGAGAAATTGACTATAATGTGCTAATGTGCCATCGTGTTGTGACTGGACTAGTGTATTGGTGTATTGGGTTCTAATCATGATGATGCTTGTATGAAACCTACTGTTGTTGGCCCGCTCCTTGCTCAATGGCCAATGATGCATATATGTATAATATTGTTTTGCTCTTTTTCTTGTTTTCCTTGTCTTGTTTTTGCTCCTGTTCCTGTTCCAGTTCCTCCGTGGCTCTGTAGCTCTGGGTTTTCCTCTTCCTCTTCCTTCTTTATGTTTTATGTTTCATGTTTCCATACATTCACTGTGAGCCTACAATGTTGAATGAAGATAAAAATGGCAATGACGATGGCAATGACGATGACGAGGACGAGGATGATGACGATGAGGCGGAGGATGAGAAGGAGGAGGATGATGATATTTCAGAATATTATCAATTAAAATTAGGGTTAGGAATTATGTACATGAATAGTACTAATAATAGTGATAAACTGATAATAATAAAAAGAACAATAGTCATAACAATAATAATGATGATAGAGAGGAAGAAAATTAAAAATAAAAAGGAGAAGAAGAAGAAGAAGAAGAAGAAGAAGAAGAACGATGATGATGATAGAAAGGAAGGAAAGAACAGCACCTGGCTGCAATAGAACGCAACTCATTTCTCTAAAATCACACGAGAATTCCAAGTGTGGATCCAGGGTGTTGGGAGTAAATGAGGGGGCTATTGAACGATCGTCTCCATTGGGCTAACTTGGTCAATCCATTTCGTGCTGTATGTAAGTCTTGTCTCGTCTTATCGTATGCCCTTCCCTTAACGATCTCTTTCCTTCGTTGATTGAGGGCCAGGGGATCTGGGGAAGAATGAAAAAAAATTAGGTAGAAAGTAAGAGGATAAAAGGAAAGGGAGGAAGAAAGAAAGAGAAAAGAAAGGTTCCATCCGGTTCTATACGTTCATGTTCCATGTTTCGTGTGACAAGTTCAAAATTGAAAACAAGTGTTTAGCAGCGAACGTGTGTTCGCTGTCTGATCTCAACTCATCGTGATGTCCGACAGTGACCGGATATTGCGAGTATACACTGCCCGCTGAAGAAAGGGATGATTTGCTCTAGGGAACAAAGGAAACGACGAGAAGAGGAGTTCAATAGAAATAGAATGTAAATGCTCCACGACTCAATCAGGACAACGGCCCTGCCGCTATCAAAATAAAGACTGGAAAACAAGAGTAAAACGAAAGTAGACTTGGACTCTGACCTTTGGACTTGGGCTCTCGCAACAGATGCTGGTTGTGCGAATGAAGTGCGAGATGATAAAAATAATACCGTTTATTACAATAGTGTATTTTCGCGTTCTGATCCTATTTGTCGTTTTTTCTTGGCCTATCCTATCCTATCCTATCCTATCCTACCCTATCCTATGCTAGGCTGATTCGAATTTTATACATTATTTATTATGATTCGTGAGTGGTTGAATTGCGAAAGTTTTCGTGTTAATGAAGAGAAGGGAATTTGAATTGAATAGTTTGTCCGGTAATTGCATTCAGTCCAGACTTTGGTATGCCGTGGTCGTAGTCCAGGCGGATTCGCAACCGATACATGGATCGCAACTCATGAGGCCGTCCTCCGCTTAGTGAGGTCATCAGCCGAGCCATTGGCTTTTTCGTACGAAGATGCGGCGGCGGCACCGTTGCTGCTGCTGCTTCCATTGACGGCGTGCCCATTGAGGTGAATCTCGGGTGCTGGCTTGGTCTTTTGCTCGTCTTCCTCTTCCTCGAGCGGAACAGTCTCCTCGTCGTCCTCCTCATTGTCGCTGCGCTCATCGGCCTTGACGCTGTTGAAAATATAATTCTTCAGGATTCGAATGAGCAAGAAGAACCAAATGAGGTTGATGATCTGCAGAGCGGCGAGGAGCGAAAAGGTAATGATCTGACTGATCCAGCACTTGTACTGCTGTGTCTCCCAGTTCAATTCAAACGGGCCGACGGTACGGAATTCGGTCAAGACGGCCCACAGAATGCGCAGGTTGATGTAGTGGCGAAGATAGACCCAGACGCACAGGAAGAAGATGTAGTACGGACCGACAATGATGCTATCGAGGTAGTTGAGCGTCTTTGACGTCTGTTTATGCAATTGAGTCAGTTTGGCCCAACGGAACAAGGATGTCTTTGAATCCTTACGGCAATGAAAAAGTCACTAATATCGTGCGCAATGTACACGGCGAGTCCCATGTAGGTGAAATGGAAGCGATAACTAAGCCAGATCAAGGCGACCGTGACAATGTGGTGGCCGACCAGTTCCTTAAAGTCCTTGCGAGGCTTCTCAAGCATCAAAATCAGCACAATTGCTTGCTGGGCCCAATAGGCGGCCTGCAACAGATAGTAGGCCTTGAACACGGGCTCGTGCGAGCGATGAGGGAAGCCCTCAAACATGGCAGTCGTATTGAAGTACCAAATGGGGGAGCGCTTCATCACGTAGAGGCCCAGAGGACTAAAGATTCCAAAATAAATGGCCGTGTAGACCTGTTCCATGAAGCGCGCCTGCTTGCCCTTCTTGGTGATCCCGCACCAGATAGCCCAAGGTCGGACGATACGCTGCATGATGAATTCGCGGGTAAAGGACAAGACGATAATGTAGAAGCCCACAAAGGCGAAATCGCGCCCGCCCTTGCCATACTGAATCGGCGTTGACGGATCGGCTCCGTCGGGGCGAGGGAGAGGGTAGGACAGGAAGATGGCGGAGTGGAGAGGATTTTCAGGCGTCGGGTTCACCGCGTAGCCAGCCAGCACGATGAGGATGAGAATGAGTGGATTGAGCCAAGTGTGTCGCAGCGAGATGGTCTTCCATCGTCCCAGCAGACCCTTGGCTTTTCGTCGCTTCGAGTGTGGCCGGTGGGCGGCGTCTCTGCTTGAGGAGGAAGCGCGCTGCAGGGAAGGTGTCTGTTAGCATGAGCAGATTATTTGCCAAACGATTCGACCCAAAGCAGTCAACTGACCGATGCCGTCGTCATGGCGGGAATTGACGCAGTGTCCAGCGTCGATACCGCAGGCGCGCCCGTATCACCACGGGGCTCACCCCCAAGGCCACTGGACTTTCTTCGAGATCGAGTGCCGGTCGACATATCTATCGCCTGGCTGTTGTATGTCAATCGGAAAGATACTCCGGGTGATTGGCAACGCGAGGATAAGAGGTGCCCAAAATTTCCTCACCCACAAGATCACGGAGGGGTAGAGGGCGGGGAATAATTGATAAGAAATTTCTTTGGTTTTGTCCCTTTTTTTCTTTTGTTTCGTGGCGCGCTACGAGAGCCCGAAATTAATTAGAAGAGGAAAAGGGGGTTTTGTGCACGAGGGAGTAAGGATGTCTCTCGTGTGTGCGTGTGTGTGGGTGGGTGCGTAGAGTAATAATCGAAATTAGTTGAATAAGTTTACCCGTCTTGTTCGGCTTTGCCTTTATGTTTCTAACCAGCGACGTCAGGGCTGATTGGTGCAGACAAGACGACGAGGAATCGGAGCAAGAATCTTCCCGTGGCCGAACGGAGATTTCGGCATCAGACGTCAATCTAAGAAGAGACGGGGAAGTCGACGCAAGTCATTTAAGGATAATCCGGCACGAAAGAAAAAAAGGGGAAAAAAGGGAAAAAAAGGGAAGAGTAATTAATTGCCGGGACGAATCCACAACTAATAATCCAATGAGAAGGAGACGATCGACAGCAAGACAAGGAGACGAGGGTAAAGTTAGGGAAGAAAAGGTTGGGAGAAAAGGGGAAAGCGCATCGTCATCCATCGTCTTTTAGCCTCGTCTCTATCTTATCTCATCAGTACCCACACCAACCCTTTTTCAGTCATGTGTAGCTCTCACAGCCACGGCAAAAGTCAAATAATATCAAAACTTCTAGTATTAACGATCCTACATGACCTGAGTTTGTTTCATTCTTTCCTTCTCAGTAAATGCTTGCATCTAATGCCAAGTAATCAACTGGTCAATGCTTTGTGCGGCAACGAAAGAGACAAGTTCGCAAAATATAGATGCTGGCATACAATACAGAAACAAATATTGACGCAAATGCCACATGTCACGAATAGCTAGAGATTATCCAACCTGGGATGTAAGCTCCGTAACGAGAATGCGTCCCAACACTGTGATATAGTTTCTTTGCTCCGGCCCCTCAAGTCATAGGGTCATCGGACAAGTCAGATGACCGTATTGCACCACTAGAATGAATGTCTCTGCCATCGGCCGCCAAACGAGCAACGACCTGACTTTGACGACATAAAATCATGGCAATCACGTGCCAGACCAACGACAGCGGGTCACTGTATTAAAAAGGCAGAACCCTGGGGGAAGCAATATGCCCAAAGCAAACAATGCGCAAATAAACTGAAAATCCCTCCAGTAACTCCGCCAATAGATACCAACGCAAATTTGCTTGTGCTTCAACCTTATCGTACACGCCATTGATGGCCGCTCTGCAATGCCAATTCTAGATCTAGTCGGGCTCTCAATGTTGTGCAGCTTGTGCAGGTACGTTTCCCACTTGCCTGCGTGCCCATGTCTGCTTCAATGTCCATGACCGCTGAACGCAAGATCATCATGAGTCACGTGTATAGAGCAACAGAGGCTCCCCGACGTTTTCAATCTCGGGAATAGTACATTTCAGGTCGAAAGCCTTGGCGAGCACGATTTTGAAAATCTGAGAGGCAGGCCTTAGTTCGCTGCAAGCTAATATATTCCCATCGGGTTGGACTCTTACCTTTTGCACATTGATGCTGTGGCTCGTACTGCTGAAGATCAAGCTTGCTTTCATGGCCTTTGCAAATCGACGTGCCTGCATATCATTTAATTTCAGTGATTCCAATAAAAAAAGACTGAGGTTTTGAGCTCTCTGCCTACCTGGTTCGAAATCTCCTCTTGATCGTCCCTCGGGAAATTCACAAAGTGGTCATATTTAGTTCCGATCAAGAATGGAATCGCCGTCTTGTTAAATCCGCGACCCTGTCGGTACCATTCCTTGATTGAATTGAGGGTGCTCTTGCGAGTAAGGTCGAACATGAACAGGATAGCCACGGCGTCATTGCAGACAAGAGGGAGCATATTGACAAACTCGCGCTGGCCACCCAGATCCCAAATAGAAAAGGTGATTTCCGTATTCCGAATCGAAATGGTCTTCTCCATGAAATTGACGCCTGTGTGCAAATCCCTTTGCGTTAGCGCTTTTTCAAGCCACTGCCTGGATCGTCGCTTTGCGTACCTAAGGTCTGGATATAGTCCTCGTCCCAGCTTCCCTCGACATATTTGACCATCAAACTTGTCTTTCCGATTTGCGCATCGCCAACCATACCGACTTTGATCACTACACTATTCTTGCTTGCTTGTGACTGGTGCTGTGAAGGCCGGCCTTGTCCAGTCTGTTCCTGATAGGTTGGCGTGCGTGTCTCCCCTTGCGAGGATGCATATCCTGAGCTCCCGGACACCGTCGGTATCGATGGTTGTTGATAGAGCATGTTTGGAGAAGGATATCTGGCGGATGCATCTGCTTCAGATGCAGGCGACATGCTGGGACGGGAGGGAGAATATTCTGGAGATTGAATCGGAGGACTGAGGTGGGCTTGCGGGTTGCCATAGCCGTCGTGATATGCACTCGTCGGGCTGGCGCTAACGTTTTCGGGGATGCCCAACTCAGGGTCTTGTCGGCTCACTGGTCGGGCATTTGTGTAGTGTTCTTCAGGAGGCGAGCTGACCGCCTCCTGCTGTATTCTGGTTTCCACGGAATCCATTGCGGGAGCGGTGAGGGTGACTGGAAGATCCCCGGAAAGGACCAACAACCCTTGTTATGCGCTATCGAAGATCTGATCTGAGTTGTCGACACTCAGACTTAGCGTACGAAGGCCAAACGAGCGAGGGGCACGAGCAACGATTTTCGATAAGCCGAGCTTGGATCAGCCTCTGGAGCTTGCCAAACCCAACGGCTACCTGCTGAAGTCTCGGACAACAAGACACGTGGAGTGGGCTGACAGAAAGCTTCGAAATCAAGCCTTTGTCTCGCTCAGGAATGTGTCGAGCTGAAACAAACGCGCCTGAAGTCGAGCGGGTAAGGCAGCGTGTGGTTGTAGACGCTGCCAAGCCAAACAACAAGAGAGGGATGGCAAAACAAAGTGTCTACTGCAATGATGCGCTAGATGCAAAGCAAACAAATCAGGTCAAATAAAGAGCGACGATAGATTTGATCGATATCGGTCTTTCGTCTGAGAGTTTGTTGTTTGTGTTTGTACGTGGGGTTTTTCAATATCCAAGTACCTGGAAAGGTGTGGGATCAATGGGGACGAGGGATCGGCCCGCTGCGAGTTCAAGGGTGGAGACGAAACAACAACTTACGAGGTGTTACCAAAGGAGAAACTGTTGCCAGGTAATAGTATGTGAAATGGCTGCGCCACAATGATTTTGCAAAGCCACAAATCTTTCTCAGCCACATGCGCTCATTGCGCTAATCCCGATTCGTCATCAGCCACTCGAACTTTTGTCGTCGATAAACCAAAAAAGTTGCTATCATTATCGCTCTCAACTCTCCCTGGCATCATTTGCAGGTACTTTCTGCCCACTTTCAACACTCCTTAATTTCTATCGAACACTCATTGATATTTCGTATAGAAAGAGCAATCATGAGCAAGCGCGCTGCAGAACCGTCTGACAAGGAACTCGACGCCCTGAAGGGCGGAGAGCGCCCTGCAAAGCCCGAAGACAACCCCGAAATTGGAGAATTCGAGGACGAGTACGAAGATGAATTCGAAAGTGAAGACGAGATTATTGAGGCTGGTGTTGATGGCCGGCCAGATGAGGAACGAGAAGCTGAGGAGCAGGGTGAGTCGATCATGGCGCAACCATCTCTTGATACTCAAAATTTTGTGAAACAATTTATTCAGTCGGCGCAATAAGGCGATGAATGGCTTCCACAACAAAAGACAAAGAAGCAGCAGCGGCGCTAATTGGATTCTCATAACAGAGGCAATGGAGGTTGACCAACAAACATTCATTCCTGGACGACATAAGCTTTCCACCGGCGAGACTCTCTCGCCCGATGCCTCGGCCTACGACATGCTGCATACGCTGACTTCAACATGGCCCTGCCTGTCCTTTGATGTTCTGCGCGACGACCTCGGCGACAACCGAACAACGTACCCCGCGACCATCTACGCCGTTGCAGGCACACAAGCCGAGTACTCGCGGGCGAGAGAAAACGAGCTGATGGTCATGAAACTGAGCGGGCTGAGCCGGATGGAGAGAGACCGGGAAGATTCAGACTCATCCGATGACGAAGGCGACGAAGAGAACGCTGATCCCATCCTCGAGTCCAAATCGATTCCGCTTGGCTCAACCACGAACCGCGTCCGCGCACACCAGTGTCCTCCCACTTCGTCGTCGAAGCCTGCGACAACTCTGACCGCAACCATGACTGAAGCCGGCGAGGTCCTCATTCACGACATCACGCCCCACTTGACTGCGTTTGACACGCCCGGCATGACCCTTACGCCGCAGCAATCCAAGCCTCTTTCCACGCTTCGCATGCACAAATCTACTGAAGGATACGCGCTTGACTGGTCGCCGCTCGTCCCGCAGGGCAAGCTCCTGACCGGCGACAACAACGGTAAGATCTTCGTCACCACACGGACCGACGGCGGCGGATGGGCAACAGATTCCCGTCCGTTCACGGGACACACGAGTAGCGTTGAGGAAATTCAGTGGTCGCCGTCGGAGCGCAACGTATTCGGCTCCGCCAGCAGCGACGGCACAGTGCGGATCTGGGACTTGCGTTCCAAGTCTCACTCCCCCGCCATCAGCCTCAAGATCAGCGACACCGACGTCAACGTCATGTCTTGGTCTCGGAACACGTCTCATCTGCTGGCCACTGGCGCGGACGACGGTCAATGGGCCGTGTGGGATCTTCGCCAATGGAAACCTTCCGCCCCAACTGGTATGTCATCCGTCGGCCTCTTTTTCCCTTGGCATTCTGCTTGTCTCTCTCTATTTCCCATCCTTTTCTTTCTATCATTTCTGTTACACTTTTGCACGAAACTAATCTGTCATAAAACACAGCCCCCGCTCCTGCTCCTGCCCCCGTCGCTTCATTCGACTTCCACAAAGAACAAATCACTAGCATCGAGTGGCACCCGACAGAAGACAGCGTCGTGGCCGTCGCCGCCGGCGACAACACCCTTACGCTGTGGGATCTTGCCGTCGAGCTGGACGACGAAGAAAGCCGCGACACCGCCGGCGTCCAGGACGTTCCCCCGCAACTGCTCTTCGTGCACTACCTCGAGATGGTCAAGGAGTGCCACTGGCATCCCCAGATTCCTGGCACGCTTATGGCCACTGGTGGCGGTGGATTTGGGTACGTTTCTCTCATTCTCTTTTTCTCCCCTCTTTTTTTTTTTTTTTTTTTTTTTTTTTTTTTTTTTTTTTTTTTTTGCGCAAAACTAACTCATCTCCCTATAGTGTCTTC